GCAGGATAAACAATTGGTGGCTGAAGTTTCACAGGTGGCACAAAGGCTGTTGCAATCAGAGCAACCATTTCCTGATATGAATGATCCAGGAGAACATTATTTACAAGTACCATCCAAATAATAATTTGATTGGCAAGAAGTACATTCAGAAGCACTGTTGCACTTAGTACATCCAGTTGGACAAGTTTAGCATGAAGTTCCGTCAATGTAGTAGCCATCAGTGCAAGATGAGCATGTAGTTTCAGATGTGCAAGTGGTGCATTTATCATTGCATTTAGTACAAGTGGAATTATTAAGCCAATATCCAGGAATACATATAGTACATTAACTAGAGCTTTCGCACTCCACACATTGACTTGCACAAGGTAAACATTGATTGCCTTCAAGGTATCTTCCTGAATTGCATGTTGTACAATTTGATACACTGTTCAAACATGATTTACAAGTAGTAGAGCAATCATAACAATGGCCAGAAGAGTAGTATTAAGTACTTGTGCATGCCTCACATTATCCATTGACTATCTGATAGCCAGAATCACATGAGTTACATTGAGTTCCTGATTCGCAATTATTACAATGGTTTGAACAGTCAACGCAGGTGGTATCATTTAAATAATAGCCATTAAAACATTTTGTACACAAACAGCTTTCGTTATATAATTCACATTGTTTTTATACTAAATTATTTTAAAAATTATTATTACCACAGCAATAATCATTGATCAATAAATAATCAGAAGAGCAACTAAGACAGGAGTTAACTCCATTTTAACAATTAATGCACCCTTAGATACAAGCTAGAGGATTGTTAATATATTTTACATTAGCATTCATATTCTCCCAAAACGTATCCTTCAATGCATTATTCACAAACTTCATTATATTAGTCGCATTGGCTGCATTCGTTATTATTTTGGCAAGGGACAGAGCATAATCCTTTTTTAAGTGACTATATGAAGATAAACATAAATATTAGATTGATTTTCATAAATATTAATTTAATTAATGTAATATTTAGAAATTAAATTGCCTTAAATAGTGAAAATACTTGATAATTTTATAGATATGACTTTTAAATATTAGTTAAATTAAATTTCGAATGGTTTTCTAGAATAGTTAAAGTAATAATAATTAAGTATATATAAAAACGAATTATATTCTTAAGGGTATATATATTTTTTATTTAATAAATTACTATAACTTTCAATAATAAAATAAAGAAAATAAACTATCCACTTCAGTTTTTCTAGTTTTTGATCACTTAACAAAAATTTACATCAGGTACAAATTATATTATAATATTTATTTATTTAATATTTAGACCTAATTTCTCATTATTTTCATAAATTAATATAAATTTTTTTAATATATACGTCCAGAAACTAAAATTTATTAAAAGGAATAAACATTATTCTTTTTCTATTAAGCATATTTTTATTTATTGTCATTAATACTTAAATTCTAATTTTACTAAAAGTCTAATTATTAATAAAAGCATTAAAAAAAGGAAAGATTGCATATGCATTTATGTTGAGAGTGCCAATTTTTGGGTTTGCGGGGAATAGTTTCCAAGGTATATGATAATAAGCTCGTATATTTTTTACTCAAAAAATTATTTCAGCCAGAGTAATATTATTTTTCACCCTAAAAACAAAATAAATTTTTTATTACTTTTAAATAGAAACTACAAGTTAACTAAAACAAATTAAGCCAAACTAAATCAAAAATTATAATTAAAATAAAACTATACTTATCTTAAATATGAACATTAAAGCAGATGATAATTTAATTTTGCACAACTCTTTCCAAAAGCTAGAAACTATAAATCATTGTTGTTCTGCTATTTATATACCTAAAATCAAATCTAAATATTCTTTTAAGTAGAACATAATTTAATATTTTTTTCAAGAAAGATATGCAGTAAAATTAAATTAAAAGATAAATTAATTAATTTATATGGTATAATTTGAAGTTAAAGTTATCTACTTTGTATTCTATTCATGTTTTAGATTAAATTGAGTTCATTAAATAATCATAATAAAAGTGGCTTCGAGGTTTTTATCACTTTTATTATGAAATTGATATCCCATTATCAGTTTATTTTATTTTATGCCAGTTTGGATATTTTGAATAAAAAAATTATATAGCAAATTAGTTAATTTGATTTTAATGAAGATAATTCATTATTCAATTTACTGAAGACGAAATTCCATCATTCTTTCTATTTTTCAAAATATCCAATTAAGATCTTAAATATGACTGAATTTGAAATTATATTAATTATTAAATTAAAAGTATAAATATTATAATAATATTAAACATAATCAATAAAGAAGTACATTATTATTATGAGATCTTTTCAACTTTTTATGTTTCATTTTAACTTTATACTATTTTATAAAAGTCCCAGGATACTTTAAATAGGGTAATAATTTTTATAATTTCCTAATATAATATTTTTAATATTTAGTAAAATTTAATCTCTCAACTATCTTTGATAAATTAAATGATTAAAAATAAACTTAAAACTCTCTTGCTTATTCAAATTCATCCATTCTTTTCCTTTCATATTTGTTTAGATTTTTTGTTTTTATTAAGAGCATTTCAATTGAATCCAAGTCCTTTTGATTTACTTCTTTAGCACTTTTAAGATCAACAATTAATTCTCTTATCAATTTGCAATCAAATGAGTTTTCAAATCTATCTATCATGCTTAAATCATTTCTACCAAACCATCGCTAAATAGCTATTACTTTTTTAACAGCATTTATAAATATTATCTTAGTATTTTATTTTTAATTTATTCTGCACGTGCTTTGAGTATTACCTCTCAGATTATATTTAATTGTAGGTTTTTCTCCATAATCTACTAACCTTAATGGCTACATTTCAACAAATTCTTTGATTGGCTTTAATTAATTACTAGATTTTACAGGAGGATTACCATGTAAATTCTTTGATTAAGTAAGGGATTTCTATTATTGTTTATTTTAGACTAAAAAAGGAGATGCTATTTTATTCGATATAATAGAAATTTATTTCTTAAGAAAATTTAATTCAGATAATTAAAAATATGTTTTTATTCTTTTACAGGATCTACGATGATCTCTTCTCTTTTAATTTTTATAATAATTGAATTTTTTAATGATAAAATCTTTCTAGGGAGCATAATGTATAAAAGGACAATTAACAACCTTATGACTGTTCATTCCACACGCAATGCAATTGTATTCAAATAGTTAAATATCCTGATTAAAAATAATATCATCCTTTAATTTACAAAATGTTTCAAAATCTTCAGGAAATTAACTTAGAACACTCAAAAAATCATTTCTTTAAAGAATTAATAATTTAGAGAGACCTATACTTTTAAAAATTTCAGTCGTTGTTGTACCAACGATGAAATTATCTATTCCTAAAGCTTATTATTTATTTACTTTTCTTATACATTGTTTATGCTTTGAATTTAGAAAAACCTCTATAGTGCCTTCCTCAATATAAAATAATGATGTGCAATCCGGCTTTTCATTTGTAATTTCTATGATTTAACCAGGTTATACAACCATATGGTTAATTTTTTTTAATAGTTTTTACTTAAATGCTATTGAGAAATTATCCTTAAATAATGACACTTTATTAAAGAATGAATGATTAGCCTTAATCATAAGAGTATCTCTTAAGTTTTCTGGAAGTTATTGAATGATTTACTTTTCATCCTCACTTTCTTCTCCTGCTTATAATTACCAAAAATAATCAAGGTATTATCTAATCTAATTTTGCAAAGTATATGGTACATTCTTTCTCTACATATATGAATTTATAGTTCTAAGCTTATTTTTTCTCTCCTCACCATAAGCAGATATTTGTTATATTATATTTCCTACGGTATTGACAGAATATGGTAATTGCACACTTGATAAAATGATAAATAGAATTGTGACAACTCTTTCTATCTAAGTTTTAGGTGTTAGATCTCCATATCCAACTGTAAACATTGTTACGCAGGCATAATAAAACGATACTAAATATTGTTGATCCCAACTATCATCCTAAATTTCTGCCCTAGATAACCAATTTTCTGGATTATTTTTATTATATTTCCCAACCCAATACCATAAACAAGCAAATACATGAACGACATAGAAGAAGAACATCAATAATTTTACCAATGTTAAATATGAAGAAAATTTCTTACTCAAATTTATTGCAGTTTCATAAACAGTTACTATTCTATCAATATTAACCTTATGCACAAGAAATATTAGAAAGATTAAATTTTAGGGAGTGCTATCCTACTTTTAAGTTTAAATATCTGGAAAGATAAGAGCTAAAATAAGGATAATTGTTGAAAAAATTTCTAGTCCATATGATTTGCAAATAAGATTCTTAGCGATTTATTTTCTATCAGTAACCATATTACCTTCTTAATAATATGCAACATTTAAATTAAATAAGAATTCAGCTATTAAAATAGAAATCATAAAAATGGTTATTACAGATAATGATTAAAAAAGAAATGCGCATTCTGCCCAAGCTAAATCAACTGGAATCAAATACAAAAAATATAATCTTGCAGTCGTGCCTATGACATCAAAAGTTATTTTAGCATAATTTTCTGTTTATATAATAGGAATCATGCTTATATATTATTTTATGACAAAATACACCTTTTTCTCCATCAAATTTGTTACATTTTAAAAAAAGTCTAGATTTAGCAATGAGGGAAACTGTTGAATCCTATTTGAAATAGGAGTGTATTAAGCAGATTTATCATCAATAAAATTAAAAATTTCTTGTTGGTATTATTGTTTGATTTTCTTTCTTTGTAATAATCTATTTAAAAATCTCTTCATATAAATATTTTTTATAAAGAAAGATAACATGGAACCTCTATTTTATATTTATCTCTCAAGTATCAATTGCTCATTAAATTATTATAATTTGTTATAATCCGACAATGCATTTCTTTTATTTCTTTTTGTCATCAGCTCTTTAGGGCTTTATTTAGATTTTTCTTTATTTTATATAGTATCTACATTAGGTTCATCTGGCTCAGAATTAATTTAATCAAAATTCATAAACAAGTTATTTGATAAATTATTTTTAAATAAATATATAAACTAGTCAAAAATTATTTTTTTTCAACTATTTTCTTCCTCTGTAATTTTGTTTCCACCATACTTATAAGAAAGTGACAAATTATAAGCCTTGATAAACTCTGCAGGATATTGTAAATAAGAAATATATTTTTTAATCATTATTTAAAGTAGCGCATTGGTATTTTTACTAATTCTTTTTATTTATCTATCAACATTATGTTAAGGATAATAATCATGAAAGATTTTGCTGACTTCAAAATCCGTTAATCCTTTTTTCATATACTTTTAGAGATTTTTTTATTTAAAATATAGCAATTCAATAGATTCCCTGTCAGAGATATTCATATTTTTTATTTATTTTAAATTTTCATATCTCTATTTTAATTCTTCATCTATATTTATCTCATTAATAGTACTTGCAAGTAATTCTTAGGCATAGTTTTGTTTAAAGCTGCTATTATTATTTTAATTATTCAAACCTAGTTAATAAATATTCATTATATTTAATCCTTAGGATTATCTTCTAGACGCAAGACTATTTTATTTTAATATTCCCATTCCATCTAATTAATAGTCTATTTGTTTATTGGAGATTTATTTAATAGTTCGATTTCGATTTCGATTATGATTATTTATGGTTCTTTTAATTTACTCTATATGATCACCTGGAATTTATGATAAAGCTATCACTGAATCTCTTTTTAAGCTTGCCTATGCTGTAGAATTTAATTGATGTTCTGTTTTTAATTCTCTGGATTCTTTATAATCCTCTGGGATCCCGTTTTACAGCGAAATAGTATTGATGTTATTATTGGTGGCTTATTATTACTAAGGAATATGATATTTTTTTATATATTATTATTTGATTTCGTTTAGATCTTGATTTTCTATTAACTAATTTTACAACCTCAATGACTTAAAGGGAGTCCTGCAAAACACTTTTCTTGTTTAAAACAAAGGGTATTAACATCTCTTAATAATGAGATCTCTTTGAGGAATGAAATGTAGCAACGGGCAAATGGGTATTTCATGTGTTGAAGAGGAGCATGATTCACATATTCTGTGAATATATGAAGATTTGGAATTAAAAATTAAATCATCTTTAATATGACAAAACTTTTCGTAATCTATTGGAAAATCCTTTAGCTCTTGCAAAACGTCATTTCTGGATAATACTAATAATTTAGTAAATCCGACACTTTTCAGCTTCTTATTCCTAATAATATTTCCAACAAATAGATTTTTTAATCCAAAGATATCATCCTTTTTTGCTGTTTCTATTATTTGCCCTGATTCAATCAAAATATTTATTTCTCCTTCATCTACAAAATAAAGCTAAATATCACCACTATCAAGATCAATAATTTATTCTGGTTAAAGTTATAAAGAATTTACTTTTTTTAATAAATTCTGTTAGAACTGAAGGCTAAAGTTCTTTTACAGCAAAGGTACTTTCTAAAATATTTAACTATTAGCTTGTATAATTAATTATTCTCTTAGATTTTCTGACAACTAAGAAATTATCACCTTTTCTTCTTCAGTATCCTGACCATCTATTGATTCCCAATAATGATTTAAATATTATCTAATTTAATTTTACAAATTATATGGCACTTTTTTTTTATTCATATAGCTATTAATAGTTCTTAATTTGTTTTTTGTGTCTTCTCCATAATCTGTTATTTTTTCTATTATTGAACCAACCGTATTTATTGAGTAAGGTAATTGTATACTTGATACTAAAATAAGAAAAATGCAGGTAGATTTTTCTAATCCGCTTTTAGGAGCAATATCTCCATATCCAATAGTAAACATCGTCACACAAGTGTAATAAAACGATTATAAGTACTCATCTGTCCAATCCAAAATTGGAATATCTCTTAAAGAATCCAACCAATTTAGATCACAATTCTCTCTGCTGTAATTACCAACCTAATTAAAAATATCGAAAATACCCAAAACCATAAACATGAAAATAAGTGAATTACATAAAACAATAGCAACAAAAATTTTAATAATTCCAAGCAACTTGAGGCTTTCTTTGACAAATTCAATGCTTATTCATACTCGCTAGCCTTATAATGAACACTTGTCTAATGAGATAATACAGTCAATAAAATTAAATAACTAGGATTTTAAGTTACATTAATTGTTGTAATTGCAAGAGATTTAAACACTATAAAAAGCATAGCTAACAATAAAGTAGAAATCCATTCCAAACCATATGATTTACTTATTTAGTGTTTAAAGATGTTTAATCTATCTATAATAAGTGAACCTGCATTATAATAAGCAGTATTTAGTCCAATTAAGAAATCGACGAATAATATGATAAGCATTGCTATGGTGGATGTGTAATAACGATTAAACATTAATGATTGATTTGTCCATGCCAATTCTAAAGGTATTAAGTACAAGAAATATAGTTTCGATAAAATTGCAATAATATCCCAAACTATAATTCTTCTGTTTTCTGGATACAATAATGGGATTGCTATAATACAACTGCTGAAACAATCCACAATCGGTTTAAAAATTCTTAGAAGTCTCTTTTTCAACAATCTATCTATAAATATTTTAAAAGTTGATTAAGTTTATATCTTATCAATATTTCCTTAAGCTTTATCATTTATAATTGCTAAATGTTTATGTTTCAAATTTTTCAGATTATGTTTATTTTTCAATAGGATTTCAAGGAATTTCTTAGCATTTACGTTTTATGCTTACAAACTTTTTAAAACTAATCTTTCTTAGTAATCAACAGACATCTATTTTCCAACAAAATTTAAAATCCGTTGACCTATACTTTTTGTTTTTATGACCATACTATTTTTTCTAGCTGTTACCCTGGTAAATTAGCGATCAAGTTCTCTTTATGTATCAATTCGATCTTTATTTACTTGAATAGATTAATAGTTTGTGTAATGAAAACTCATTACAATATAATTAATATATATAGATTGATAATAACAAAATTAAAAGTCAAGAATGTTTGTATGTTATCTTATTATTATTATTATTATTGATTTATTTTTATTGGTTTTGCTTGGCTACTTTTATAATCATTTGCTGTATTAAAGTTCCTTTTTCTAAAGGGATACTAGGTTTTGGAGGATTAAATGTGCCACTATTCATCTTTTTAAAATGATGTCCCTTTGGTGAGCATTACTAAGTTTGATTGTTTTTTAATAAAAATTCAAAATTAGATCCTCTTTCAGTAAGACAAACTAAATCATTTAGTTGTTCTTTATTATGTAAGCCTCTGCTATCTGAAAAATGTTTTTTATGACATGAAGATTATTTCAAATCTTGAAACAATAGCCTGGCGTTTTTGTTCTTATATTCATTAATATCATTATTATGAAAAGTCATGAATCTTTCTTAATTAGAGGATTGTCTTACATGAATATTTTATGAAGTTGTTTTCCTTGATTTTGGTTGGTTGCTTACCAAATTTTTAGAATTAAAATTATTATTGTATTGATGTTGTGTTTTTGCCTTTTAGAACTTAAAGTTGTCCGATTTCACTTTCTTATAAAATGGACTGTTTCTGTCAGAATTGAAAAAATTTTGAGTACCAGAAATAGGACGATGTGTTAAAGCACCATTTTTCCATTTTGTATCAGGTGAAATCTACTCATCTTCTATTAATAATTTGGCAATATAATTCTTGTTCTGATTAGGTTGAGATTGTTAGGTTTTAATATTTGCAAATGATCCAATTGTAATTTTGGAGTTAAATTAAGCTGTTGGAGAAGCATTTTTATTATTAATTTAATTTGTAATCAATTAACTTTTCGGCTTTTGCTTTAAGGATTCGCTTAATCTGCTATCAATTTTTGTTGCCATTTCATCAATAGATATCTTATTTTTTGCTTACTTTCTATTCAAATAATCTATTGAATTTTTAATAAAATTATAATTTTTATTATTTGGATATTCATTATTTTATGTTTTCAGCAAATAATTGATTTCAATTTTCTTCTAAATATTACTCTAATTTTTTGGTTATTGCAATTATAATAAGGACTGTATAAGTTAATCTGAAGGTTAACTAGTATATTTCTTTTGGTTGATTTATTTTTTATTTAAATAAGTGAGAAAGTTTTCTAATTTCATTTCTTCTGATTTCACATTTTATGGAATAAATAACGAAGATTAGTCATGGTAATTTCCCATCTATTTACAAATTTCATTTAATGTCTATGATACATCATGTTTAATCTTAACTGATTTCTCACCATGCTAACCATATAAAATTATTGAAATACTTATTATAATTAATTTAACCAACTCAGCTCCTTCAAAATTTGAATATTTTATAGATTTGACTCATTTTACTCTTCTTCATTATTTTAATTAGATTCCTATGAGTTTAATGGGGATGGTTTATCTCCAACAATTCCTTTAGGAGGTTTATGTGGATTTTTCTTATTCTCATCTTCAATTAGCTTAGCTATTCTATAATACTCGTATTTTCTCTTTTTATCATAATACTTGTTTAGCATCGATGCCACTGGTTCTTAGAAGATTCTTGCAATATCACTATGGAACTAAATGATATTGTATTTTTTTAGGTACTTTATAATATTCAGCTAATAACGCTATTTTGGAAGGATACTCACCTAACTTGTAACTACGTTTTAGGTATTCATCCTAATTATTAATAACATAATACTTCTTCATCATAACAATTCCAATCTTTATATCTGATTACTCCTTTTGTAGTGGCATCGCTCAAAATATCATTAATATCTCTTGTGTAATAATAATTTTGAGACTGGCAATACTTCTCAAAAAGCCTTTCGTTAATTATCTGACTATTGATACCTTTATACTTTTTCATTAATTAATTAAATGTAAAATTATATTGAAAATATTTCTAATTGACAACTAATTACTTCCTCTTTGATAATAACTGACTATGATATATAAATTCAACATTCTATAATTCATTTATTGATAAGAGGTACTCTAACTTACAAAATAAGGATGCTAAAAATAAATTTATAAATATGAATAAAAAATATATTATATATGTACTCTAATATGATAGTTTAGTACTTAAGAAATAGAGCTTCAGAAATAATTGAGATAATGTCAGACAGTTAGAATGATATTAATAGTACAATAATTATGATAACATTTTGCTTTCAAAGAATTAGCTTGTTATTTTCTTTTGATCAGTTTGCTGATAAACCATACGAAGATTACAAATTACAATTCCTATAAAAGTTTTTTAATTGGTTTACACTCTAAACACCCATACATATGATTAACAGCTAACACTTTAGTAAAATTGCGATGTACATCATTTGCGTATATTTATGGCTCATTATTATTATAATGTTTACAAAGGTAAAATGGAAGATTCTATTGTAAAATTTCTTTGCTTTTTATCAGTTGTTAATAATAATCCCTTTGATTGAACACATGGATACTCGTATATCTCAAAATGAAGATTTATTAATTGGAATAGTCACTTTGATTCCACTAACCCTTTGCTATATTTTCTTCTTCCTTATTCACAGAAACTATCTATTGCCCTAGAAAAACATTTACATGAGACGTTATTCATATTCTAATATCTTGATGATTGTATTCGATATTTCAATTATGATAACTATCTAAATGGTTGATGAATTAATTTCATCAATACTAATAATATTTATGTCAATTCTCCTAATGATTGATTCATTCCTAATTCAACCGTATTCCTATCAGGTTAATATGAAATACATAAGTGCTACTTCATTTATATTTTGTGCCTCTACTATCAAGATATTCTCATTCAAGATATCATAGGAAGAGACCTTTTATTGCTTGATTCTCTTAGTCCCAATGATAACAGTTATTTTTACACAATTTTTTTAACGACTAGTACACAAATAAATATTTGATGATTAATTAGGACTAGCTAAATTATTAGCGATAATTGATTTGATAAATGATAAAAAAACTAATCATTTTTAAATGATTTCTATTTTAAATCATATGAAACAATAACACAAGATAATAATTGATAATGATAATATTTATGTCAAGATTCAGTAAACAGTAATTTAACTTTTTGATATAGTAATTGCTAAAATCAAGACTCAAGATTCTACAATTTTAGAATAGGTATAACTTTACAAAATCCTATATATCACAAACACATGTAAGAGAGTGTCTTTAGGATACATAGAATTAAAAATATTTATAGCTGTCACTCAAAAGTAAAGTCTCTATTTTACAATAATATCCAAATTGCTACAAGAGAAAATGTCAAAGCGCAGAAAATATTTTAATGACTAAGAATAAAGATTATCATTAATAGATATTCGCAAGGCAGAATTATTGTATGAAGACTCCATAAATTTGATAGTTAATATCTTAGATATGAAAATTAAATTTTGGATTGATTTAGAGAAAGGATATCAGAGAATAGAGGAATTCGCATTGAGTGCATATAATCTTAGTGAAAAGATATGGCAACTGAGAGATTTCTTTTTTGTATAATTTTCAATAGAGCCCTTGAAGTTACAATCTCGACTAGTACATTTCAACATACTTGAATTAAAGCTTTTGGCTATTCTATATTCTGCAATTCTAAATGATTATCATGCTACATTGGACATTGAATAAAAAGTAGAAGAAATTGTATAGAATGAAAAAAACTCATAAAACGAATACATTAATAATATTACTTTAATAAATGATGATTTGGTTATGATGGCAGTAAGCTTTGTAAAATAAAAAAATTAAATTTTAAATAAAAATAGAGGGCAGATAGCTAAATTTTTTGGATATGAGAATGAAAAGGATTTTCTCAATATCATCTCTATTGAGCAATTAATGCCTCCATATATTTAACAATCTCATGATACTCTTTTGAGAAAGTACTTGAAGAAAGGATATTCATCATTCTTTGTCTAATCAAAGGAAGTTTATATTAAAATGAAGACCAATTTTATTCAAGCAGTAAACATGAATTTATTACATATGTATGAGCAAGATTCAGATTATATTATAACTGGAGCACTCTAAAAAGTGAAGTAGATGTATGATTTTATTATTTTTGATCGAAAAGGCAAGATATTGGGAATTAGCGAATAAATCTTTAAGATATTTGGTTCAGGGTTTAGCATAGAATAACTATTAAATAGAGGTTACATATATTTTTGGATTCCTAATGTATTTGAAATTATATAGGAAGAGAAAGGCCAATTATTAGAAAACACAGAAATTTAATCAAGAAGTATGCTAAAATAATAATTTTTATTCTCTATTAATAATTTTAATTAACTTTGCTAAGATCATGAATTAAGTAGAACTAATAGTACTGTTAAAAATTAATAATCATAGAAATTTTATACTGAATTAAATGAGACAGAATAAATGATCTCTGTTGGAAATGTCAATTCGATTCATTTTCTAAAAGACTAGAACGTTTCATTAATAAATGAATTCTTAACTAAATATAATCAGAGTAGATATGTTGATTAGGATAATTTGTATTCAATGAAATACTCTATATCTTTTAATGTTATAGGAGGTGATTTATTACCATAATTTGTAATATAAATTAATGAAATTGAAAAAGTAAATCCTAAAAAGCAAGGATAAACCTTTTCAGTGAGCCTTTTTAGTACAATAAAGAAAAGCACAATTAATGATAGAGTAACTGAGAGTTGTTTCGTTTTGGAGCATGAGATGAACGATAACAATTTGAATATTTAAATAAATCCTCCTATAATCAACAAAATGAGTAGATTCTAAGATTCAAAATTAGAAGACAGTTCAAATAAATATCCAATTTATAATCAAAGCAATGAACAATTTAAATTAATATCTCCAAGGGGTAATAAAGAAATATTGATTGGAATTGATGACTATGAAGATGAAGAAGATGATCAGAAATTTTAAGATGCCCCAAAAAGTAGTTCTTAGTAGCATAACAATTAACCTGATGTAATATAAGCAATTTAATAATACAAAGAATTAGATTAAGAGTTTAAAGAAAATGCTAAACAATCTCAGTCAAGTGGAACTTCAGATCGAACTTAAATGTCGGTTTTTAATATTTTAAAAAATTTACAATACTCTTAGCGATATTAAACAACTCTTATTAAAGTCTTTATAAACACATTATTCCTCTTTATAATCCTCTTATTCCTAATAGTTCTTCAATTAGTCATATCAAGAAGTAACACCAATAATTTATAATATTAAATTCCTCTTGTTGGATTACCAGATGAATTCAGTAGAATTTATAATACATTTACTGTTCTTGGTCAAATGGATATAGAAATTAAGATTTTGAATATGTCGCATGGAGTTTATTATGATCATCGTATAGAGGTAGATAGCACTATTTTGAGAGAAAATTTGTTAACTTTGATTGTGGAAATTGAAAAAGAGTTTTCAAAATTGGAATAATAAGGTAAGCTAAATTAAGCGTAAGTAAAGATTGTTACCGAATATAGCTTTGATTCATATAATATCTCGATATTATAATTTAACTAAATGGTAAATGAATATACAGAAGCTTTAGATTAACTTTTTGATTATGATAACTAATAAGATGTCGTTAATGAATAAATTAGATTAATGTTCTTCAAAGCCAATTTAAATAACTTATTAGATTTCGTTAGTAATTTAATCAATAATATTGTAAATGAATTTTTCACTAATATTGAAAATTATGAATTGCTTTACTTAATCTTTTTATTCATAGAGTTGCTTATCATTATTGTCGCTATTTTAATGCAATTCAATCTTTGGGTTGATCCTTATGTCTATAAACAGAAAATTCTGCTAATGATTTAAAGAGTACAAGAGAAGGAAATAGATTTATTGTTACTAAAATATAAGACTTTTAAGGAAATTTTGTTAAATGATATTAACAAATGGAAGTAAGTTAACTACTTTAAAGAGTTCTTCACTTGTAGAATTTCATAATTGAGAAAAATACAGAATTTAAAATAATAACACGAAATCAATAAAAAATAACAAAAGTTGTAATAAAGAGCTAAAATCAATACAAGAATTCAAGAAACTCAGTATTCAGTAATTCATATTTATTTTATGTTACTTTTTCTATGGTTAGTTATGACATCGTTTGTATTATCCTCATATTTGTACCAATACATTAACATTACAAATTCTTATCCAGAACTTAATTTGTGCATGCAGTTTGTAAGATTTAAATAAGAATTTGATGCTACCATGATTATCAGTTAATTAATGAAAAACGCGCCATTATTAAATTAAAACTAAATTGAAAGTGGAATTTTTAATAAGAAATCCTGAGTACTTAAAAAAGGATGGATTTTTTAATACGAACAACTTTTTATTATTGAATCAATTCAAAAGCAGTTATGAAGCAGGAAAAAATTATTATTCGAGTATATATTAGAATATTGTGGCTTCCAAAAAAATAAGTGAAGCTAATAAGAATTTATTATTAGGATTATATTAAAATGATTTATGTATTCATATTGCTTAAAAACTGCCTTTTTGCTCCTATGAAAACGGTAAATTCACATATTTTCCCAATTACCCTAAACCAGAAGAAATCAACAATAATAGAGAACGTCTAAAACAAGGATTCAATGGAATTTATCAAGAGTATATTTATAAATATAAATTATTTAGGGTCTCAGCTTTGTTTTCTAGCAAATTTATTAAAGAACTTAATGGAGAGTTAGAAACCAATACTGATGAAATTAAAAACTTTTTACTCACACCAGAATATTCATAAATCCTGTTGCCTTATTTTTATGATTTAAACAAGGCTATAGAGTTATTTTATGATACAATCATAGCTACATCGGTAGACATTTTAGAAGTGGATTATCAAAATTATCTGATCTATACTATTCTATATGGGTTTAGTGTATCCTCTATGTTGTTTTACGTAATCATTTACAACTCAAGGAGATTGCAAAGATAAATCAGAGCAATTCGACAAGCATTAATATTATTACCACATGAGAGTTTATTGGATGTTTAAGTTTATAGCGCTATAAAAAGATTTGAATAAGGAATGTGAAATATAATTAATATTTAATGAAATAAAATTTAATTATTTAATAGTATGCTTTTTCGGAAAAAAAAATTTGAGGACCTATTACACAATAAATTATTATGAATAATTATTAAATATTATTAGATGATCCAATAGGAATAAGAAAATATAAAATGACTCAATTTAATGTTGATAACAAAAGAAATCTAAAATATAAGTATTAAATACTTCTTGGTTTGTAGATGTGAATATTTAAAGTATAGAGTCTAATCACCATCAAAAATTTCATTCTTCTGATAACTAATTAAATCAGTTTCATAATCGATGTTATCATTCGAACACTGTCTGGAAGTCTAATATTAGGGATTGAGAGATAGACATTATAAACTTCCTAAGAATATATATATAATTGACCTTAAAGTGATGCAACAGTTAGTCTCTTTTATTCTTCTCTACCGTTGAATGTGTTTCTACTGGATATTTAAGGAGGAGGAGCCAACAAATTGAAGGAACTAAAATTTAAATTAAAGTGTACTTTTATTAGAATAAAATTCCTGATAGTTATTTTTCAATTGATTTTTTCATTTCAACTGAATTATGTGGAATCAATGAATCAAAATTAGTAGATGACCTTAATTCGGTCCAATCGTAATAGCCATCCAAATTGAGCTTTAATGAGTCGGCTGCCTTCTTCAATTCAAAGGTAATCATCTTGTAATTTGGATCAGCCTTGAAGGACAATTAGCGTATGTAGCTTTGTTATTTTTAAGAATTACTCAAATATCTTTTGAAACTCTTTTGGTTGATCTCTAAATATCTCCAACTACATTAGTATCTTCATTTCTCCAACTTTCTTTGTTCTTTCCGAATCTGTAACATTTTACAAATTCTGCCAAGGCAACTGTCTTGATATTAAAATAATAATACCCTCTTATAAAATAGAGTATGATGTACATTATTGATTCTAGATCATCCTTTCTACTCAATTCATGGCCTAAATGGGCTGCTATGGATGCATAACGAGTAGTTCCTAGAAATGATCTTTATTCACGGAAGGGACTAAGGTTACCATTACATATACATATGATGGTTATTGGCATCTTTGTAGGCTTTGCTTATTCCGAAATCGATTAAGTATATTTTGCCATTGTCTTTTCCAGATCCCAAAACAATATTTTCTGGCTTGAGATCTCGATGTACAACACCTTATTAATGTATTTTCTCCAGCACATCAATTAATTAGATCCCTATCAATAAAGCAGTCTTCAGTGTAAAACGTTTCAGCTACTTAAAATGGTATGAAAGATCTTTCCCTAACATCTACATGACCAAGACGTTTTAACCATGCTCCTCTCCAAACCATAGCAATTGTGGAACTCCTTCGAGAGTGCCTAATCGCTTGAATATTTGAACTTCTCTATCTAGTGATCTAACTTCCTCATTTTCTTTTCTTTCAATCTTTATTGCTACTTCCTGTTTATTAATTTAATCGAGTCCTTAATAAACGATTCCGAAAGACCCAGATGATAATTTCTTGTGAACTATAAATTAATTGTTGAAGATTTTGTTCTAAAGTAGCATAAATATTTATATTAAAAGATCAATTGTTTTTAAATACTATCTTTATTTCAAATTTAATTAATTGAATACGAAAATAAAATAATGGATTATTATGAGGCTTAATTAGAGGAAAAGGAGTAGATGCTTTAAAAGGCAGCTCAAGTTATTGAAAGTTTAAAATTAGATGTAACTAAATTCAATCAACAATAAATTAGTTTGAAAACTTATTAATCCAATATCAAAAATCTGAGGCAGAGAAAACTTAAATCAAAGCTTCCTTCTCGAATTGGGATCAGATGCAATAATTTGAACAACTCAAACTCTTATTGACTCAAGAGGTTATTAATTTTCATCCTGAATAATTCAAAACTCCATTTACTCAATTTAACTATAAAAATGAATTAGAATTATCACTCTAAAGAGAAGCCAAATTCAAAGATTTTCTTTTATCTATGAATGAAAATGTTAAACTTCTAATAGATGCTTACTCCAAATGCATTGATGAACCAATCACTTAAGGAATATAATAAATTTTGTTTGAATTTGAAATTTGGGATAAATGCCAAGAATAAAACAGTGTTTTATAATTGCAAATTGCAGAACATCAAATTCTTACTTATACTAAATAAATTTCTACTCATTAAGAAATGTCTAATATTTATAATCAATTAATAGAATATGACTAATAAAAAGAACTCTCAAATTAAGAATGTTTTTAAAATCAACAATTATAACAGATATTAAATGCCATACAAGAAAACACGCAGGTAACTTAAAAAATGGCGTTGAAGATTGCCGAACAGCAAGCAAAAATAAAAGAAAATGCTTAAGAGATTGTTGAACTTAAAAAGTAAATAGAAGAATTGCAATTGCTCAATCAATAAATAAACAATCAGAAAGAAGAATTGCAATAAACTTTTAATTAGTCTAAATAATAGCAATCCAAATTATAGCAGTAAGCAATTGAATATTTACAAATGATTGATGAATATGAAAGAATTTTTAATTCAGAAAAAGTAGATGGAGAGGAATATAACAAAGTTACTGAATTATTTGAATAATCCTTAATTGATCTAGAGAACTTGTAAACTAAATATGAAAAAAAAGAACTCTAAGCCATTGATTTACAGTAATAATTAAAATGTAAACAATTACAATTCGATAACACCCTAAAAGAGATCAAAGAACTACTTGACAAATATTAACTCTAAAAATAAGAGAGTATTCTTCATAAGATATATTAAATTTGCAATAAAGGAAAATCTAACTGTTAAAATGTTCCTCCAAATTAACTTTTACTATAACTTTCAAAATCACTTTAAAAAAGAAGTGCTACTCCTTAGAATGCATAAAAGATTATTAATTGATATTTACTATACAACTTGATATTTATTTATATATTTTAATTTATTATGAACACATTAAGCTCTAATCCTAAAAAAACAATGTTTTACGCTGCTGCATAAAGTAATTTACTATCAAATTTTAGATATGTTAAATTCGAACCAATCCTCAATGCAAAACCTTAAACGCAGCTTGTTTTAATTAGCCTTGTTTCCATCAAGCCATCAAAAGGATCAATTAAATTTGTCTCTAAACAATAACTCTGATCGAGCATAAGCAAACTATTCTCTCCCAAGAAAAAGCAATATATTCTAAAATGATAGGGATCGATCGTTATCTTATAAATAAAATATTTCAATGGAATAAAATGGATCAGTAGAGAGATTATAAAATGCCTATAATATTAAGGGACATTTTTAATTGATGAATGAAGATCCAAATTAAATAGTAGAGAAAGAATAAAAAAAATTAGAGTATTCTTATTGAATTATGTCCCAATAGGTTGAAGGAATATTTATTAAAACAAATTGAAGAAAAAAAGAACCAACAGAAATATGAATAAGAAAGGAAAAGAATCGAAGATGCTAAGGCCGAGTAACTTGTAAAGAAACAATTAGAAGAGATGAGAGCCAGATAGCATTCTAAATTTGAAAATTCAAATATATAGTAATCTTAAGGTAGTATTTGGTTGATATATTATTATATAAGAAAAACCCAGCATAATCAATATAAACAAAGGCAATATAATAATAATCTATGTCACCTTAGAAAGAAGGCATATTCATGTAAATCTATAAGCAAAAACAATAAAATTTAGTCTCATAGCAGACTGACATCCTTTAAAAAATTAATCATCTCCAAGTAAAAATTAATTTTACATTTAGAATGATATCAAATCTCTATAAATTACTTAATAATAATAAAATGATGTAAACTCAGTGAGAAATAATATTAAACTAATGATGAAGAAACAAAGCTCTATGAATCCTGAACAAATTAACAAAATTTAGAAAAAAGATGTTTAATAATTGAAGGACAGATAATTGGATTGTGAGACAATCTTCATTCCTGCTAACTTAAAATTGAACACTGATGTTGATATCTTATAATAAAATGAAAATACTGTTTAAGATGTAAATAAATCAACTAACAGTTTGAATTTTACAAAAAGCTCGTAAAATTAATTAATTTTAAATAACACATCTGTAATTAGCAATTAACTCAATAACATTTCTTTATAATAAGTCAATAATTAAATAGTAAACCACTCAAGACTCACTATCAGTTAGATATCTTCTAGAAATAGGTCGTTATCATATGAGAAATAAGTTTTACCTGAAGCCATATAAATAGACAACACCCAAGAAGAAACTAAATTAGTTTAAAAACAAAAAAAGGTAAAATTATTATGCTTAAATTTAGCCTAAATAAAATAATTTGTAATTAAAACTTCCACATAGAACAACGATGTTGATGTAGATTCCTTCAAAAAAGTAAATATGTTAAATTATGGATTAGCTAAATTTAAACTTAAAAATCAGAAGAACCAAAATCATCCTAAAGAAATTGATTATATATTAATCTAAAATAAATAAATCACAATTAAAAGATATAAATACTATATATGTTCACTCTAACTCATTTTTTTTTAATTTTAGGAGTTCCATGATTTGAAACACAAATTTAACTTGGAGTAAGATGTCTTGATCTTAAACTCCTCATGGAACTCTTTAAATCTTCGAAATTCTTCGAGCTATTTGCTAAATTAGTTCTACCCTTTACAAAAAAGTTTTGATGCTAATTCAAATGAATTGCTTTTTTCTTTTAATTACTGCCATTAATAGTCATTTTAGTAGAGAACATTTTCTTGGCTAATTCAATGAGTAACTCATTTTATTGAGGTGTATTTCGAGCTGTAGTTAAGCAAGATTTAGTGAATTCAATGTTTCCAAGTGATGCTTATCTTTATTTTAATTAAGGTGGTTTTTTTATAGTTTAAGCTTGGTTATCAGCTTTAGAGGGTTATTTATGAGCTGAAGATTGCCTGGATGTTTGAATGGGTTTTACAATACGTTAAGTTAAGGGAGGAGAGTTGATTTGTTTTGTTTATTTTAATTACATTTCAATAGTTTTCTTTAAGGTTCCTTGACAATGTTAATATATGAGTCTTTAAGCCTCTTGGGATGGCTTAAATTAATTTTGAATTTGTTTGTTTTGATTAAAAATTTAAAATGGTTTTGGTTTAGTTTTTGGTTCGCCTATCATTTGGACTAGGTCTTTGAGAACAGTTGTATTACTGATTCTGGAGATATCGGTAGATTAAAGTTTGAGGTCTTTTAATAAATACTTGAGTTGACTAACAGAGCAATCGTCAGAGGAATCCTTGACTTTGGTAGGAGTCTATTGTTTTGCTTCCTCATAGAGTCCTAGTTCAATTTTCACTTTGCAATATTAGATTTCTCTGACTTTCTCCATTCTTTTATTTATAACCTTACAATGAAAGTTTCTTGGGATATTAATGTGGTATTTATAATATTCCAATAAAGAAGGAATTCTATCATCACTTTCAAAATATCTATAAAATCTTTTGTAATGATATTATTATTTTCATTACCTTCGCATGAATTCCTTTTCCTCTCCGATCTAGGCATTATCTTTGTTCCGAATAGTAGATTTTACTTACTTATCCTCCAAAATATCATTAATGTCTTTTTCATAAAAAAAGTTTTATGACTGTGAGTACTTGGAATACAAAGCTCTTTTGAGAATTAACTGAAAAGATCCGTCAGTGGCTAATTTTTGGCAAAACATGCATTATTTAACTTACATTTATATTTTAATTATTTTTATATATATCGTAATATAAAACATCAAACATCCTTACCTAGGATGCCAAGAGTATTTTGAATGGTTCTAATGACTGATCTTAAATCGTCAACAACTTTATCTTGTTAATCGAATCTATTATTAATCTCATCCTCAATATTATCAATTTATAAATGGAATTCTTTAACAGTGTTGTTTCTGAATCCCTCTGAATATCGATTCTCAGATTATAATGAATGATTAATATTTTTAATCAACTCTTGATGTTTCTATTCCTTCTCAACAGCTTCATTCTTGATTGCTTGATCAATCGATTATGAAGTGTCTTTGATTGTATTTAATATTTTTTTTTCATTTGCCACTCTTGTTTGCTTCTCCAATTCGAAATTCCCAAACAATTCTAACTTATAATCAAATATCCATACAATCAATTGATTTTTAGATGTTCTCAATATTTTCCTTCTCTGTCCTTATTCTATCCAATTTCTCTTACTCTATGGCTGAGTCTAATTTCACTATGTCAGAATCAAGAGTAGTCAATTTGGCATTTGTGAGTGTCTTAAATGTTACATGTTATTCATTGTGCCTATTCTCCAAGTCTATTGAAATGAAATGAAATTGTAACTTGAGATATTTGTATTGTTTGTTTTTTGAAATGCCTATATCTTTCCATTCAATTCTACAGCCAATTTAACAAACATCTATTTTGTTTAAGTGATTTTGCTATTAAATTATTAGATACAGAGAGTACTCATAAACTTCATCAAACTTAGCTTGCAAATCTGCCTTGGCTTATTCTCGATTCTTTTTCATGATTTCATAATCCTGCTGCAGTTGGACGATATCTTTATCGAGTGGCTTGAGATTGCCTGTTATTTTAAATGTATTTGTAGTAAGTGCAGCTGTTGTCTCCATTACAAAATATTATATTTTATATATAATAATCAATAATCGCGTTTCATTGTAAAATCAAATATATAGAAATTATTAACAGAATAACAAGAGATATGATAACACCGTATTACAATATATCTTCTGTATCGTCAACCTTAGGTTCAAAATGATTAAGCTTAGTTAAAATGGTTTCCTATGTCTAGATAGGTGAATCTAGCTCAGTTTCTCCAAGTTGTATTAATTGAGATCTAGGTAAGATCTACATTTAAATCAATTCCATTTTAGATGCTGAAAAAGATGAATAATTTTTAGTTATTCCCACAGTACTTTATTTAAGTTTATCTAATTTAGGTATGATCTCATCATCACTGGGTAATTCTAAGTGACCTTGATCGTATTCATAATGTTTTTCTGATGATTTCAACATATTACTGATATCCCAAAGATACTTATCATTTAATTCTTACAATGAATATTAAACAAAATTTGGATCCTTAGAAAATCTACTTATTGCTAATTTTAAGGTACTATTGCATTATTCTGGATCTGCATTCTAAAATGTCATGATCAAATAATAACATTCTATTGAATCTAATAAAATAATTACAATCAGGTTTGTGATACTTTCCATGCCATTCTGCTCTCGAATTTACTTATTCAATGAATAGCGAATTTTGCTGAGGTTACTTAGATTTTGATTTGAGTAGTTTCTCAATATTATTGATTGATTGGGTAAATGCCTATTTGGAACCTCTTCGAAGTTGAAATATGATTTTATCCAATTTGACACTGTAAATTGCAAATCCTCTATAAACTCCAAACTCAATATATTCTCTATCTGTAGTTTTGGTTTGAGCTAGATCTCTCTAAATTAAATAGGTTAATAAAATACTGTATCATTTTTGGATGGTTATTATTGAATATTCGATCTGAATGAACTTTAAGGGTTGGATCTATATTTATGATCAGATATTATATACTTAAAAGAATTAAAGGTTATGATCTTGCTGCCAGCTTATTCATCATCTGATGGATTGCCCATAATTCCCTCATTTTCAATGTATTCGTTTTCCAATTTGTCTATCAGTTTTCTGATTTCTGTTCTTTTCAGTTGATCCAATTATTCAGAAGTTAACTACTTATATTAACAAATTACATGGTAGTAATTAGGGATGGTGGATACTAGTTTAATTATTTGATTTAAAGCATCATCCACTAATTGTATGTTGCTTTGAGGGAAAAGCATGAACATGAAAAAACACTCTAGAAATTAGCATGTATTTCAATTACTTTGATGTTAATCCAATATTCCAAGCCATTCCGAATAGGCATTCTTGTAATTTAATTGTTTAGATAGAGTTGAAAAACACTTCTCAGCTTATTCCTTGACATCTTGATAAGAAGATTCATAGGACTTGTTGCAGCGTCTTTTCTGAACGTGAGTAAATTCTTATCGACTGCAATTGTAAATGGCGAAACACCTATAGACTTTGCCTCTATTCTTGACGTTCTCCCTTATTAAGCTCATTAAATTTATTGTTTATACAAAGTTGTTTAACAAAATTGAATATATTTATATAGAAACATTCGTTAGTTGAGGTTGAGATCAAAGAACTATCAAGTAAAATGATTATAATCCAAGTTTAGATTAATAATTAAGTAAATTAAAGAAAATGCATATATAACATAAACTTAAGCTTTAGTTTCAAATATTGTGTATTCTTTACTTGAATTAGTGTTCCTGAGTCATCGATCTTAGTTGATTCTTCAAGCCTTGAGTGTTCTGCACTTTGTTCATATCCAGATATTGATGAGGGTTGTTTAAAGCGTCTAAGATGAATTTATCCCACATTGAACTCGGAATCTTTCTCTGAAGCATCTCCTTATGTAGAATACACAAAGGTATTTTTTGAGATGGGTGAGTGTTGGGTAATTTTGTTTTCTAAGCTAAACACTTCGAATAGAATATCCTTTATTGCTAATTCTATTGATTTGAGTTATTAAGATCACTATCATTTTAGTTTGCCTCACTTTCATCTAATTAGGACGTTGATATCTTAGTCAAGATCTCACTTTTCATATCATACATTTGACTTCTATCTTAGCTACCTGAGAACTTGGTGATTATGGTAGGTCTTCCATAAGGAGAATTCTAAAATGATGATGGAGGTGGCAATTGTGAATTTCTATTCTATTCTGAAGGCAATTGAGAACCTCTGCTGTATTCTGAAGGCTATTAGAAAAAATAAGAGGATGATTATGATTGGCTGTTGTAATTGTTGCCTAATTATTTACCATTCACATTGCTTGGTTATTTAGTATTCGTTTGGTTGATGTTGTGCTTTTGAACATCGACTCTAGGAGTACGAATCTCCTTTTCTAATTGGGTTTGCTTTTACAATCCCAAAGAATGCAATCTTTCCAAATACAAGGCTATAGCCAATGAACCACGGTAAGATTCTGTCATTGTTCGTAACTCTTAATTTAAATCCTGCAATTTTCTGAATTCAATTTGGTTATTGTTTTGGATTGTCTATATTTATTCACACATTTCATCTGCTCTAATCAAATATTTGCTGTTCTCTTATTTCGATTCTTTTGCATTTAATTACTATATGGAATCTCTCAGCTTTGAGATCTTGAAATTGATTTCATCTAGAATCCTATTCGATTTTAGTACTGCTGTCACATTCTTTGAAACACTTAGACATTTCATTGTATGTTGATCGATCTCATTTATCGGAATCAGATTCTCGCAATTCATGCAAGGAACTGAATATATAGTTGATGCACTAACTTTTGGTGCTCTGTATTGCTAATCAAGATTCTTAGTACTCTAACTATGAGGCTTTGCTGATCTTTAAGAAAAATAATCAGTTTGCATTATATTAATTTTAATATACACAGATTTCTATCTATATTTATACATTCCAATAATGTCCAATCACTCAAATAAGTACAATGTCCAAACAATCCAACATTATTCAACAACAACCATCCTATTTCTTTTCCACTTTTTTATTTTACATTGCAGCATTCCAATTTAAGCTTTACGGTTTTGGAATTTCCTAATCTTATTGTTGATATTGCACATCTTCTATTAGTGCTTATTGTTGTAACAAAGCCAAATAACCTATTCTTGATGTCATATCACAAACAACAATAGCACCAATGGATCTAAGCTAATTAAGAGCGAGAACTCTCTTTTATAGGAGCGTGTAATCGATTTAAATGCTTCTTATTACCCACCAGTATCCCAAAGCTACAACCTTATAGTCATATCGTTGATTACAAGATTTGTATTTTAAAATTCTACACATCTTAGTCTTATTTGAAACTTGAATTAACGATTTAGAAGTGTAGACAACTTTTGCCCACACCCTGAATGGGATGGGATTTACACTAAGCGGCAACGAGAATTAATTTCAAAATATAATGATAATTGTTTATTATAATATCAATTAAGTGCATCAGTCAAAAAATTACTCAAACCTTTCGGGTAGGATTTAAGCTATTCAATCAAAGGTAACTGTTTGCTGTATAAGTTTGCATAATGTTGTATGTGATGCTTTTGTAATTTGTATTTCTTTGAACTTTCCAGACTATGTACATCTAAATTTATTTAATCAAGTTATTGGAACCACATCGCAATATCTGAGAACTCATGAATTGCTAATATTTAAGATTGAAACTAATCAAGTATTTTGATAACCAAAGATGGTAGGTAGAATATGCCTTCAACAATAATGTAATCCCAGAATCGAAGACAATGTTGCAATTGGAAATTGTACAAAAAGAGTGTGAGTATGATTTTGGTAAGCCAAAAGGATTCTGGATAGTTGAGTTGGCGATATAAATGTTTGTAAAGTGAAGGCAAGTGCAGTTGGAGTAGTTTCTGAGTAATGAATTCCAGGAATCCAAGCAACTGAAAATTTGAATCATAATTAAAATAGAGCATGAATTTCGGATGTGTCAGGAGCGTGACTAGACACTAATAACTATAGTACTCATCGCCACCTGAGACAAGGAGGAGGAACCCAGCTAGGAAATTCATTCCTTGGCAGTAACCCAGTTTTGGGTAGTAGTTGGAAAGTGCCTGTAGTATGTTATATAGTTGATATTGGCCTATAGTGTAGTCGTCTTGGGTTGATTGAAAGAACGGGTGGTTGATTAGGGTTCTTTTGATGTCTTTATTGATGAGTTCAGATGATCCTTTGGAATTGAAGGGGTACTCATTTTTCAAGAGGATGGATTTCCAAGCTGCCCATCTGAGTTTTGAGGGTGGTCCTTGTCTGACGAGGTTGATATAGTGTTGTTTGCTCATGATGTAGTATGTCTTAAGTGATTTTTCTAATGGAAATGTGCAATGATGGTATCTCTGAATGAGTTCTGATTCAAGGTCGTAATCTTCAAAGTTGGTGGTCTGTAGAATGTTCGTCCCATTCCTGTTATTTGTAATGGTCTGAGTCTGTGCGATTGAGATATGGTCCGATTTCGTGTTTCTATTGGTATGAATTTCTTTCAGACTAGGTGAATGATGTAGGGGGAATAAGGGGTGGTGTAGTTTTTTTATGACAACTAGAGAGTAGATTGGATTGACCCATTTCAAAATCCTAAATAAGATTTCGCTATTTAAGTTGTAAAGTTTCAAATAAAATATTTATGTAAAAAATAAGTGATTTGCCAAAGAGACCTGCAAGATCGCAGAGATTGGAACAAATAAGCAGACGTATAAATCTGATTTCTAATCACTTTCCCATTAAGTTTATCTAGTAAAATCAAGCGATTAATATTTACTCAGTTGATTTTGATCCACCAATAGCAGATGATGCTAGAAAATTGAGAGAAGAAATAGTTAAATTGGCAACTCGAGATCTGTAGACTTAAAGACTTGAAGAATTCACAGTAATAAACATTGAAATCGTCTTAGTTAAGAGGAAGAAACATCTGGTCATCCATCAATATCCAAGATCGTCTCATAGCCACGGTCACCTTCCAAGGCTAAGAATATAGGGTTCTCGTTGAACACAAAAAGGAGTACACTTTGCAAGACCTTTCAGAAACAACTGTCAATCCAGTCACTTAATCAATCAACGTAGCAGTCAAAAGATCGTTAAGAGAAATGGGCATGATTGAAATTGGCAGACAATCCAAGTTTTATGATCCCAGAGATATTGATTGCAACAGAGTATCAATAAAATACATTCTAGATTAATGAGCATGGATTGAAAGTGTGGAGAGGAGTCAAAACTTCCTTCCAAATGTATCAAGGCAAACCTTATCTCCAGATAGATTTCGCATCTAGAGTTCTGAGAGATCAGACGGCCTTGCAATTCATGATGAGTCTCAACACCAGGAATATATAGGACATTTAAAATGAAATGATTGGATTGAGTGTGTTGGCAGCCTATGGAAATTGTAGAATATATAAAATAGACGAAATCGACTTCACTGTCTCTCCTTTGCATTCATTTCAATTATAAGATGGGAAGTCTATCACTTATCAAGAGTATTACAAACAGAGATATAATATCTAAATCAGAGATCTCCAACAACCTCTCATAGTGAATCGAGACAAGAGAAATCAAGATAAGATTATTTACTTGGTGCCTGAATTATTGACTATGACAGGATTGACTGATCGCCAAAGAAGTGATTACAGATGTATGTAAAGTGTGGCTCAATACACTAAATTGACACCACAACAAAGAGACAATGAGATATATGGATTCTATCAGAATCTAAGAAAGTATCTCAACAAATAGAACATACAATTGAGTGATGATCAGAATGTAGGTGGTTTTCAACTCCAAGCACCCAGAATTTTTATGGGAAATAAAGAATACTAAACTGATTAGAGTGGATTCTTCATGATCAAAGACCCTGTATTCCAAGGATCTCATATTCGAGACTGGTTTATGGTCTATCAATCAAGAGGGAAGAATGATGATGATGATGTTGATTTTCTAGTCTCAGAACTCTAAAAACAAGGGGATAGAATTGGAATCAGAATTGAGAAACCCTACTATGTTGTGCTTAAAGACAATAACATCTAAAATTGGATGTAGAGATTGACAGCTGAAATTGGTGACAAACCTCCATAATTGATAGTCACCTTCATTAATGAAAAAGATAAGGATAGAATCTATGGACAGATGAAGAAGTATTGTTTTCAGGAACATGGCATCAGTCATCAAAACATTCTTAGCAAATTCTTGAAATCCAAAAATCCTTCTAGTGTTGCTTCCAAAATAGCTTAATAAATGAGCATGAAATTAGGTAATCCTCTATGGGCCATTCCTAAGCCAAATGGCATTTCGGATAAAACCATGGTCATTGGCATCGATATCTATCATAAACTATTGACTAATCGGAGATCTTGTATGGGATTTGTTGCCTATTTGGAATCAGAATGTCTAAATACATTTGCCAGACCCATCATTATGAAAGAAGGTCAGGAGATGTGTCATGAAGTAGGAAGAATCACTGTGGAAGCCATCTCTGCTTATTTTGAAAGGAATGGCAAAAAGTATCTGCCTGATACGATCATTGTGTTTAGAGATGGAGTTGGCAATGCTTAAATTGAAGCACTTAAACAGACTGAAATACTACAAATGAAGAATGCAATAAGGAGTATCAATAAGAATTACAACCCATAATTTGCTGTTATTATGATCAATAAGAAAATCAATGATCGTTTCTTCATGGTCAATGGTGGTGGCGGGTAAAATCAGTAGAAATAGACACTTTCCAATCCTCCTTCGGGTAGTGTCATCGCAGACAAGATTACATCATCTAATTTTGACTATTTCATCACTGCTCAATATGTTACTCAGGGTACTTGCACCCCCACTCATTATAGGGTATTGGAGAACGATACTAATTGGAGTGAAGAATTGTTCTGGTAATTCACCTATTATCAGTGTTTCAATTATTAGAATTGGACTGGAGCAGTTAGGTATTAATTTAATTGTTATTATTTAGAGTGCCTTCTTGTGTGCAATATGCTCATAAGTTAGCTTATTTAATTGGAGACACTTATCAAGGGACCCTTCATAAACGACTGGCACATTTATAATGTTGTCTATGACCATTTCTATTTAATTTATATACTTGTTGTATAAATTAAATTTATAAAATTCTCTTATTTAATATATAAATTATCTTGAAATGTAGCAATATCAAAAAACCTTCATTGTAAAACCAGTAGATCGAAACCTGATAGTTCGATCTACTCTCAAGTTGCCACAAATTAGGTAAGATATCCGAATTCATTAGAGCATTGGAATGATGAATATCCCCAATAGATCATCAGAGCATATTCGTAATTCACGCTTACATACCAAAACCAAAACCAGAGACACCATTAAGGCTGTTGTTAAGGAACGTCCTCATTTTAAGTAGTTGCCAACTGATAGAACCATGCCTACTTTGCCATCGTTAAATTCTCCCAGGTCTGAAGATGAGGGAGATTCGACTCATAAAAGTTTGTTTTCCCTCAGAAGAACTGTAATTGATACTCTCTCTTTGCGTCAATCTCGAAGGACTAGTGTGGAGAAGGAACGGTTCAAGGAGGAGAAGAAAGACGAGAAGAGGGAGGAAAAGAATGAAGAAGAGAGAGCAGATGCCAAACTATCAGGTCGACATTATGTGAAATCGGAGGAGCAACAAACAGTTCATCAACAACTAAGCAAATCCCACGGTGAACTGAATGAAAATCACATGAATCTAGATGAAGTCTTGGAGGAACCTGTTGAAGAAATAAGACCCAAGAAGGAATCTCAATCAATCAGACCCAAAAATGAAAGTGTATCTTCACAATTCACCCAAATTACTGATGAAATACATTCAGTGTGGGATAACGTCGATTTGTATTTGAGAGGAGTGCAATTTGATGAATTTGAATAATAGGCTTAACTGCAATCATTCTTGTAGCTCTACAAAATGAGAAGTGGAGGATTCCCTGTAAGTTACTCATGATTAAATAAGGGGCTAAAGAGAGAACTTGTCAAATGAAGAAGTTATCAGAAGAGCTGCTGAATATGCGAAAGGCAATCGCCAAGTATTCAAGAAATATTTCCCAACTAAACAGGTCGTCTTTGAAAATGAAGAAGATTACACACAATCATATGATGTTAATAGTGATGCTAATTTTTAAAAATTCTAAAAGTATATTCAGAAATATAATCAATAATGAGAACACTAATGAATTATATCTCATAATCATAATTAACAATATCAATTTATAACTCATAACGAGTACACATGAAATTCCACTCCATCTCCCTTATAAAACTTGTTCTGAAATTCCACCCTTTTTATATAGATACTATAAGTCATACCAATGTAATCTTAGAGAATGCAAAAAACACTCCATCGTATCCATACACATCAACACTCCAAAACTCACCAAAGCCCAAATCGGATACCTTAACAATGCCTTCCATTACTTAAATAATCTACCCCTATTATGCTTCCCTCAGTCATCGGACTTGACAAAATCAATGAATAGAACACATCAGCCAACTAAGAATGTGCTAAACTCAATGCCCACAATCTCAAATAACTAGCTGTATTAGATATCACTCCCAGAACAAACTCAATTGTTTCTATTGTTTCATGAACTATCAGTTCAGTGAATTCTTCATCTGGACTCAAATCATTGTGATCATGGGTTTACAACAATGACTTCTCCTGTTGAGTTTCATCTTAAATAGTTTACAGTTGTAATTCAATCACTTGGGATCCTTCTATTGAGGAGGTGCTATTTTTTATCTTTACATTGTTCTTTCTCTAAAACACTTGATAACCTTTGATTATATGCGAAAACCACATCCAAGGGATGCTGACAACTGCTATAATAATTAATATCGACTATATTAATTCTTAGGAATTGACACTCCACATCGATGGCCCCTCTACTGATCCAAAAGATAGAACCATTGTGATCATTGTATTTATGATACTTGGAGCATCCTCTGGGCTGAATGACTTCACCCATTTAAATATTATCAAGAAGTCCATGTACCCAATTGTTGCAGTGAGAAAGAGAATCTGAGGCAAGAACTTACAACAAAACCCATAAGTATCCTTTTTATTTATGAAGTTACATCCTGATAAACAAATACCTAAACACATGTGAAAATAAGCGATGATAACGCTTAATTTCATTTTAAAAGAGTCATCGAATTCTAAGTTATCTCCCCAGGCTGGGTCTAATCCAAATGGATAAGTGCAATCCTTTGGTTTATTCGGAGTCATTTATCCATCAACTACATAGCAGGATCCAAAGAGATTTAAGGATAAACTCACGAAATCATTGTAGATCCAACCACTGTAAAAACTGAAAAATCCCATCAATAGAATCAAGTATCGAAACTCATGGAAGGGTTCAAATTTATAGAAGATATTATAAATCCCAAATGTTAGTAAACAAAAGCCATGACCAATGTCACCAAACATAATTCCAAATAAGAAGGGGAAGGTTATGATAGTAAATAGAGCAGGGTTGATTTCTCGATATCTAGCAATTCCATATGTATTCACTATTTGTTAGAACACTTAAGTGAATTCATTTAATACAAAATAAGTGGGGGGTGTTGTATGAGGCACCTTTTGGGAGATCTAACAACCTGGAATGTCTCTATTCCTCTCTTTGACAATCAGAAGAACTTCATTCAATTGGGCACTGTCCTTTTTGGGAATCCACAATTCGCCAAGAAAGAGATTACCTTGCATTTTCAATTTGTTCAATTAAATGTAGAGTTCTTTCTCCTTAGATATATACATATTATAGTGATCTATGAGTCTGACTCCTTCGGTTTGTTTGAGTAATTCTTGAATAAATGAATTTAATTGTATGTTCGTTAATTCTATAAGCTTGATAAGACAGCAATAAATACTTATTTGATTTCTTTGAGTTTGGCAGTTAACTCATTTGAAATTTTATCAAATTCTTTGAGATTGAGCGGGAGACTGAATTTGTTGAGAGACATGGATTCTTGAACCTTTTGGAGTTTCTTCTTCAACATCATCCCTTGATCTGGAAACATTACTATGTAGATGGCTTTTGAATTTTATAATTTGATATGGACGAATGCATTTCCTTTTGATACTCTGAATACCATCCTTTAAAATCTAAAGAATTAGAGAGTAACTTACTGATAGATTTCATCCTATTTCAAGGTGCCTATAAAGTAGTCGATTTTGGAATCTCTGGAAACAAAAAAGTCATCTCCTAAGTATATTCTGCATTCTTGTAAAATGTCCAATTAATCGATAATTATGTTCTCTTATTCAAGCAATTGTTCATGATTTCTATTGAGCTCTAAGAACGAATTGACTTTGGAATTGATTTGATCTTCCAATGTATCCAAATATTGATGGGTGTGTATTTTTGGACACATCTTATTGCTAGTTTTGGCAGAGATTTGAAACTGTTTGAGGATGGTCAATTTCTATGCTGTTTCTATGAGGAGATTGAGTTTGTTGAGTAAATCATCGCATCTGAATTAGAGGAGGGGATATACCTTTTTATATAGTTTGCAAATGGTCTGGCAATTAGGGGAATGGAGGGGTCATGATCTATGATTTCCACTTTTCCCATGTACCCCAATTGATCCATGACAGCCCAGGCACTTTCCCGAGGCATGATGAGTTGATACAATGACATTTCCTACGATCTTAACATATTATAATTAATTATTATAATTCTATTTATTTTGGAGAGAGTGCAGTTGACCACATAATATTATAATAATGTTTGATTCAGATAGTATAATTCGAAATAATTTGCCTGATGGCGAATTCAAAGGCCCTATTCATCATCTGCTGAGCAACAGAGTGGTGTTGCAAGAAGGGGACATTTAGGGAGGAAGCTTCAATTCTTTTACAGTGCCTGAAAACATTATGTTGCAAAACACTCCTCCTCGGACTCCCAAGAACATGGAGAGATTCAAAACTATGGGAGGAAGGAAGTCTGAATTCCAATCTGCCTACGAAGGCGAGGAATAAGACTCAGTGAAGGACAGCAAACCTCAATTTCTGAGGTTAATCATAGCAAAAAGTTTACAGAACAACTTCATCAACAATCTGTGGAATAGATCCTATCTGAGGAAACTTCATCAATTGTCTGCCTATCAAATTGAGTAATTGGACGATTTATAGTTTGAATCGGATGCCTTTTCAAATATTGGCCATCCAAATCAGAGATCCCTGATTCAAACTCTGGCCTTCTGGAACTTAATTGATGTGTTCACTCCTTACAGCAAATTCATCGTCATTTGGGATGTCTTCCAAATTCTTACATATATAATGATCTTTTTTTGGTTACCTTACAAGATCTCATTTGAAATATATTATATAAGCGAATTATTCAATGGGGATAGTGGCAGCAAAATCATCGAAGTAGTGCTTCTCTCAATTTTGGCACTGGATGTAGTGGTTGGACTCAATTTGGCCTTTATTCAGAAGGGATAAATTATCAAGGATCGCAAAAGAGTAATCATCAATTATTTCAATTAATATGCCTTCGTAGATTTGGTAAATATTACATTTTATTTATGGTCTCGTTATCCACAGTTTCAGCGTAATTCTTTATTCCAGACCTCAGTTCCAAAGACAGCAACATGCTCGTTATTCAAATAGTTCTCGGTGCAATCTTCTACATTCTCAGAATTACCAAAATCAACAAAATCTTGGCTCAAATCTAAGAGTAATCATAATTTTATCTAGATTCTTTAACCTCAATGGCTCCCTCAATGACATGGTTGGTCTCATGAAATTACTCATGATCATCATATTTATAGCTCACATCTGCGGATGCACTTGGCATGGCATAGCTCATTACACTACCGCTTACTCCTGGTTGGATGCCTACAATCTAAGAGCCAGAACCAACGGCACACGATACAACTACTCAATTTATTGGGCAACCATGACCATGACCACTGTTGGTTATGGAGATATCACAGCACAAAATGACATCGAATTACTAATCAATAATATCACTATGTTTGTAGCCAGCATAGTTTTTGCATATTCAGTAAATAGCATAGGAATATTCGTGTCCAATATGTACAAAGGAACAATGGAATACAGTAGATCAGTTACTTTGATTAATACGTTTATGTCTAAGAATAAAATCCAGTTTGATTTGCAAACTAGAATTAGAAGCTATTTGGAGTACATTTGGTAAGAAGAATAAGAAATGAACGATGACGAAGTTGGATCAATTGTGAAAAAACTGAGTAGACATCTCTAAGACGAATTGCAATATCAATTGAGAGGCAACATTCTTAAAAATTGTAAAATTGTCATGAAACTGTTTTCAGAATAATTTCTCAAGAATCTCCTTCAGTGTATGGAGGAACTGTCATTCAGTCCAGAAGAGAGAATTATTACATGTAATTAATTGGATGATTGTTCCTTGTACATCATTACTAAAGGAGAAGTAGAACTGCTCTTCTCAGGGAAAAACTAATTAGGAGACATGATAAAGAGAAACTCCATCAAATTTCTCAAGTAATATGAATGTTTTGGGGAAGTAGCATTCTTCACCGGAAATCCAAGAACTGCTACAGCCATCTCTAAGGGATTCACTAGAGCATTTAAAATAAAAAGAGAAAATTTCATTGCAATTTTACAATCATTTCCAAATGATTATGAAAAGTTCTGTGATGCCAGAGATAGATTAATTAACAATGAATTCTCTTCTCTTTAATTAAATTGCTATAGTTGTAATAGTAATAGACATCTTATTAATAATTGTCACATTTTGCATTTTTGTGCTGATCAAGAAAAGATAATCAAAAAAGAATTATACCCAGTTGAATAACGCAGGAGCAGAGCCTTCAATAGAATTAAGAAAACAAAGGCTGTCTGTGCATTTACCATGTAGAAATACTATTCAGGAAGGGCTCACGATTTGATTCAGGATATATATCAACAAGAAAGAGGTGGCACTGATCTAGAGGATGGAGATTCACACACTATGCCCATGAATGATGCTTATGAAGATGATGGTACACAGATAATTGTAATTATTAGACTTGCCTTCTTCCATTAATCAACAGCGAAGTTAATCAAGAACCATGAGTAAGTTAAGTTCGAAAGCTTAATAATAATAACCATAATAATAAGATGATGAAGATGAAGAATAATATAATAAGGGATATCTACGTAAATCATATCCTCCAAGATAGACTGTTTAGACTGCTGGATTTGGAGGTGGCAACACTAAAAATAAAGAAAGTATTGTCTTACTATAATTGCTATAGTCACCTGGAATGTAGAGTAATTAAGTGATTCCTTAGATTCATCAGAAGAACAGGACTAAGTCATACCTTTATAACAATAACCACATAATTAATCAAAATCAAGTGAATAGAATAATAAATAATAATAACCTTTAAAGCGCCAACTCTCAAGAAGTGGGTCTACAGATGATCCATCTAAGGTCCCAACTGAAATTCGAGTTGCCAAATAGCAAGCCCTATCGAAAAATCAATCAGATCTTGAAATCAGACATGCCCTTTCGAGGGAATAGGCTAGAAAAATTACAGGCAGAACCAGAACTCATAATGATGATCCTACGTTGATCACCGATAATTTAACTTAAAATAATGTAGGCCAATTGTAATAAGCTCCCACTATTACTACAATTGTCTTGGCTTTTGATAAAATGTGTATCTTTTAATTTTATCAGCCTTTAAATAATTATGATGCTGTAATCAAAAGGTATTAGCTTATTCAATTCATTTAGATTTGCAAGAGCACAAAAGTTCTTTGGCAAAAAGAGATTATATCCTGAAACCTCTCTGTATTCATTTTATTTTATGGCCATTAAAAAAGGATTTAAACTCAAAAAATTAGGCTAATCACTCCCTAATGGATTATAGAGATTCTCTACTGGTGCTAAACTTCTAAAAAAAGCAGTAAAAAGAATGAAATAACCTACATTGGCAGAAAAAAGTGATATTTTTGTTTAAATTAAATGAATTATCTAATTTAAATATCATCTCATATTTAATTTATAATTCTATAACATTAAATTGAAATCGGATAGATATCTTCTTTATATTAATATCAAAAAATAAGGCTAAATAATCAAAAACAGATTTTCAATACATATTGTATTACTTGAAATTTCTAATTCCAATTTCATCTTCGTTATAACAACTTAAAATCATTCTATTTATGGCTTGTTCATTTTATTTAGCTTCAGCTATTTGGTATCAATTAAAATATGGTAATCAAGGAATGAGCTAACTTTTGTAATAATAATTATTCAAGGGTACATTTCGAATGCTTTAAGAAATTATGAATTATTTAATTTAATTAAAACTATTTTATTTTGTATAATTAGTCATGCATAGGTTGTTATAATAAAATATATTTTTTAATTAAATAAATAATTAATTTTTTCAATACATTAATATTAATTCAAAATTTATTGCGTAAAGGCTTCTAAAAAAAACAGCTTTAACGAAAAATAAACTAAAACTTTTTGGCAAATTGAAGGATTGAGAACTTTGGTTTTTTGAAAATATTTTAATTAGAAAAATTTAGATGATTGATTTCAATCTTTTAATCTATTAATAAGAAGATAGCATATATATATTTTATCAGATAAAAATTATTGAATCACCTTGATTTTCTAAACTGAAAAAACTAAAAAAGGAATCTCCCATTTCAATAATTTCAGTTGGTTCAAATCGACAGACTATATGTCTATTTTCATTTGTAATTCTTAAACATTATTACAGGGGCATAAATTAAAAAGTTAGAGTATCCCCTTCACTAAATGTAAAATTACCTTTTCTTAATAATTTGTATTTATTCTCATTCCATTCCTTTCTTTTTAACTCCCCAAGCTTATTGATAATGAAATCAATTGAATAATGGCATAATGTAGAACAAATACCAATCAATAAATTACCTTTCAGAGTTTGTATTCTCATTCTCCAAATAAGGCCTTGAATTGCTTGTGTTTTGACTTTGTGATTAATATAAAAGTGAAGAAAATCATTTTTTTATTTTTGTAGATTGAATGATGGACGAATTAATTTTGCCTCAACAGCTTAGGTACCAGTAAATTAATAGTTCTAAGTAAACATTGTTTTAAAAGAAAACTAGTGTATAGTATCAAATGAGTCTCCCTTTAACATTTTACAGATTTTTTATTCTAATTATTAGTTTTTCTAATTTAACTCCTCTATCTTTTTATTTAATTGAGCAATTCTATTGTCTTTATTATTAAATTATTATTATACACAATCCTAGAATAAGGATAATTATTTACATCAATAGAATGAAGTGAGAATAGTTTCCTTGACATTTTATTGCAACATTTGGGACATTCGATGATGACTTATTCACATTAATTTTCGTGCTACTCTAATTCATTTTACAATTATTATAGTCCACAACCAGAACAATTTATTCTTCTGAATGGACATTACAAAATATGCTTTTAAAACTACTCATATCCTGGCTTCGTCGGACATTCTTCATATATACAACTCAATTATATTGAGTCTAATAAATTGTGTATTATAGGTATGGATGTTTTTTTGAACTGTCTTTTGCATTTTGGGCAATTGGGCAAAGTAGTTTCAATTTAGATTTATTGAGGCATTTCAGAAAAAGAACTAGATTAAGAACTGTATTATGATCCAGAGCCGGAATCAGGAGCAATAATTAAAGATTAGGAATAGAGTGATTCTTATAGGACTTCATCTCCGGCTTAATCTTGAATCCATTTATTGATGCAGACTTCGCAAAATGATTAGAAGCATTTATCCTATCCACAAGCAATTGGTTTCCATAAAATATTTAAACAAATAGGACAAATTAAATGATCAACTTCTATCCTTGATTAATAGAGTAAATGTTTAGGAATTCCACTATTTTTTAAGAGTTCCAAGGGATTTAATAAATTACTAGACTCTGTTTACATGATAATTAATAATTATATTATAATTATATAATCACAATTAACTCTTAAATAATTCTGAGTATCTGACAAGCTTCTTAGACTTTAGATGATTCATTTTTCTTTTGATATTTGATAAATCTAATAAAGAAACCACATTTTTAGTGGCTTAGCCTTTAGTACTTAAGTATTAGGTCGAATTGGCTAAACCTTTGAATGATTCTCTGAATTATTAATTATTAGGAGCTTTTTCTAGTTTTGATGGCATTTACTCAGAGATATGTCTTTTTGATTTTAATTATTTTTATGCATTCTCTTATTCTTACTAATTATCATCCATAATAAGCTTAATTGCCTATTTTTAATATAGAAATTAATACATTTAAATTAGTTTAAATCATCTGTCGAATAATTTGATCCTCATTATTCTACTACTATTCCTACTACTGTTTTTGATCTTCTTTTTAGCCAGATATCTTTTAGTATAATTTCATTAAAGCTGATTCCTCCTCTAAAGTTTGTAATTTCTTTTTTGTTTATTTTAAACCTAAGGTATTACAATGCTTGATAAGTATCTTTCTAAAGGGAGTTTTGGTCTTGGGTTTAGGTTTGAGTGATTACTCAAATAATTACTATTATTATCTTTTCTTCTTCAACCTTTCTTAAGCTTCCAAGTACCCTGAGACTAATTGAAATTCAGTCTTAATTTCATTATTCAACTATTTCAAGGAATCAGTTTCTTTAGGTTCAGCTATGGCACTTTTACTAAATTGTCTTTTGAACATAAGGATAGCCTTGCCTAATTCATAATCTTATTGTTATCTTTAATTTTCATTAAGTTCGTCCTTACAAGTTCGTTGGATATCAGCAAGTGAATAGAATGCTTATTCTTTCTTCAATTGATTAACGATAACTCCTGCTAATTCTTAATCCAATTTAGGATAATCTGATTATTCAGTTTTACAATATTAAGTAAAATCTGTAGGTCTTGTCCTTCTTGAAAATGATGATATAGAGTTTTATTTGATCAATTTTGATTCACTTTCTGAAGTTACTAATCTATGTTAATCATATCCATCCTGGGTAGTGAAAGATTAATAATTTTTTGAAATCTATTATTGTGTAAGTTCCCTTTCTGTTCGACTTCCTTTGGGTACATTATATAATAAATAGGGGGATGGAGGTTTAACAGGAACAGGATTTAATTTGAAATACTGCTATTTATTAAGTTGTTCCATCTTGAATTTTAAATAGAATTTTTCATTTAGGGCTTTTTAATAATCATCTTTAACTTATAATTAGATTGCCTTGATTTCAGGATTAGTGTCATCTGCTAAGAATGTAAATATCATGTGTCTAATTTCACACTCAGCCAAGATATGATCAATGTACTTTTGTATATCTTAAGCTCGACTGAAGATAAGAATTCTCAATTAATGCTCATCTTCCAATCTCAAGACTTCATTACAAAACCATTAGGCTAAGTGGATGCATTCCTTCATCTTTGAATATTCAGAGAGGTATTCATAACAGAATGATTGAAGATATAAAATCATTACCAATTTCATAATGTATTATTCAACAGGTTTTAGATCTGAATCATCAATGACATTTGGAGTATTTCTTTTTTTTAAGATTAAGAAAATTAGTTATTACAAATAAGAATAAGCAATTTAGTATTATTTTAGTGAATTATTAAACTCGCATAATTAAAAATATAATTATCCAAAATTTTAGTAGTGATCAACAAAGATCTTGATTAACCCAATATTTTTGGTTTGTTTCATTTCTTTAATCTATAATAGCTTTTCAATTTTATGCATCACTTTCAGACTGTTCTGCACTTCATTAGTACTTTTAAATAATCTTGCATAAATTATCAGTTATTTCATTACCAATGTCAAGCACTCATTCAAATAATATCTAACTATTCATATTCATAACTTGTACCTTTGGTTTTCTCCTTTAACTTGCTTAAATTGGCAACCTTTATCAAACTTCCAGGTATACAAATTGTCTAATGAATTCGTTGTCTCAATCTATTCAGTCCTATCTTTTGTTCAATCTAAGCTGAATTTAATTCTTCAAAATGTTCAGTTCCTCTTTCATTTTTTAGCATTCTTTGAATATTGATATAAGTGACAGCAGTGTATAAATTGCATCTATCAAGCAACAAATCTACTTTCTGAATATTTTCTCCTTGAATATATTCAGAAAGTAGATTTTATGCTGCTCTCATCAGTCTTCTGCTAATTTGGATATTGAGTGTGCTCATTTCATTATGGGAATAACTCATGAAATGTTTGTCAAGCAACAAGATTACCTTTCGATTCCCATTCTGAATTATTTATTTACAATACCTTTTTTAATAAACCAGAAGCATCATTTAAAATATTTTCAATTGGGTATTTCTTCATAACTGGTGATTCAGATTCCATTATTAATTATTAATTATATATTTATTTTATCATTATTAAAATTTAAAATTAAGATATTTGTGAGATACTTAAATTTGCAGTTTGGATTGATTTATTTATTATTTTACGGATATAATTCTAAACATAATTTGACCATTTTCCATAGTATCTAATAAATTCATCAGAATGAACAACATAAAAGAATTGACATAAAAATTGCTTTCGATTTCACCATATTTTAACTTCCATTCATCCTTATTTCAAAATCTTTTATTTTCAAAACAACTTAGGTAACTGAGAAACACTTCATCTTCTACTTTTGGAATTAGAAATAAATCTACTTCTTCTATCTTAAAGTGGATTCAAACCTTCCAATTTAAATCCAATTGCAATTTTTGGATTTTACTAGAATAATACAATCCTAATCTAGAATCCAAGATTTTCACAACTCAAATTTTCCAAACACCATCCTCTATGATTAATTTATTCTTACAAGCAAGATGGATATAACTTTTGATACATATTGAATCTATATAAATTAGAACTTTCAATGTTTAGCAGATTCTTGTTAATTTTTATGATCAAATAGGTTTAAATCTGTCAATGAGTCTTGATATATATATATATCAATTTATGTTGATTCTATCATCTAGTAAAAGATGTTTTATCAAACTGACTTTTTTAGATAGGTTGATTCCATTATAAATATTGTATCCTAAATTCAAATAAAATGAATAATTGCTGAGAGACATTCCATCAGCATTTACTAAGTAATATGATTCTACAAAGGTGTTGATTTAATTGGTTAAAATTCTAACGAGGGAGGAATAAAAGAAAATAAAGGCTTTGAAATTTGATACTTAAACTCTTTTTAATAAAGGACATTACTAATGGTCTAGAGTTATAAATTACTCACTTTTAATTCCTCCCATGTTTACAAATGCTTTTTATTAGGCCATAAGTAGTTTATCAATTATTCTGGTTATTTTTGCATTTTTTCATATCTTAGGTTCCATTCTTCTTGCATTTGTGCGTGCAGTTTAGGGAAATAGGGCAAAAATTGATTATGAACCATTATAAATTTCTGTCTTTTTTAATTGTTGCGACATTGTTTTAATTAAAATGAGTAAATATTTATTTCCTATAATAACAGAGTGGATAGTTTTGATTTTATCAATAATAGGAGTCTTGCTTTCATTGTTTTACATATACGCGTTCTTAAGGATCAATAAACTACATAAGAGTCCAGGCGATATTTATTTTGGAATGTGTTTGGGAGAATTGATTATGATGTTACATTAGTAAGCAAAATCAGCATAATTAGTATTATAGATTCTAGCAATCTTTTACTTGAAGGCGGAATAAAGAAAAATAGTGCATTTTGTCTTATCAATCTTGTAGCTTTCACCTTTTCTGTCATACTTATTTACTCATATACAATTTAATTGTATATGCATATGATTGTAAGACTCATCTTTACGCTTCAAGCTAAAAAGATTAATAAATGGTAAGGGCATTTAGCAACTTGGGTGATATCATTGCTTTATGCTTTAATCTCCCTTATATCCTTTTAAGAAAGCCATTGTGGAGTCACTCTCTCCTCTACTGCTCCATTTACTTTTATAATTTTATTGCTGAGTTTTTTTGCAATGGCAATCACTACTCGACAATATATCAAGCAGGAATGCGAAATCAATTCAACTGTAATATAATTAACAATATTATATAGAATAAACTTTAGAAGGAGGGTTAAAATTTCATGTAATACATTACCAAATTATTTATTGTTTAATCCATAATAATGACTAGTTTCATTACCTTTGCAATGGCTGCTTATCTCTTGGATTAGAGTCTGAAACTTTAGGTAAATTGCACTAATGCTACTCCAATAACTTGGCTAGCTTATCTTGGCTTTTTTGCTCAAATTTCTGCTGTTGTATATCCTATTGCTATTCCCTTAACCAGATTTACTGATCCCTTTATTAAAAAGCATTTAATAAAACATTATTTTCCATCTAAATCGCTGACAGGATCAAGAGATATTTCCATGATTGAGCAATCCTTAGAAGGAACTAGCATGTAATAATTTGATTATTCAATTATTTATAGATAATATAAGAAAATTAGTCTTGATGGACTTAGCCAATCGTTAATTGAACAGAATTCTTTTCAAGTCTCATAGGAATTTAGTACATTTAGAAAACCTTATACTTAATCTGATTATTTAAGGACTAATACAGTATCGGTTGGAAGAAGCAGATAACTTACGATGTAAAATAAATAAGAGGATCCATTTATTCATCAGTTGACAAATCAATTGAGAAGTGAAATTATTAAGAGAATTATGGCCTTAATTCTAATTCAAGAGCATGACAAAGTTAAGGAAATAAGTCAAAATAAATAATTTAAAAAGATTCTAAGACATCAGGCCAATTAAGATTATGATGATTAAATTGTCTTTAATGTTAATGACATGTTTTTAAAGGAACATTTTAGAGAATAATTCAAAGTTTAGAATAAGAAGTTTAAAATGATTTCTTATGCTCCTGTCATATTCGATATACTTACGTATTCATGTTTCTTTATTTATTAGTAAGGAAGATTAAGAACATCTGGATCTATTGAATTGTTTGGATCTTGAAACAAATCAAGAATAAATCAGAGAATGTGCTTAAACCAGTGGTGGGAAGTCTGGAGAATTCTTTTTCTTTAATCATAACAATAAAATACTCTTGAAAACAATAAGCATGTCTGAACTTCAAACTTTATTAGAAATTATTGAATAGTATTTCTGGCATTGCACTAATAACCCAAATACCTTAATTGCTAAAATTTTAGGAATTTTTACATTTGAAGGATTTGAAATTGGCAGAATTTCTATGATTCTCATGAAAAACATTGGTAAAATTAATAAAATGGCTATCCAACGCATTTTTGATTTGAAAGGGAGCAGTTACGATAGAGAAGTAATTAAAACGATTAAATCATCTGGGGAATTTAATTCTTAAAATGTGGAAACAATATCAAGCGGTTAAGTATTAAAAGATTTAGATTTCATAAAATTGGAAAAGTAAATACACATAAGTCCTGAACTTTGTACTTAAATTTATGAACAATTAGAAGTTGACACTCTCTTCTTAAAGTCATTGGGCTTTATGGATTATTCTTTGTGTCTTATGATTGTTGATTGGTAGAGTTTTTATCAATCTTAACTTTCCAATGAAATATAAGATGAAGAACTTATTTAAAAGATTATTGGCTAAAAATTAACTAGATTGCAGCATTGTTATCCAAGCACAGTCTAAAATGGATTTTATTATCACATAGGTATTATTGACTATCTTTAAAAATATAATTTGTAAAAAATAACTGAAAAATATGCCAAAAAGTTTATGAAATTGGATTCAAATCTAGATACGTCTTCATAAAACCCTTATGAATATAGAAAGAGATTCTTAATATTTTTGAAGAGAATATTATGATAGTTCTATTAAGTTATTGTTCTCATTTACATTTTTATTAATATGTTTAAGCTTATTTAATAAAACTATCATAAATTTATTTAAGGTATCCTAAGTTGCCATAACAATATAGGAGTATTTTAATAAAAATTATCATTATAATTTATAAAGTTTTAAGCATTTATACATAATGTTTAAACTAAAAAGTTGATGATTCTGAGTCAAGTCTGATATTCAAATAATAATTAATTATACCAAAAATAAGTGAGTTTAAAGATAATGTAAGTCCCAAAGTCCGAAGACTAATTTTCTTATTTAATCTAGTAATCAAACTCATAAAAAACGTTAGAGATTTAGGTTGAAGCTAAAGCCAGTATAAGATCCTTAAGGCTTTCAGGAGACAATAAATATTTAGCAATTTGCCATATTTATAAAGGATTAGGTTAGCTTAATATTTGGGATATCACTTCAAAAAAAGTGAAATGTAGTATAAAAGTACCTAATATGTGGGCTGATGATAGGATGAGTTATTTTTCAAAAGATAGTAAATATTATTTTTTTGCTTTATATGACACTGATTAACTGTAAATAATATCTCTTGAATCCAGAAGGGGAACTATAACATATTGTAGTCTAGGTGATAGATTAAAAGAAACAGCAGTTTCATTAAATCCATTATATTTTTGTACTGTTACTCCAAAATAATGTTTATTATGGAACTAAAATACGAAGAAGGTTGATAAAAAGATAGAAAACACTTTGGATTTTATTTGCTGCTGCTTTAAAAACAATGATAAGGAATTGGTTACACTCAGTTATTAAGAGTAAGATGCTACACTCATTTCTTGTTGGTGTCTTAAAAAGTTAAAGGTTTTAAGTTAATGGACATGTAAGTATATTTCACATTCTGCAAAGTGTTATGTAATCGAAGAAACATAAATTTTAATAATAGATTATCAAGATGTACATGAACATTATTTTTAAATATGGAATATATTAGGGTAATCTTTAATTAGAATATTGTATGAAGCAATTGACTCATTTTACATATTGAATAATTTTGGCTCTAAGTTAATTGTTGATTGTGAGGACGATGAAGATGATGATAATGATGAAAATGCGGATAAAAGTGATGAATACAAATGGATATCAATTTTTGATATATTAACTTTTAAATATCAAAGATTTAAGACTTTTATTGAATAAGGTCAAAGTTTCTATGTTCAAGAAGGTGCTTTGATAATTCAAAATAGAAAAAATAACTCAGAAGATGTAGGAATATTTATTAATATTAAATGAAAAAAGAGACGTAAATATGTGAACTTATAACAAATTAATATTAAATAAGTCTTTTGATTCATTTTTAATAAGAACGAATTATATTTTTTATAGTTAATATATAAAAATTAATGTCCTCTCAACTTCCATAGCTGATGATAACTGAATAACCTATGGATGAATACCAAGATTTTATCAGTCATTCACTATCTGATGTTTGTTTTTCAGTTAGCAAGTTCTAGAGTAAGGGTAATAATGTAAGTGAGAATTCGCTTGATTAAGACTACTAATAAAATATGAATTCAAATCCTCTCTCTCCAAATAATATTAATTTAACAAAACCATCAAATGATTCCTCAGACCAAAAATAAATTATATAGATGCAATAAAGACCGAGTGTAAGTTCAACATAAGAAAGAATCTATAAAGACTTTTTCTAATACTCTTTGATTCAAAAATTTGTACATAGGATATCATTCAAAAAGAAACTGAATTCAATGTTTGATAAGTATCATTTCGATGTGATTAACGATCTGGGAGCTACATTTAATTTAAATTTATTTCGAGAAAATACAATAAAAATGCGACCAATCATAGTCAAATAGGTTTAGAAAATAGAGAATCGATGTTTCATTAAGTTTAATCGATTTCGGTCTTTGTTTCTATTAAAATGGAACTTTTTTATCAACAAAATTCCATTAATATACCCAGAATCCAAATTGAAAATGCTTTGGGATGCAATAGTTACTTTAGCACGATTTTATTTTATCTATGTAATTCCAATGGATTTGGCATGGGAAACACAATCATTTATGTTTGACATCTTAATCGTACCCACATCATTAATGTTAACTTTATTGATAATAGATTTTGTATTAAGTTTTAATAATGCCTATTATGAATTTGGATCCATTGTAACAGATCGCAGAAAAATAGCTCAATATGTTTTTACCAAAACATATGGATTAGATATTTTGTCAGTATTGGTTCTGATAACCTTTTTGATTATTTCAGTTGTTTAATCACAGCAAGTAAGACTAACTGAAAATTGGTATCATCTATTGTTGTTATTATTTCTAATCTAATATAAGAACATATCTAAACTATCAGAACAAGTTGAAGAAGCACTGAATTTATCAAAATAAGTGAGTTCGTTGTTAGAATTAGGGAAGTTAATATTTTTACTCTTCTTCGTTCTACATATTTTCTCCTGTCTTTGGTTTTGGGTTGGAACTTATTCATATAAAAATGATCACAAAACTTGGTTGAACTTGAAAAACTTAGAGGAAGCTGATTGGAACATCTAATATTTATACTCATTCTATTTTTCAACAGTTACTATGTTTACTGTTGGATATGGTGACATCACTCCACAAAGTACTTTCGAAACTGTACTTTGTATAATGTTTATGATGATCTGTAGTATTCAACTATCCTACAGTGTAAGTACTGTAAGTGCAATTATCGATAAAATTTCATTTTACTCAAAAGAAAAAAGAAAGAAGGTTTAAACTATTAATACTTACATGTAAAATAAGAATATAAGTTATGAGTTACAATTTAAAATTAGAGAATATCTCAATTATTATTGGTAATGTAACCAATAAGAAGAAACAGAAGAGGAAAAGAATATAATTAATTAATTATCAGAAAATTTGAGAGAAAGTTTGCAATTTGAAGCAAATTCTATGATATTGAACAATTGCCCATTATTTAAGAATCACTTTAGTGTGTAATTAAAAAAGAAGTTGGTCAAAAAAATAAAATCAATTGTTGTTTAGCCAGAAAACATCATTGATTTTGATCATCTATTTCCAAGTTAAAAAATGAATTAGTTTATATGTTTTGTAGAAGAGGGAGAAATCTAAATTTTTATAGAAAATGAGATGTTATAAAACCATGTTTCATATAATTCGATATCCATAGTTAATACAGTTTCTAAAGGAAGCAGTCTTGGTTTGATGTCATTCATTACTGGAATTAAAGCAAGGGAAAGATTTAAAAGTATAGGCTTTTCTAAATTATTATTATTGTCCAGAGATGATTTTCTAAAAATTATACCAGAATTTCCAGAAGATTATGAGGCATTCAGGGAAATGCATGATGATTTGATTTATAATTCAGATTCTGAGTTTCTTAAATTAGGCTGTTTTTCTTGTAAAAGTGTTTCACATAAAGTTATTGATTGCCCTTTAGTTCATTTTATACCTGATAAGGAATTTTTAGTAAAAAAGCATTAATTTTCAAAGGATTAAAAAAGAAATGAAATGTGTAAGTTCAAATTCAAAAGGAATCAAAAAAGAACCCATAATTATTTTTAAGTTTTTAATGATTTGGATCTAATTCAAGAAACTAGTGATTTATTTTAAGCTGATAATTATAAGCAATGTCTGTTTTATGAAGAACTTGAAGATGATGTTGAGAAATTAAAAATTCAATAAATAAATATTCCTAGACCTTCCTGTTATTTTCTATAGGATTCAATTAAAGAAGAACCTGAAGAGGATTTCTTTATGCCGATGAATTTATTAAATCAAAGAAAAAGTCAAATAAATAAAATCACTAAAAAATCAATGTCTTTGTTGGTAGATGATGATTTAATGCCTCTGTAGCATTTCAGAGGAATAAATAAATTTAAGAGGGCAGTAGAAATTGTTAAAAGTTTAAACAAAATTATAAATAGGAAAAGTTTAAAGGCTTAAACTAAAAATATTTTGGCATCATTAAGCAACGAAAACTACAAGGATTCGGAATAAAAATAATTGTTAAATTCAATAAAGAAGAGATTAAAGTATATAGAAGATCACAACATAGAATGGAGGGAATCAGATCTTTAGGAGATGGAGTTTTTGAAGATGAGATTGTAGATGTTAATATAACTAAATGCCTAGAAACCAGAAAAATTTGATTAGATAGAATGCGTTAAATAATATAAGTTTTATAACATTCATAATAACGTGGATTAAATATTGACCATTTACAATGAATTTTATAAGGTCAAATTGAAAGAACAATAAAACATTCCTTAAGTCTTTAAGCAATTTGTCAAATATTTGATGTATCCCTATTCATTTATTCATAAATACAAATTTAAATCAGACAATTTTAATATGAGGGAGATTAAGTAAGAGGAAACAAATCAACAAAAAAAGAAGAATCAATTCTCTAAATTATTGACATTGCATAAATAAAGTAAAAATTTAAGAAAAAAGCTAAATGTCAAGAAAGCTTAAATATAACCACTATGATTAAATAAATAATAATAATCATTATTATATTTCTTGCAATTATTCTCTGTAAAATAAAGAGTCAGGGTGATTTTTAGGAAGTGTTTTATCTAAGATTTGAATACATTTGGTCAAGCATTATTATGCTGATTAGATGTTTCCAATTTATTTTAATAAAATACCAAGGTTCCCATATGTAGTGGCAACAAGAGGGTGATCATCACCCGATTAAGATTATTTTAAAATAACTAATGCATCTGCAAAGAACTTTTAGCTTTTATCATACTCTTCTAAATGTTTACAAGAATTTCCTATATTATTTAATGTTAAGGCCACTTCAACATGGTTTTCTCCTAACTTACTTTTCTTAATAACCAATGCTTTCTCATATTATGATTTTGCTTAATGGTAATCTTCCATTTCAAAGAATACATTTCCCAATACTTCGATTGTTGAAGCCACTTCCAAATTTCCAGAACCTTGAAGTTTTTCCCTAATTGCTAATGCTTCTTCAATATTTTTCTTAGCCTTTCCTAAAGTACCTTTCAATCTTTGGATTTCTCCTAACATTGTTAATCCTTAAGCTTTCATAAGTAAGGCTTAGTTTTACTATTATTAGTTTTAATTGTTGTAACTCAACATACTCTATTATAGATTTTAATTTCCTGAAGCATGACCTAAAATAAATGTAAAATACAACCTTCTGTAACTCTGAGTCCTTTTTTAACTCTTTTAAGGGCATGTTTATAATCTCCTAATAAGGAATGAACTTTTCCTAAGTTGATACTCATTTTTGCAAATTCTAAGCTGTCAGCTCCTTTTTCTTGTTCAGTAATTCTGCAAGCTTCCTCTAGGAATGAACGAGCCCTTACTAGATTTCCTTGTAATCTATATCCATTTGCAAGATTTTCCAATAAGAGAGCACCCTCGTAGCTGTCATCTCCGTTATGTCTATAAAATATAGAAAATAAATTACGCTTTTCTTACACAATCCAAAGCTCTTTCGTAATTATCCAAGGCTTCATTTAACTTGCCTTGTTCTCTCAATTAATGGCCAATTTCATTATATAGGATACTAGCCTTCATAAAATAATCTTGAGCGCTACTCAAATTATTGATGTCAATAAATCCGTTAGCAATATCAAAGAGAACCTCTGCAGCATGGAAATCATCTTTAGCATTCTCATAAGTGACTAATATTTCTTCCATTTTTTCAAGCCATTTTTCCCATTCAAATAGATCATAATAAGCAACAGCAATCAATTAATAGACTTTAGTAGATTCGATACCTGCATATTTCTTCTTGTATTTCATGCTTTCAACAAGATTGTCTTCATTAATAGGTATTTCAGACAGATATGACTTAGTAAACAAAGATAATTCAGCTGGAGTTAAACGACTAGATTCATCACCTACTAACATGAGTTTCAAGACATCATGATAATCATTGCTGCTACCTCTACTGCCAGCTCTTTGATTATTGAGTTTTTTGACAACATTCCTTAATTCAGTGCTTTCAAAATTGACTTCCAATTAATCCATCATCAAAATATTTAAGCCCAATTAATAGACATCGGCTAAAAATGGATTGTATCTTCCAACAGTCTGTGCTCCACTTGCATCTACGTATTTTTAGACTTCTGGGGGTAAATAATCAGGTACACCTCTGATGGTATTCAATAATTCTTCGTTTTCTTATTAGATGTTGATTCCCAAATTGTTAAGTGATAGTTGGTTATGTAGAGTCTATGCTTTTTTAACAAACTTAGCTTCTTCATAGCCTCCAATTTTGTAGGTTTTGCTTAGAGAACAATACCAAATGTTATGAGGACGTAGGTCTCGATGTGTAATATTCAATTATTCTAATTATCCTAAAGCTTATGCCAATTCGCCAAACACATGTCTTATTTCATCAGATGTCCATTACCAATTATGGAATTTACGAAAAGATATTATTTCATGTAATGTTGAGTCGCAATATTCCATCAATAGAATGATAGATCCTTTAGAAGATTCTTTATCTTCATTTTCTAAAATGTAACAATCGTGTAGAGATATCAAATTCTTGCATTTATTTCCAATCAATTGCATGATATATATTTGATACAGGGCCTATTTGAATTCATAATCCTCGTAATCATTAAAGTTGATCACTCTTAACGTGTATTTGTTACCTGTTTTTTTGTCGATCACTCTCAATAAGGATGTTTCAAAACAATTAGGATCGATGATCACAGACTATATTATTAACAATCACTTTACTTCATCAATATACCAATCCAACTCATCTTTGTAAGAATAGTCATGACACACTACTCGAATCGAGACAACTACAGAATCGTTGGTGGCCAAATGACTATAAGGTTTAAGGTTCAAAATGAAGTCTTGTTGTCTCTCATTTGAAAAGATATCTATAAGTCAATCTCTGTTATACCTTTCTTATCATTTTCACCGCTGGATATTAGTACTTGATGAAATCGTTATGATTCAGGTTTCAGTTTTTATTATAATCTCACAGGAATAGCTTATGCAAATGCCTATTCATTGGCATCTCTATTGATTGGTTGATTTCCACAACATTGATTCCCCATTTTGATTTTTATTACGTTAAAAAATTATATTCAATTCCTATATATTAATATATATATTTAAAATTCAAATTATGGAACCAGAAAGGTCAAAAGAGATCCTCAGTAACTTGCTAGCTAAACAAATTGATATGAATGAGCAACTACAAAATGAAAATGAAGAATTAAATACTAATCTAAAGTGATTTATTATCTCTATCTTTTAGGCGATTGCTCAATCTCTTAAATTAAAAGGACAGCCAATTGGAAGACATTAAAGACAGAATTATTCAAGTTGATTAAACAGAAACACAATATTAAACAACTATCTCTAATCAAACACAACAAATAAAACTAATGCAATCTGAAAATTAGGAATTGGTGCTTCAAATCCAATCGCAATCAGAAATTAGGTACAAGATGGAATAAGAATTGGCTAAAATTATTGAATCTTTTGAGAAGATGCAAAAAATAAATTAGCAATAACAAGAAGAAATTAATCTATTATCAGAACGAAATCAACAATTAGAAGAAACCTAATTGACTAATTCCATATAAATTGAACAAAGTTAAAAGTAAATTAAATTACTGGTGAGTTCTAATGAAGATTATGAAAAATAAACAGATATACTATTAAAATAAACTAATGAGCTCAAATAAATACAGATTAAATTACTCTACAATTTGGATGCAATATAAAAAGAGAAGGATGAAATGACTACTCAATTTGATGAAAAACTCATTCAATTTAAATCTTGTTTCTAAAGTACTGCTGAAAATACTAAAGATTTGTCTAATCAAGTCAATGATCTTACTAATCAAACTCAAGTTTTATAAAAATAAGTAATATACTCTCTTTCTAAATTAGAATTAATCACTCATTGATCAAATTGAAGACTATTAAACTCTTTCTATGAAATTGGAACAAGAAAGAGATAAATATCATAAGGAATTAGAAATCACAGTCTAAAATAATACAAGACTGTAGAATAATAATTCAAATCTAGAAAATCAATTAAATCAACTCTCCCAAGATCAGGAATCATCTATCAAAAAAGTATTAAGTGAACCTTATATATTAGATGAAATATATGATAGAATAAATTGATGAGTTAGAATAAGCTAATGATAGTTAATTGAAATAAAATAATGAACTTAGATAGTAAATCAAAAAGTTATAATTTCAATAAGATTAAGTTCTTAAGGAAAAGGAAGTCATTTATGAATAATTTGAATAAATACAGAAAAATGCTCAACATGATCATGAAGGAAATAGAGATAAATATATCAAATTAGATAGATCATACAAGGAATTGCATTGCTAATATGACGAATTACAGAATAAAGTATATATCTACTTTTCAAAATATAGTATAAAATCTAAAATTAAACTTTTGACGAATAATAAATACAAATTCAACAGAATATCAAGGAAATAAGCGAGCTCAAACAAAATTTAAGGATCATTCAGGAATCTGAAAGAAAACATTCTTATAATTATGAAGTCATTAGTAAAGAGAAGTTTATGGTCACCTAAAAATTAGAAGAGTCCTATTAGATAATTAAGGATTTAAGAGATTAATGCTAAATTCTATAAGAAAAATTATAAAAAATAGAAATTTATAATAAAAAATTGCTTATGGAAAGTGAGCAATAATAAAAATAGGTAGGATGATTAATATTCTTTTAGATTAAAGCATAAGAAAGTAAAATTGAGGAACACGAAGTGCATATTGAATTACTTTAAGTTTAGATCAATCATAAACAAACTTAATAAGCTGAAATTGATAGATAATAAGCAATGAAATAATCAACAACAAAAAAAAGTTAATCAGTCAACAAGGAAAATAACAACAATGAATTGATGAGATTAAAGAAACAAAATACAGAGTTAACCAAAGAGGCAATTTCTTTAAATGAATAGATCTTAGAGCTTAAGGTAATTACTCATAAGTATTTTAGAATGTCATTAATAAACTGAATGATTAACTGGCATAACAAAATAAAGTCAAAGCAGGATTAGAATCAAGAATTCAAAGTTTAATTAAAGTTGTTGAAGAGTTTTAATAGAAATAAATTTAGAAACAATAGGATAGTTTAACGAAAGAGTAATTTCAAAATCAAGTTGAGCAAATCAAAAAGAATTGTTATATTTAGATTTAATAGTTAACAAGGGAGAATGAAGAATTAAAAAAGTTATTATAAACACAAGCAAATCAAACTTTCAATTCTACTGAGGAAGTGTCTTCATTATAAGATACTGTAGCAGACTTAAATCGAGAGAAAGTGAATTTAATTAGAGAGTTGAATTAAGAACATGAGGCAAAAGTCAAATCTGAAGCTGAAAGAGATAAGTTAAAATAATAAATTGAATAATATCAACTCGAAATTGAAAATTGCTAAAATTAGTTAGATCTCTATGTCAAAGTACTAAAACAAATGGATGAAAAGTTAAAATAACAATGATTAAAATTTTTTATATTTGAATATTTCTCCTTTTATTATTATAAGATTTGTTTTTTTTTTAATTTAAGAATAGTTTTAATCATATTTATTATAATAATTATTGATTAGAGTTTTATTTCATAAATTAAATGTTGTAACACTTAAATTGATTATTTAATTCTTTACACATTTTCTTCAGAATTTAAAACTATTTTTATTAATTTTTTTTAGATATACAACCAATGATAATCACAACAGTGTCTATAATGTTTATTTGACTTGCTCTAAGTATAGTTTTCTCTGGATTAAAATTCAATTCTAAATTTAATACTGAATACTCTATATTTGAGTTTGAACAAACCTTTTATCTATAGAAAAATATGTATCATGATTGATTTATCCAATTAATAATAATTTACAGATAATTATTAAATTTATTTAAATACCATATAATATTAAAATGCATATTGATATATTGTTATTAATTTAAATATTTCTATCGTTTGTAGAATTCATAGTAGAATGCAGCCTATAATGATTTATGTTATATAAATAATCAGAATCTATTTGACTAGCCTAACTCGTAGAGCAAAGTAATTGCTATGAATATTATTACGATGCATAGATGATCAAAAATAATAATTTTATCATTAAGTAATTATTTCTAAAATATCATTAAGGTAGTATAATAGAGTTTTCAATTTAATAATTGTAACGTAGTGTAACCAAAGAAGATAACCTATGAACAATTGTAATAAATATTATATTAAAAGATTCAATTAATTATAGATTTTATTGGCTGTAAGATAAGAAATTTGTTAATAGGTTTTTAAATACAATAATTATTTTTTTAATTCTTAAAAGTTATACTAACCATCCCTTCAATGTTTAAAAATTCCAAACTTATTACAATAAATATAATAAAACAACTATAAGAGTTAACCTACAAAGTATATCTTATTATTATTGAATTTATTATCTTTCTAATTATGATGAAGAACAATTATCCAATTATGTTAAAATATTCTTTAGTATCTAAGAAGTATCTAATTTTACAATTTAAGTGATAAAAATAGACACTTTAATTTATTAATATAAACATATTAATTATTAAATTTTATATATTTATTATAATTTTTTGTAATAGACTGATATAAATTTGATGATAAAAATAAAATAACAAATAGGGTATTGATTCTTGATGATGTTATTCAATGAAAATGAAATTTTATTAAACATTCCTTTTAGAGAATACTTTAAGGAAGCTTAAATAGAATTCTATTATAGTTATAGTTCGTTCCATTTTTAGTAGTTAGATTTAATTAGATTATTTTAAAAAACGAATAGGAGTTAAAATGTAGTACTTCTTTCTAGAATTGAATCCTTGTAGATTATGTTAATATTTTTATTTATTATAATATTCTACAACAATTCCAATTGTCAGGATTGATCAAAGAATTTTAATGAAGATAATTTTTAAGATTTAATATTAATTTTAAATCAGATGGAATTTGCTACAGCGCTTGTGTTCATTTTCCTTTCCTGTGCTTGTGGAATAGTTTGGGCTATTTTCAATTGGATGGCAGTGCACAAAGTGGAAATACATCATAAACATGAAGGATTAACTGAATTGCTTTAGGGAGCTGAATAAGAAAAGATTGAAACATTATTAGAGATAGGAGAGCACATATAAGAAGTAAGAGATATAGTTAATGATAGGGTGCTTAAGCATTTTTAAAAGAGGAATACACAGATTGCACAGTATTTTTGGCAATAATGGCTGTATTGTTGATTGTAAGAATATTGAGTATAATCTTAGTTCATTTCCCCATGGTCTTCATTGGCCTTCGTATTGGGAGCAGCAACCTCAATGCTTTGTGGTTATTTGGGTATGGCGATCGCAACAGCAGCAAACTTTAGAACAGCTTTTTCAGCAATCACCTCATTAGCGAATGCGTTTTAAGTAATTATGAATTTAAAAATTATAAGATGGCCTATAGAGGAGGATGCGTGATGGGATTCTTATTGGTTTCAATCTCACTGGCAATTCTATCCCTTATCATAATTATATACAATGCAGTAATTGTGAAAAGTGATGAAAACAATTACGAGGACTTGGTGAGAATGTTCGATTACGTTGCTGCCTATGGATTAGGAGGATCAACATTTGCCTTATTTGGTAGAGTAGGTGGTGGAATCTACACTAAGGCTGCAGATGTCGGAGCAGATTTGGTGGGAAAAGTTGAGAAGAATTTGCCTGAAGACAGTCCAAAGGTACTAAATATCAAATTAATATTTATAGAATCCAGCCACAATTGCAGATAATGTGGGTGATAATGTTGGTGATATTGCAGGAATGGGAGCTGATTTGTTTGGATCATTTGCTGAATCTACTTGTGCTGCTTTAGTTGTGTCATCAACTCAATTAAGAGTCCAATCTGAAGGTGGTTATTCAATTGAAATTGGATAGTTGATGTATCCTTTGATGGTTTCAGCATTCGGAATTGGAATCTGTATATTAGTATCTGCTTATGCTGTTTACATTTCAAAAGTAAATCATATTAACAAAATTGAATCTACCTTGAAACTTTAATTGTTACTTTCAACTATTGCTCTATCTCCAATTATTATTGGTATTTCATATTGGGCCTTACCTGCTGACTTTGTGATGATTGCAGCTGATGGATCAGTCCAATTATCAGAACTTAAACCATATCATGCATTCCTTTGCTCTTTACTAGGATTATGGTCAGGATTGTTGATTGGTTATTTCACAGAATATATGACTTCGCATTCTTACACTCCCGTAAGAGAAGTGGCCTAGTCTTGCGGTACAGGAGCTGCAACAAACATTATTTACGGATTGGCTTTGGGATATCTATCAACAATAGTTCCAATTATAGCTATTGCAGTGACTGCCTTATTATCAATGAAAATGCTCTCCTTTTATGGAGTTGCCTTAGCAGCCTTGGGAATGTTATCCAATTTAACTATCGGATTGGCCATTGATGCATACGGACCCATCTCTGATAACGCAGGTGGTATTGCTGAAATGAGTGAATTGGGAGAAAATGTTAGAGAATCTACTGATGCCTTGGATGCAGCTGGTAACACCACTGCAGCTATTGGCAAAGGATTCGCTATTGGATCAGCTGCCTTAGTTTCATTATCTCTTTACGGTGGATATTTAACAAGAATATAGACTTACAAAGTAGGTGATGAATTCCCATACTCAGAAGGTGCTAAAATTGATGATCCTGTCATCTTCGCTATGTTATTAATCGGAGCTATGTTGCCATATGCATTTTCTGCCTTTACAATGAAATCAGTCGGAAAAGCTGCTCTCTAAATGGTTGAAGAGGTTCGTAGACAATTACATGAGCGCCCAGGTATATATGCAGGCACAGAAGAACCTGATTTCAGAGCTTGCATTGCTATTTCAACCAAGGCTTCATTAAAGGAGATGATTCCTCCTGGATTGCTTGTAAATTATTGAATTTATTTAAATCTAGGTCATTGTCACTCCTACTGCAGTCGGATTGTTCTTTGGACCATAAGCAGTCGCTGGTTTATTGCCAGGTGCATTGGTAAGTGGAGTACAAATGGCCATTTCTGCATCAAACACTGGTGGTGCTTGGGATAATGCTAAGAAATACATTGAAGCTGGTTTCTATAGAAATGATGCAGGAGAAGTTAAGAAGAAGGGTTCAGATGAACATAAAGCTGCTGTTATTGGTATTTGAATAATAATTAATTGTAGGTGATACTGTTGGAGACCCTTTGAAAGATACATCAGGTCCATCATTAAATATTTTGATTAAGTTGATGGCCATCCTTTCTTTGGTATTAGCTGGAGCATTTTGTAGAACTGGATGGTTGTATTAAGGATGATCACATATGATTTATCCAATATAAATATAAAACATTATTTAATTTATGGTAGAAGATTCTAAACCCAAGACATACACTTAAAAATAGTAGAAATCAAAGCAGAAATAAAGATTGCAATAGAAAATTCAAAGCAATGATTCTGATGATGAATTTCTGAACTAAATGATACTTAAGAATTAAGAAAATCAAAAGCTTTAAGAGATCCAGGAATAGAAAGAAAAAGAATAATTACAAATCAAATAATCCAAAGGACCTGCCTACGACTTTGACTATCCCTTAATATACTCTACTTTTGTTGACAATTCCCACCTTAGAAATTTAAATAATTGGTAAGAAAAGGAGATCAAATTATAAACATAACCACCAACCATACCAATTTCTTAGTAATTTAAGGATTAAAAATACCCAGTATCCCACGAGATTCCATACTTAGGGGAGAAGTCTACAAGAATCAGCTCAGATGAAATGAGAGAGAAAGATCAAATTCATGAGAAATAATTAAAAGCTTTACGTAAAGCTGCTGAGTGTCATAAGTAAGTAAGATAATATACCTAATAAAAATTATTAAAACCAGGAATGAAGTAATATATATATTAAATATTCTAAGATTAATTGATATATGTGAACAATTGGAAGACATGAATAGATATCTTATTGAAGCCAACGGAATAGAAGCTGGTGTTGCATTTCCAACAGGATGTTCTTTAAATTTCTGTGCTGCACATTGGACACCACTAATCCAGTGTGATAATACAGTGTTGGATTACAATGATGTTTGTAAATTGGATTTCGGAACATAAGTTGATGGATGGATTATCGATTCTGCCTTTACGGTAGCATTCAATCCTCGTTATGATAAATTATTAGAAGCCTCAAAGGATGCCACATACACTGGAATCAAAACTGCAGGAATAGATGTAAGATTAGGCGATGTTGGTGCAGCCATCCAAGAAGTCATGGAAAGCTATGAAGTTGAATTAGATGGGAAAACCTATAAAGTCAAATCTGTCAAAAACTTATGTGGACATCAAATTTGCTAGTACAAAATACATGGAGGGAAAAGTGTTCCCAATGTTAAAAGCAACGATAACACGTTAATGAAGGAAGGGGAACTTTATGCCATTGAAACCTTTGCATCCACTGGAAAAGGAGTTGTTTATGATGACTTAGAGTGTTCCCATTATATGAAGGACTTCTATTGTAAACAACCTGTTGTCAAAAATCCAAAAGCGAAGGCATTATTGAATCATATCAATCAAAAATATGACACAATTGCCTTCTGTAAAAGATATTTAGAACGTGATAAACAGTCTAACTATCTTTTAGCCCTTAAAAATTTGTGCGATCTTGGAATCATCAACGCGTATTTCTATATATATATCAATTTTTAGTTTGCCGCCACTCTGTGATCTTAGAGGTTCATATGTTGCCCAATATGAACATACCTTATTTTTGAAGCCCAGTTGCATCGAAATACTGTCCAAAGGAGATGATTACTGAAAAGATCAGGAATTATGAAAAATATACATAAAAGAACATACATAAAATATATATAATTAACATATATTTGTCATAGATCATCTCTTTGGAAACTTGTGTTTTCTTTAATGAATTCTGCCATAGCTTCAACTGTACGGGCTCTTTAATATTTAATTTATTCTGGGTTTTCACCGCCCTTTTTAAAGAACACTAAGGTTGGGAATCCCTTAATTTCCACTGCATCAGTCTTATGTTGAGTCCAATCCATCTCAGCTATCAACACATTCTAATTTTCGGCTAAGTTTGCTGCCAATGTTTTGTATGCTTCAGCCATATTTTTGCAATGACCACACCAAGGAGCAAAGAATTTGACTAAAACATCTTGTTTAGATTCCAAAACAATTGATTTGAAATTATCAGATGTTAATTCAATTACTTTTCCTTCGTTTTTGACATCAGCAAATACTGAAATTGCTAAAACCAAGAGTATTAAATATTTCATATTAATTATTAAAATATCCAAAGTATTTATATCACAATTTATATTTAATCATTTTTATATTTGTAGTTTATCAAATATAATTATTCAAATATATCATCTATATTTCACAGATACTCACTCAATCCTCTATAAAATATTATAATATGAATGAAATAGACAATATATCATATTTACAAACATTTCTAAGCTGGATTTGTTCCAAATATATCCAAGCTCTTATTATCTAAGAAATATTTATTTCAATAGCAGAGTTCAATCCGATTGATGTATAAGGTCCCCAATCTATAATTATTGCTTTTTCTCATAAGTTTTAGATGTCTTTTCTTTTATCAGAAGGAAGATTCTCATAATATAATAAATTTGATTAAAAATTTATATAAACTCAATATAAACATTTTAAAAATTTATATGTAACAAGGATGAGGAGGTAGTGAATATGAATCACAGATTAATTCAGGCGAAAATATCGGCAGCCTGTTTGGGCATATTTTAAATATCAAAAGAGTGAAAAGAATCAAGTAAGGAAATAGATGTTCTTTTGAGAAATGACTTGTGCAATAAACTACAAAAATAAAAGCATGTTCACCTGTGGATATCTTTTATAGAGGTTACTTAATTTGAAAGAGAGATTCTGCAATAAACAAAACCAAACCCTTAGTAAGGTATTTTTTTAGAACTGAAATTGAGTATTAATGGTATTCAATATTCATATATATATAATATGTAAAATAATTAAAAAAATTAGCCAGTTAGTTTTATTACTAACTGCTTGAATTAAAAATTGTAGTTCTAAACAAACTAATCCTATTTGGTTTACCTGCTCTATTGATTAGTGAAGATTCATAGTTGATTTTTTAATGAAAAAAAGTTCGAGTTATCTTGTATGATATAAATACAATGGATTTTTCTTTTGTAAAATAACATTTTAATTAAATTAACACATTCAATGGGATCTTGCTCCTAAAGAAAAACATAAACAAACAATTCTTTACACTTGAACAACATGACAAGCAATTCTTAAGGTCCTTCTAGGATGACATGGGCTAATATGGTATAATTGTAACAAAAAGAAAGAATAATTCAGCCTTACAACCCCAACAGTTCATATAAAAATGATTTCATTAGGTCTCCAATATCAATATAACGTAGAAGTAGAGGGAGTAATTTTTGACATCATTGCTCCTCCAGACCTATTAGACGATGACAATTTAGAGCCAATCGAAGAAGATGAATGAATTAGTATGATTTTGATATCCACTTCATATATATATGAAATATAATTATAACTTCTCTTTGTGGCCAGTTTGGATGAGAAACTTAGCACAATTTTAATAATCACCATAAAACGTGATCTTAAATTGTGAACCTAAAAATAGCACTCTAGTCAGTGTGAATTACAAAAGTAATCATGAACTTGAGATCTTTAGTAAAAGGAAGTTGTCCATTACAATTTAGAATTCTCTGACAATTTTTGATTTATTTTACACTGAAAAATAAAATTTAGTTAAATAAAGTTACTTACAAGGTTCTTTATGATATCATAATTATAATTTTATGTTGTTTTTGTTTTTATGTACCTAAAGAAACATTTACAAAAAAACAATTAATAAACAATTTGCATATGTGTAATTTCCTATTTTAATCCTATTTTTTGGATAATTTCTTTATTCAAAGAGAAGTAACATTTCAAATAATTGATTGAATATATGAAAATATTGTTAATTTTAAGTACAACGGTGTTTGTCTATTACTAATCACAGATTTAACACAATTAATTAATATAAATAAATTAAATCACTTAATAAAGCAGAAAAAAAAACTAATATTCAATTAGTTGGTTTTAAATTTTAAATGTAATTACAGTAGTATGCTTCTGATATATTCCATCTAGCCTCCATATTATAAGTTAAACATTTAGTAATAAAATCTTTGCACTCTTAAGAGACATTTGGTTTCTAAGGAAATTTAACTTGATAAGAGTTTAAAATAACTCTTTCCTAAGAAATATATAAACAAATAGTACTTATGCTATTCTTTCCTAAGACATCCCATCTCCAAATGGTTTTTTGCCATAGACCATTTCAAATAATATAACACCCACTGACCATACATCAACTTTGGTGCTAATTTATATATTTGGTTATTCTAAAAAGCATTCAGGAGGCAAGTACCAATAGGTTCCTAATCCTTAAGACGTTAACTCTTATCTAGTTGTATCATAATCCAGAACCTTACACAATCCAAAATCAGTAATCTTCACTTCCCCTTTGTGAAACAATATGTTTTGAGGTTTCAAATCATAATGGATAATTTTAGTGGGACTGCAACTCATGTAATGCAATGCTGCCAATACTTGACGGATAATTAACTTTGCTTCCTTTTCAGCAAGTAGCTTATATTTTTTCAAATGTTGATTAAGATCTGTGCCATCACAAAATTCCAGTACAGTGCTATATCTAGTAATGATAAATACCAAAAGGAATCTTAATCGATTTCTTAAGTATCATATAATGATACTATATTAATATGTTTCAATCTCTTATGAATATCATTCTCTCTGAGAGCATGTTTGATGTAATTATTTTTTGCATTTTCATTCCATTATGGATTTAAATAATGGATTTTGCAAGCACAAACTCGAAATTCTTGTAAATCAAATGATTTATAAACTTCAGAGAATCCTCCTTTGCCCAATAACCCCAAAGTTTAATATCTCTAAGCAATCAATGGCCATTTAGGTTCTGCTCTATAATATCGGCAACTAAAATTTGAAATATGAGTATACTTCTATTCCTCCATGAATCTCCTTGTTTTGTATGCCAATTGTTGCTTCTCTTCCTCTAGTTTTTGAAGCTTCAATTTAAGTTCTTCTTCTTCTTTCTTGAGAATACTCAATTAGAATTAGATCCTGAGTTTCCTTTGATTATTATCCAAATCTCCATTCTATAAGTCTAATTCAAATAGTAACTTAGTTTGCTTATCTTTTTGTATTTTTGATAAGGATTTATCTTTAATTTCACTTTTTTATTTTTCTAACTCATTTCTTTCATTTTCTAACTTTTATAAATTTTATTTAACTTGCTTTATTTCATAACCATCTTACCATTCCTCGACAAATCTCACATTATTCCTAGAACTAACAAACTCGCCCAATCTATAACGTTCCCTCTCCAAATATTCTCTCATTTTTTCCCGCTTCAACTCCTCTACTTATTTCAAAGCCTCTGCAAATACTTCTTAGGTTCTCTTTTTGAAAGCATTATGCTATTAAATTAATTCCTAACGCTCATTCTCCAATTGTTATTTCTCCTATCTTAATTGCTTTTCCACCTATTCCTTCTCCATCAATTTTTATTACAATTTGTTTGCATCATCCTCACTTTGTTTTTAAACTGACTATAACATAACTTTACTTTCTTTTGGTTTGGCATACACAGTTTTATCATTCACTTAAGCCTTTTACTTACCTTCTTCCGTATTCTTTTACTATAACGCTTTAATCTGATTACCCGCTTCATTGCTTACATCTTTCGTTGATTTCAAGTATTTGTAGATCGTTTAACAATTAGGTGGATTAACTAGTGCTTATTAATTATTATCATTAGATGATTCATCATCACTTTTTAATTTTTGGATAACCTTTTTTTTAGGCAACTCCGTATCAATCCTTCTTTTTCTACTTATCCTCTGTCTATCCTGTGAATTCTCAGGATTCTGGTTAAAGTAATTGGTTATCAACTATTAACCTGAATTCGATTGTTGTATTTCTTCTGACATTTTAGTGTGTTTTATATAATTATTTATTAAATATACACACTCCTCTTTTATAAAGGTAATAGAAATTAATTAATAACACAAAAAAAGGTTCCTATGTAATTAATTCATATCCTCTTTTTGGAACCTTAAATTGAACCATCATTTTTTTAAGCCCTTCTTTGCGAAATCAATTTTCCATATGCTTTCATTACCTTCTCTCCTTCCTCCTTCTTTTTTGGATCATTCGCCATCAATGCATCCAGCAACTTCTACCTCCTGATTGTACTTATGATCAAACTGAAAGGCAGATTCTTATTGATTGGCTGATTGCTCCCATGTCCCAAACGCCCATTTATCATGTCTAAAAGATCACACCACCTCTTTACCTTTAAAAAAATCAATCACCATTGTCTCCTTCGAATTGCTTTTGCCATCTCCGTTTTTATTTTTTATAATCTCCAAGAATTCTTTAAATTCAATAGACCCATCATCATCAACTGTATAAATGAGTTTCTTAACATCCTCACGTGATTCGGCTATGCCCAACGAGATTAATGGCTCCTCTAATTCATCTATACCAATAGATTCTAATCATTTAAAATGCCATTTCATACTCGATCCATCCTCATCCAAAGAGTTGAAGTACTATTTCAATTGAGAACGCTCCTTGTCATTGAAGTCAATCAAATGCTTATTTTTCCTCTTCAACAACCAATGTCTCAACATAGCCTCTTGCTTATATTAGGAATCATAACTTACCAGTTTCGAATCTTATTCATAGAATTCTTTTATTCTCTTATTCTTTTTGGCTATCAGCTCCTCGTAAGTAATATTTTCCAAACCTTGTGTTTTAATCATTTCCCCTATTTGCTCATTGGTGTAATTGGTAAAATCCATGTTATCATAATCCATTTTATATAATAAATCAAATTATAAACAAATATTTTTGGTGTAATTCAATAAACTATAATACTTTATAATGCCAAATCAATATGATTTTCCACGCTTTTAAAATTAATTGCATCTAAATTGATAAAATACATATAAATATATATATATAAGTTTCACATATACAGATACACAAGTTTAATTACACACTCATTTTTAACTTTATAATTTATGGTTGATTACTATATAAATCATATTTTCTAGACAAGTAGTAGAATAAAATTAAGAAGCTTTAGGAACATGATTTTCTTGGCTAGAGCATCTTTTAGGAATAGTTTAATACACATCAGGATATTGTTCCTCAATTATACTTACATTTGTAGAAGCATGAGAACTTTTTAAGGTTTTTCGAAAATATTTCAATTCCTAAGCAGGACTTTCAAAAGCATCATCAGGAATTGCAGGAAAAGTCAATAATATTTTACCTCCCGATTCAAAAGAATTGAAGCTCTTTTAATTTTTCTATCTTTTATCTTGCACATTTAAGAGTCTCCTTCTGTTCTCCTCCCCTGCTGAAGGTTTTCTAGCTAAATCTCTCTAAGCAAATTTCAGAATATTATCAATGGATAATCTACTTTTTTTTTACTTTTAAGTATTGTATTTGATCTAATTTTGTTTCTTAATCTACAACATCCTAAGGAATCTCTCAGCACTCTCCTTCGTTCTTTTCTTTCTTTCCTCCTCTCTCTTATCTTCAATTATTTTTTAATTAAATTCTGCTTTTGTATTAACAATCGATATTATAGTACCAAGATTACATTTTGGAATGAATCTAATGTATTCCTTCATAGATTCACTTACAAAAGAATCTTTAACCTACTTATCTCTTAATACTTTTTATGCTAACTTAAATTTAGTCAACTATTTCTTTTTATTTAAAAAGTATTCTATGTTTAACATTTCTTTTTCAATTCTATTTTAAGCCCTTAGATATTTGTCATTTATAAATAATAAAAGGGTTTTTTGTTTTTATCTATGCTTTCTATTCTTTTTGAACTTGTTTTGAAATTTTTGGATGACATTAATTCTATCATACTTCGAGATAATTAGATGTGTATAAGGACAATAAATTGCTATGTGATTGCTTTCTTAACACAAGTAACATGTTAGTTTTAGGGCACTAATGTCTTGTTCTATTTCAATTTAGAATTTGATTTCAAAATATTTCTCCATATCTTCAGGAGATAATAACTGAAGGAATCTGCTGCGACACAATGTCAATAGATTTATGAAATTAGTTGCAATTATAGTAGAGGATCTTGGAACATTTGCAATAAAACCAATCTCCCCAAAATAATCTTTCTTTTTCAACTCATATTAAATATTTTCAATTTTCACACTACCATTTAATATATAGTAGATTTGCTTATTTTCAACATCTCCTTATTGTAAAATAATGTCTTCAGGACTGAAGGTTTGTTCTTTGAAGTAATAGATCAATTTCTACAATAACTATGAGGAAAAGTTTTGGGAAAAGAGTAAACAAGATTAGGTTATTTTCTAATGGATTATTTCTAAAATTTCTCTCCTTAGATTTTCTGATAGATTTTAAAGTACTTATTATTCATAACTATGTTAAATTTGTTCTTGCTATTGCAGCCATTCTATGTAGTTTTTGATCCTAGCTATTAATTATTTATTCACTCTCTTTTATTTCAAATATAACATTATTTTATCTTGTTTTTCTAATATCTCGACTACATTTTCTTCTTAATTTTCGAACAGTAAAACTATGGAATTCATAATATAGCCAAAAAGACCTGAAGAGAATATCATAACAATAACACCAAAAGATTGTTCTATTGTTGTTATCGGATAGATATCTCCATATCCTATTGTAATCATGGTGGTTATCGAAAAGTATATGGCTACCAAGTATTGTGATACCCAATAGTTTGTATCCTAATAGATAATGTAATTTTCCAGTTGGTACTTCTAATATCTAGTATACCAATTTGAATCGGCTCCCTCGATTATCCTAAGTAAATTCCATATGCAGGCAAGCCAATGAGCTAAGCACAATATAATTATGCAAATCTTTAGAAAAGCAAAGAAAGAAATGACTGATTTTGCCATCATCAACTGATCTTCCAATTGATTTATGTATTTCTTTAACTTTAAAGCCCTGAATAAACGAAGTATTTTTATAAAACGAACAACTCGAACTATTTTTAAAATTTATGAATTTCTTTGTAATGATTCCGCTGAATTTGATTTTAGAGTTAATTCTATAATCATATCATATGGAAAGGATGAAATCAGATCTAGCCAGAACCAAGATGAAAAGTAGTTCCAAAATACTTTTTTGTGAGAAGTAATTAAATTTCCTCTATTATAGTTAACAATATACTTATGATAATAGCTTGTATGAAAGGAAACGATGATATCTACCAAAAAGTAATAGTCCATTATTTGATTACAAATATCGTAAAAGAGATCTAATTCTATGGAAAAGGTTATGACCAAAGGAATAGTAATCATTTACACAAAAATGAAAAGCATTCCTACTAAATCCCAACTCAATTTGTATGGGCTATCCGGTTTGAAAGGCTTAAAAAACTCTTAGACCATGGTCTTTAAAGTTTATTTAATGACTTTATCATTTTTACTGTAAGTGTCTTCGAATAAAGCAACATAGCGTTCCTTATACATAATTATTAAAATAACTCATCATACTCATTATTATTAAGGCTTCTCAGATATTCTAAAACTGCTCCCTGGTCTTGTATATGCAATCAACTCTAACATAGATAGGATTTTTTACTATAACCTAGAGTACTTTTCTCTCCAACCTCCATTATCCTAGAAATAGTATAATTTTTTATTACAATAAATCTTCACCACTTTTACTTAAGCGTTCTACTTCAACATTCAATAAACTGATTATATTCCTAAGTAAATTCAATTCGCTCTCCTTTGATGTAACCTTCCACTTTATCTTTCTATCTTTAATTCTTGACTGGTCAATTTATTGTTTTTGATTCCAAAATTTTTTATACAACTTTTTGGAATCTTCTTCTCCAATCTTTGGTCTCTTTCTTTTGCTTTTATAATGTAATTTCTTGTTCTCCAATAATTGCAATCGATATTTAGTTTACTTTTCTGCACATTCCCAAATTCAATATTTTTATAACATTCAAATAATTTATATGTTTGGTCAGCTGATTAATTCATTTTGCTAATCATTCAAATGGTCAATTCTAATTTTAGGAACTACTGTTGCTTATTAATCTTAGAATTTCTAAATTTCCTAATTTAATGGTTCCAAAAACTTTTGAATTCCTACTCTACTTCTTATAATTATTTTTATCAAATTCTCTTAAGAGCTTAATGTGTTTATAATTCCTTTATGTTATTCACTAACATTTAATTTGACTATTGTTTAATATCCATCTTTTGATTTCATTACTCCTTCAGTTTCTACTTTGTATTAAAATTAATAAGCTTTCTTTCTATAGTAAGCATTCAATTCCAAAATCTAAAGAATTTGTCTACCACAAATTGACATTTCTGATATCATAATTAATGTTATCTATATGTTTTTCTAATTGTGAAAATCTAAAGATGGCTTAATCTAATTAAATTATTTGAATTTTATTATTTAGTATTGACTTATTAGACTAGTTCCACAATTTTCTATATCATCCTTTTTACGATATAAGAATGTGTTAAGAAGGAACAAATAATTATAAAATTAAAGTGCTTTCTCCTTTTGTTATCTTTTTCTATCATGTAACCATCAATCTGATAAAGTTTAATAGTCAAAGTAAAATTTGTATCCAGGTTGTTCTATTTCCTAATCTTATTCTAAACACTCATTATATGTAGCCCTCAACTTGTTATTCTTTAGTTACTTTATCTTTTTTTCCAACTAATAAGTTCATATTTTTTATTTCTTATGCTAATTATTCCAACTCTCTTAATTTTGATCTATAAAATTCTCAAACTTTAAGTTATGAACATATTTTCTCATTTTGTAATTGTTAATTCTTATTCAACTACTTGTAACACTATAATTTCAATAGTTTTTGAAGATAAGTTTGTTAGAGTTTTATTCAACTCTTTGTCTTTTTTACCTATAAGATGTTTGCAACTCTGTTTTTAAATAATTAATAAATATAATTATTCGTATTATCTTTAGAATAGCATCTTTTCTCTTTATAATTCTTATAATTTTTCTAATAAAATACTTCTAAATTGCATCTTCCATTGATTGGGCTCTGTTAACCAATTGTTCACTTTCATTAAAAAAAATTTATAAGGAATTACCTTATAATCCCTTAAGCTTCCAAAGTTCAACTTAATGTATTCAATTAATTATTTAATTCTTTATATCTTGGTTAATTCATTTCATCTTCCAAATATGGTAATGATTGTCATTGTTACTCAACTGTTAATCGAATTATGTTTATAATTTTGGTATTTTTCTATCTTTGAGTGACTAAAGGTATATATTTTCTTTGTAATTCTTGTTTCACATTAACTATTCTACCATGCATTCCAATATTAGAATTCCTTTAATTTACTTAAAGGGATTAACTTATTGATAACCACTAAAAGTATTTTTGATAATAGACTTTCTTTATAATGAGGGATCTAAACATTTTGATTAGTGTATGCGCCAAAATAAATATAAAATTAACAAATTTCTGATTGAATGATATTATTTTTCATTTGGTGTGTCGATATTTATGAATTATTTAATTCTTTTAATTATTTTAATCTTTAGTTTATATATAATTATATTTCACTTTAGATATAATTTATATAAATAATAACGATATTTTAAGCAATATATTATCATTAATCCTCTCAGTATTTCAAACCTAGTATAATTTTATAATACTAATTATCGAAAACATAATACAAAATACAATATTAGCTGAAATAATTATAAATATATTTGAATCTTCTCCTTTATTTTGGTTTGCAAACTAAGAGTAATTAGATGATCCATCAATAGATGCTACTAACTTCTCTAGATATTCAAGAAAATACAATATTATTTATCGTAAAATAAAATTTTATATGTTTGGTTATATGACTGTTATGAAGGTATCAATTCATTTTCTTTAAAATTTGTTCGAATACAGTGCTTTCCCTTTAGACATCTGCGCAATTTTCAAAGATGCATTCCATCAATGCATAAGATGTTGGTACTGTTTATAAGCATGTGTCAAACTAATATTTTAGATGATATGTATACTTTGTCCAAGTCCTCATTTGATTGAAGAGCATCAGCGCAACTTTATATATTTTCTGCGCATCCTTTTGTTTTTGCGCAAGCACTTGCTTATGGTCTGCATTTTCTAGCCATGCATCTAGTTAATGGATCCTCTTTTCCCATGTGGACTGATCTTGCAGTGATTGTTAAAACCAAAAGAGCAACAATTAAGATATATTTCATTATTAATAATTGTCATTAATAGTTAACACATTATTGCTTTTATACTTATATAATTATAATGGATATTAATTTATGATAATAATTAGATAAACCAAATGATTTACAAATTTGATTGAATTCTAACTTCCATAATTCTAATTTTAGATAAAAATTTACAATATTTTTAAATTAAAAAATCAAATCTAACTGCTTATAATATTAGAATATATTGAGATTAAAGATTGATTTTGGTTGAGATGGCACGATTATGATAATTGTTCATAATAAACATTAAGAATTAACAATTCTCTAAAATTTGATCCTTAAAACTGTTGAAAGTGAATGCACATTCAAGAAATGAGCTTTTTAAAAAAATTCACTTATATTAAATAGGTTTCGAAAATTTTTGAATTCTTGCTTGAAGTTTTATGTGAATTTCAAAGTTCATAGAGATTAGATCAGGAAATATTCAATATTTTTATAAATTATATACAATTAAATTAATTAATGTAATAAATAAACAGATTACATCTAACTTTCTAAATATTGAGATTGGGATATCAAGAATCTTAATAGGAAATCAATTCAATTTCTAAATGCTTATTAACAATGTATTAACTTTAGCATTAAAAATATTTGATATTAAAGAGAAAACTGGGCAAATATTAAAAATTATAAACTAATTAATCGATAATACTTTTTGGTAGGATTTTTAGCATACTAAAATTCAAATTATTCAGTTTCTTTTGAACTATTTTAAATTAAACTGTTGAGTTTCAACGCTGAGAAGTGTTTTAGATGCCATTAATTTATCTTTTTTTATTTTTTCTCTAATTTGTGTAGTAACTTTTAAATCATCCATATCTTCAAATTCCTCTAATGCCTTTCTATAATCAGGGTAAAACTTAAGAACAAAATCATACGCCTCAACGTCGAGAATGTCAAGTCTGTAAAGTGCAGATGATAATAAACCTTGTAAACACTCTTTCATTTTTATCATAACATCCTTAATGTTCTCTTTAGTATTATTTCTTGTAATCTCTTACTCTTCAAGCAACTATTTAATTTTTGAAGAATTTTTTTAAGCATTATCATTTTCCTACTTTAAACTTTCGTCAATAATGATTTTTTGTACTTTATTAATAATATAATTTTACCTTCTTCAGGTTTCCAAAAATATTCTTATTAAGTATGAAATTCTATTTCATGATTGCATCTTGAACAAATAATTTATTTCACACCCTTCACATTTTTTTCAATCATCTCTATGCAATGATCTAATATTTTGCTATCACATGCTTTGCAACAAGTCTTATTACATTTATTACAATTAGTTGAAAAGGCTTTCTTTTTATTTTTAAAAATAAATTCTTTCTTCCATTCAATTAAAAATATAACGGATTCAAACATCTTTGAATCCTCTATTTTATTTCTGTAGATTTACAACTTACGAGTATTTTCATCCACAGACTTTAGAACTTTAATTAATTGCAATAGCGTATGTTACAGCCCTCCTAATTCAGTCCTGATTTGAGTCCTTTATTAAATAACTTAGACTGTGGCAACTAACTTAAATCCATCATTCGCTTCATTTTTGATGAAATCAAATAGCTTTTGATAATTTCCAAGATTTTTTTAGAAATGGATGTTTTCAATAAATCCATGTTTAATTGCTCTAAATACAGAATTTTAGAATTAAAAATAAAACTCTTCTTAGATCTTATTTTCTGCCTCATTGTTTTCTGCCTCAGTATTAAAGGGTTAATTTATAGCCTTAAATTAAGCTTCGTTAAAGGTTTCCTAAAGGTGCTCTTATTAATCGGGCTTTCTCGAATTTATAAGTATTTATTATTCCTTAACTGAATAGAATATAGAATCTCGACTCTCAAAATTTTAAGTACTAGTTGCAGTAAAATCTGAAAAGGTAAGACAATGTTTTGTAAATGCACACATTTCCTTTCCAAATAATTTGAGAATACTTAACATTGATAATTGTAAAAGGGATGGATTACCATCGATTACTTCATATTAAGTTGACGACTAAGATACAAATAAAATTGCATGCAGATTTTGATTTTTCTTATATATTTGATCTTCGATATATTTAGATATTTATGTAATTCTTTCTTAATCTTTTTATAGACCTTCAGTATCGGCTAGCCCTGGTGTATCTATCAGATTTATGATAAGATGGTTATCAATAATAAATTTATATGATGTAACTTCGTTAGTGTCAGATTATGCTTAATGATCTTTCACCTTTATTATTACAAAATAATCCAAATTCAATTCCTTTCCCTTTACTCTAGGCTTGAACTCTCTCTCAATTGCAGTCACAAAACTATTAATAAATGTAGATTTTCCTTATCCAGTTATTCCCACTATTAGAATATTTCTGATTTTCATATTAGTAAGAGAGATTTCCTTAAACTAATCAAAGGATTCAATATATTTTAAAAATTTTAGATCATGGATCGATTTATAATTGATTATTATATCCTCTTCTTTGGATTATCGTAATAGATAGTTATTTAGAATTTATTTTTCAGCTTCATTAAGTCTTCTACCAGTTCTTGTTGTTTCACTCATTTGATATGAAGATAACAAGTCTGCCATAGATGTGATTTTATTTATCTTGAAGTAGGTTTTCCATTTGTTTTTTCTATCCCCAATAGCCAAAAATTTAAGAAATTCTGCCTCAAGATCATTCTCTTCTTTTTATTTTTGTTTTATAGGTTTCTCTTAGTTTTTGGATATCTGTTATGTGGGTTAGGGCTACATATCATTTTTGATTATTTATTTCTTTGGATTTTGACTATTGCCCATCTATATCACAGATAGATTTATTAATTTATGCTTTTAATATCATAATAAATACATTTATGACAAATATAAATTAATAAAGTATTGAGTGAATATGGGTATGCTTAAAATGGACTACTGAAAAATGATTGAAAATAATGATAACACAAAGTCTATAATATTAGTTTATAAATAAAATTCTAATAATGCTGGATAGCGTTGAATAAGATGAGATCTTAAGTAAATGAACAAGAATAAACTCTTAAGATAAAGACATACCCTTTTTATGGTTATTATAATAAAATATTAAAGATAATAACATTTTATTAAAACAAATTTAAATATAACTCTAAAAAGAATATAATTACAATAATTGAAGTTTAAACATAAGACAAAAAGGCAGCAAGGTTAATTTAGAACAATTATATATTATATATAATTTATTATTAATTTTCTTTAACTCTTATGGATTGTTTAATTTATGAATTATTTATATAATTTTATTTTATACAATTTTCATAATCCCTTATTAAAAACGATTGTCTTAATCTTATTTCCTTTGCTATTTGTTAGATTTTAATATTATGATTCTAAATCGGTTGGGTTAACCTTTAAATATTATGGGAATATTCCTATTCCAACAGAAAGACCACAATATAAGAAGAATCCAGATAAACCTAGGTGGTATAATAAAAATACTTAAGTCTAGTGCTAGACCTACTGCTCTGCCTTGAGGATAACATTTTGCCTATTTCATATAGTAGATGACTATGGGTGGAATAAACATAGGCAATGGTAAAATATATCTGGTCACAAGAGTTCTAAAGAATGCAATTTTTGCTGAGCAAATAGTAATTAATTTATTTACCTGCTTCTTTGGATAGTCCTGGTAAGGGTTCTTGTGTTTCATCATCAAAAACTTGAATTCCCTTTTAGAAATCTGGATATCTAGCGAAAAATAGATTGAATGTGTTAGCAATCAGAACACCGAATAAGGGACAAGCCTTTAAATAGAATGAGGATTGAGACTTACTCTAATGAGAAGTGCAGGGGCGTTGAGTTTCTTGAAGAGCCAGGATGTTCCCAAACTTCCAACTACTGCTGATGAAACTGCTCCACCATATGAGACTAATGAGATGCTATGAAAATTTACATGCCAACATTTCATTGGAAAATACATTAGAAGCATTTCTATTACAATAATTAAACATAAAGTTATAGGTTTGATTGGCAGATTGAGCTAGCAATTGATTGATTGGCTATGAATGAAAATAAGAATTACTGTTGGAGGCAATACAGCTAATCCAAAAGCTAAGGGGACATTTACAGGAACAAATGTTGAGGTTCTGAATAGAATGTTAACAGGCTCTTTTAATTAGGGGTGAATGTTTGAGTCCACAACATATCTCATTTTCCATAATTATTAATCTGTGTATTTTTGTCTGATTGATGGATCTTTGTCAACGTTTGCTAATGTTTTCCCATATTCACTCAATTGTTCAGGAGAATAAAATATGTTGCTAAAATTAATGGAAAATGTTGTACGCTGGACTAATAATGTTTTAAAAATGTTTGAGTCTTCCCCAATAGGTGGTTAAATCCTCTGCTGAATCTTCTGTATTAGTATATCTCTTCATAAATATTTAATAATGTAAATAAAAAATTGCAATATTACGTCACTTTTATATCCTTTATATTAATTTTAGTATATATAAATATTCAAGTCTTATCGTTTCTCCTTGTTAGTACTTTTGCAATTATAATTTTACTCAGAAATTATTTTTTTGTAATAGCCAAGTTAAGTAGTGAATGATAGATTCTTAATTGTATTGAATATTATCTTTTATCAACCTATATTCCTTGATTTATATCGATAAAAATGTGAAAATTTAAATGAAAAATGGGACTCTACAAATTTGATGAGAAAAGAACATATCAAATCTTCTGTGAGATACTCTTGAATATGAATCAATGTATTTATATGCCCAGAGATGTAATTGTATGGAGAGACAACTTTAGATCTGATGGGAAGGATTTGTATTAAAAAGAGTTGATTATTTATTTTTATCATAAATTAATTAATGGATATTGAGAAAGAAATCGTAAAATTGTCTTCTTGCTAAAAGTTCTTGCTTATTCAAAGCTTTAGAACTTTGATCAATATAATTGATTTGGAAAATTTCAAATAGAAGCAAATCAACTTCAGAGATGCTGAAATTTCATTTATTGATTACTTCGATAATGAGTTGTTGATAGGGGACAAATAAGGAAAATTATATTACAAAAACGAGTCCTTCTAAGTGCATTCTGGCTAATTTTTATAAGGGATTGTTAAAGACGGAATGTTGCTATCATTGGGTTCAGATGGTTTATTAAAATAAACTAATATCAAAACATTTTAATGTCTCTACTCTAGATAATTGTCTCATCACATCAAGGAAGGAACCTTATATCTGTTGACCTCCCATGTATTGGTCTAATATGGTTAGAAGATAGTGCTAATTAACTTAGAAAACGATGTAAAAGATTATCATATTCAAGGTAGTAGAAACAAAGTATAAAATAAATCAATAAGGACCTCTGATAGTCAAATTGAACAATCTTTCCAAAGACTACTTCTCCGTTTTGGGCAAGGAGGGTTTATTGAAAATATTCAAATTAGGCGACAGCTCAGAAACAATATAAACTATTGAGATTGGAAGCTATGAAAATTATGAATTATATTACATGGCCAAAAAGACTACAATATTGCTTTGGAATCAAGACAGTATCATCGGATATGTTTTCGAAAAAGAATTAAATAAGTAATATGAAGTCAAGATAAACAACTTATAATCTGTGATGCAAGGAGAAAAATTACTGATTGTCTACGATAACATCAGCAATCCAAAATTAAAATAGATACAGAATATTGAGAGTTAAAAATTCAAATCTTTATATTAATAAGAATAATTGCTCAGATTCAATGAATTGTAATAATAAAAGTAGGATGATTAAAATTAAAACAAATAACAATCGAATCCTATCCCCATTGCTTTTTACGACTTTGCTTACTTTAACAACTAAAGTTCTCTTGTCAAAGATGATAAGATTGAGCCAAAAACTATTACTAGTGAACAAAATCTAATTAATGTGCTTAAGCAGTCGTTGATTGCCAAGGATAAGGCTTATTTAGAATATGCTTTAGAGCGAACTCTTTAAAGTGGAATTGCTGAATCTGTCAATTCCTTACAACTTGAACAATTATAAGAACTCTAGCATTTCATCGTGGATAAGTTGATAAGTTATCCTGAATAAACAAAAAAGTATTTGGAATGGATCAAAGCCATAGTAAAAAGAGGAGTTGGAGATTTCTCTAAATTGTATTATCTATTGGAAGAGAGAACGAAATCAATCAGTAAATTAGAATCAATCTGTTCAAAGATTCAATTCAATAAATTGACCCAGAAACCTAAATAGGATAAAGATTATAGAAAACAATAACACACCGTTTATGAAGAATAGTAGGCTGACGTTGTGATCATCCAAGGGAATGTCCCTGAAAAGCATGTTGCTGAGGCCAACTACGCAGAAGATTAGACAAGTTAAATTGAGGATGATTTCAATTAAGCTTATGTTAAAGTAAAGTTTAGATTGTATATTTTTAATAGCACAAGTAAGAACTTAGACAGAAGGCTTATTAAGACATAGAAGAGGAAGCTTATGATGAAGAAGATTTAAAACTTTGATTAATTATGTATATATCTATATAAGCAGATCAAATTATCAATTTAGAATAACTAAAATCTTTGATGGTAATATCTGTTTTCAATTCTAGAACGAGGGAGTTCAATTAAGGAATTTTATTGAGATTTTGTTGTAATTAATTTACTTAATTCATTACCTATTCATAGGGATCTTCACTTTATTATTTGAATAGTTTTACTGATTCTACGAAATCATCATTTTAATTGAGTCTGTTGTCGAAATCATCTTTGTAAACTAAACTCGTTTAAACTAATTAATCTATGTCAGTTCTAATCTATCTTAATTGAAACTTCAATATATTTAATAACAATGTACATCGACTTTTTCATTGAATTCAGTTTATATCACCTAACACTTCATTTTGAGTTGATCCTGAATGTTCTCCAAATATTCCTGCATCTATTATTTTGATTATTCAGCTTGAAATTTGACTTTCTAAATAATTAAAAATGAATTACATTAAATAATTACATTTACTGTAAAATCAGATTTCCAATTAATTCACTTTGTTAATTGTCCTTTTTTAGAAAAATTAAGATGGGTTATTCAATGAATTCAGTCAATTTAACAATTTAATCATGTTTGCATTGGATTATTTTATGTTTGCATTCTCTGCATAATAAATGAGTATCACATTAGGGTAAACAACATAGATTTTGTGCAATCCTCTTTCTTTGTTAGGTTTTGTTGATATGTCTAACACATTAGTGATGTGATGGAGATTGTTTAGGCGAGTCTGAAAAATCTCTCTCTCTTTCTCTAGAGGTTTGAGCATTGGATCTCCGAGTTGAATGTCTTTGGAAATAATTATCGAATCTGTTTGAATGCTATTTTTAATCTTCAGGCGGTTCCCAAAGAGAATTCATATCAGATCTTCTTGTTGCCAATACTTTAACCAAATTGAGACTAGCCTTACTAGATTTGCCATTTTTATTAAGGGAATGTGGTTTGGTATGGATATTTTCCTTCATAAGATTAACATGTATGATTGGGGATTTGTCTCTTTTTTACATTCGTTAAAAAATATAAATTTATATATAATTTTACAAACATATTATAATGCAAGAAAAACCTCAATTAATATTGTGCACCGAGGAAAATATGGATGACTACAAAGAACCTAATTTAGAGGAGAGTGTTGAATTTGTGGAAATAAAACATGATTTTTGTGATTCAAGACCTCAAAGACATAGCTTACCTGAGAGTCTAAGCTAAAATATTTTGACATAAATCAATGAACTTCATGAGTTCTTACCACATAAAGAAATGTAAATCAAGGTGTAAGAAATTACGAAAAAAGAAAATAGAAAATTCACAATTCGAGTTTATTATTTCGTAAAAAGGTTCCTTACTAAATTATCAGTGAGTAGAAGACATAAATTATTCTTTAAAAGCATACATTTTCAAATTGTTGGCGATAAAGCTAGTGGAGAATTGGAGAAATTAGGATAAATCAAAAAGACAGATAAAAAAAGAAAAAGAAATGAAAATACATTTTCATGCTATAATCCTTTGACTGGCCTATTGAAAGTGCTACCGATAATCTATCCTTAATCGGTATCCAAAATTATCTGGGATTTATGTTTGTGCATAGTCTTGATTTACTTCTTCATTATGATTCCATTAGAATTAGCTTTCAACAATTCAATCATGTACTTCTAGTCTATTTGGCTAACTGTTCCCTTCTATTTGTTCCTAATAATCGATTACCTCATGAAAATGAACACAGTCTACTATGAATATGGATAACCAATAATAGATAGGTCATTGATTTTCAACAACTATTTGAAACAAGGCTTATTAATAGACGGCATTTCATTAATAGTATTACTTTGCGGCTTTTTTAATGATTACTTTATTCAAAGTCGATGGCTCAACCTTTCATTAATACTCTTCATTACCCAATATCATTACTTCGCCTAGGTGGTTAGAAATATGGAAGAATCCATCCATCTGAGTAAGACTCAATCGTCAATTGTGAATTTAGCCAAATTGATTTTCACAATCCTCTACTTTCTACACATTTATAGTTGTTTGTGGTATTTTATAGGTTCATATGCCAACGAAATAGGGATGGTTAATTGGCTGGATAGTCGTCATCTTTCGGAGGCACCTTATGAAACTCAATATTTGGAGGCTTTTTACTTCTCGACTGTGACGATGATTAGTGTGGGATATGGGGACATCGTGCCTTTAAGTAATAAACTAAAGTATTTTAGATGCCTTAGAGAAGATTTGTACAATCCTTTTTATGTTCACTACTTGTGTGTAACTGTCATTCAGTGTAAATACTGTAGGAGAGATATTAAATTCAATTAGTTTGTCTACTGAAAATACTACTGAAAAGATTAGAATTATTAATAAGTTCATGAATAGAAAGAAAATCAGCTTTGAATTGCAATATTAGTAATTAAATAAAATAGTAATCTTAGAATAAGGGAATACATCAAAATATATTGGAGTCAATAATTGCAATAAGAAAATGAGGAGGAGGAGAAATTAATCACTTCCCTATCGGAGAATCTAAAGAATAAATTAATACATGAGGCTAATTTCTCAATCATTGAAAAGTGTGATTTATTTCAACAAACCTTTTCTGTTGACACCAAATAAAAATTAATCAAATTGTTCAAAACAGTGCTCATAACTCCAGAATAGACCATCACTTGTGAATTACCAGAGTACAATGAACCCTGTTTGTGTTTCATTGATTAAGGAACATTGAATATTTGTGCCAACATTACAGATCAATCTGAAGGTATAACATTTTCTTAAGGCTAATTCTTTGGATTGGAAGAACTGCTAACTGGTCAATAGCCGCAATTATAATTACAATCTTTGTCATTTGTTAAGTTATTAATCTTAACGAGAACTGATTTTATTAATACTTTAAGGGATAATCCATAAGATTATGAATCCTTTTGTTAAATGAAAGACGAAATACTGTTGCACTAAAGAGATTCCAAGACCAAATGCAAATCTTGCAATTGTATGGGTCATGATATCTAAAATTGTCCCATTGTTCATTTTGTGATTGACAAAGAAAGAGTCATCAAATCGTATTAATTCCAATCGGAACAAATAAGGGTGAAAGGTATGAGAAATAGATGTCGAATAAGAAACTAATTTAATGCTATTTTTGATCAATGGTTTCTACAGGAAATTGCATCTATGATGAAGAATCACGAAGACCTACCTATTGTTCAATTCTATGGAATCCAATGTGTAGATGATTCTGAAATCAAATCTCCACAATAATAATTGCTATAATCTAAAGATTCTATGATCACCAATGACCGGGGATCGTTTAGTTATGTTGATTAGGTTATTCAAAATGCAGTCAGTCCTTCGCCTCCAAAGATATTTGATCACTCCATTTTTCGTAAATATTCAATTTAAATTAGATCCTTAGAGTAAAGTTTAAAGAAGAAATTATCCTAAATAGAGCATTAGAATCAAGAACTTTGGTATTAAGATTAAATTCCAAAAAATTATAAAGAAGGTTATGAAAATGCAAAACTATTCAAAAGCTTTTAAAAGACAAAACGATATAGAATCAAACCATAGATTTAATAAAAACATTAAATTCATTGTAGATAATTATTTTAAAACAAATTCAATAAAAGATTATTTAAATAAAGTTGAGTATGAAAATCTTTACTTTCTCAAAATGAAATGTGATTTAATTTAATATTCAGAACTTGTTTTATCCAAGCCTTTTGAGATATAAAAAGAATATTAAATATATTAAGTACATAATAATTTATCCCATGTAATTAAGAAGTCAGATGTGTTTTTAGAATAATAAAAGAGTAGAATATCGTTTAAATAGGAAACACCCAAAAATGATAAATTAATTAAGTTGAACTAAGAAGAGAGAAGAATTATCTTAAAGGACAGCCTCATCAGGTATCTTTCCTATCCAAATTTATACTTTTCAAAATATTACGATAAAAACGAACCAAATGAAACCCCTTAATCAATAGGATAGAAGAAGGCAAGAGCTCTATTCAAAGCCTACAAGAAGCGATAGATAATGAGATAAAACGCATTTCTTTTACCTACTTCTCAAAAGAACGATAGCAAAGGGCTAAAATCCTCTTTGGCGGTAGGAATAAATGTGATAGTGCCTGAAAATTGATTTAATATATAAAACAATTATACTATGGGTTAATAATTATATAATAAAATGCAATATGATCGATCGCTTTTAACAGTTGATATACTCGGGGCCCAACCTAAATCTAGAAATGTTTACATGAATAGGTTGTTGCCGCATTAACTAAAATATGTAGAACAAATAAGAGTTTAGTAATGAATATAAAGTCATGAAAGACAACAAATTCCAAAATAAGATTACAAATTTGGGAGGAGAAGATACTAACATGATTTCCATCACTTCTGCAATATATGCATTCCTTAAGGGGAGGAGTACTTTGAAAGAACCAATAAGAAACACTTCGTAATTCCAGAGGGAGAAATAAAATAATATAGAGCCTTAGAGAATTATTACGATCAACCCAAGTATTATAATTGATGTTGATGAGGGCAAATTGAGGCTGATAGATTGCTATGCACAAATGACATTGACGGAGCAGTTCCAGGTTCTTTGCAGAGTCAGGCTGTCCGTAATCACGATGTAGCATAGAAGCTGAGAATATAGAGAGATGAGTAGAGAGCACAAAGAAAAAGAGCATTATATCAATCACAAATAGAATAGAGTTAGGAAGTCTAAGAAAGGGAATCTCCATCACCTTACAGAAATAAATCACTATCAGTTCAATTATCCCCTGTATAGCCGACCTAACCCTATGAATATATGAATAAGCCTTTAAAACTACCTCCAGTAAGTGATAGAATCACGACTTACACAAATCCAGCAAACAACAGCAAACTACAGTTGCGATAGAACCATCAAACATTTTTGTCCTAGGAATAGGAAAAGACTCTGAAGTTTATAAAGAAGTAGCCAGCATTGAGATTATTTGTTTGATATAATCATGAATAAAATTCCTACTGAAGTTGCTTATTTGATCTCAAATAATGCTAAGGGAGATTCCACTTCACATATTTTTTCTATTAAACTTACTCTGTTGATTTTTTGAGAACTCCTTTGTCCAAACTTTATATTTTGGGTCTGTTAACAGTTCCAATATCTGAGTAGGAAAGAGGAGCTGAACTCTACTCTACGTTATTGGAGAGGTTCTTGTCAATATCCACATCAAAGATGTATAAGGATCTGGACTTGATGAAGGTCGGATGTGGTTTACGCTTCTTTGTTGATTTGTTTGATTCTGTTGTGATGTTGCAATAGTCAGATAGCAGGTAGATGGATTTGTCAGAGTTGGAGGATTTGCTTCGACTTGTTGGTTTCCTTGTAGATGAGAACTTGGATTGCCGATCTGATGAGTCTCCTGGAGAACGTTTTTTGGATCGATTCCTAGTAGATTGTTCTGTGAATCTATTGCTTCTGTTGGTTCTGATTTCATTTTGATCGCATGAACAATCACAAGAAACATAATTAATGTAGCATTGAAATTAACAATTCCCTATAGTAATTGTTCCCATTTAATTGATAATTTTAATTAATCATTTTCCAAAAATAAATCCCAAGATGAGCGATATTGCAGCTATGATCAAAATATGTTTCAACTCAAATTTGTTAGCTATTAGAAATATGCATCAATAGTATACCATGGTGTTTGACAGCCACTTCTTATTGTTTCACACTCTTTAGCATCAATTGATAATCAGAAAGTTCTTTTTACTATTACATATATACAAAGAGTTTACTAATTGATCAATTTGATCTTGATATCTCTAGATTTCCTCATCCTTCTCTTTGGATTGGGAATCAATAACTGATTAATACATTTGACTTATGTTTTCATGTGGCTCTGAAATAATACTTTATTGCAATTCCTAATGAACTATTTCGTGCTTAATTTCTGGCTACTTGAGTCTACTTCTAACCTAGACTTATTAAATCAACGATGGGTCCTTTTATTTCCAATAAGTAGTGAGATCTTGTTATTCAATGATGATTATGTACCCTGTTCATCTTGTTCAATTGTGCAAGCATTAATCTGAAATTTGGAGTTCAATTTGCCTTCCTCTTTGATTGGTTGGATTGTATTTATGGAGATGGAAACTTGATTGTTGGGTGATATGATGCCCAAATTAGGTTTGACTTAAAACAAGTTGGGTGTTGTAGTTTTGACCTTGTTAATTAGTGTATGGCTTACTTTGTAGGATAGAGTATTAGGAGTCAAGTTGAAGATATTGAGAGTCGTAGAGGCTAAATTATTGTCTTGAAGAATGAAGTCTAAATATTGTTTTGGTTCGATGTCAATTAATCCTTACATAAAATATATTGATTTATTTTCATTATATAAATGAGTCTTTTAATCCAAGGATGTTGATGATGTTATTTCTGGCAATTGGATGATAGAATGTCTCGTGTGAGCGGAAGGTTTGGACTGCAAAATCACTAAAATACATTTAAACTAATACTGATCCAACTTATTCAGAGCTCTGTAAACTGGATAGACCATCTTGCCTCTGCCAACTGCTCCAAGGAAATCTGCAATCTACATGAATCTATTCTTGTCTCCTGCTGTTAGGATTGCTCTGAACCATCTGAATTTCAACTCGAAATCGTTTTCTTGAGTTAACTTTAGATCTTTATCGATTTATTCAACAACAGTCAATTTCAACTAATTGTTCTCTGCCTTCTTAAAGAGATCCTCTAAGAAAATCTGCTTCTATGAATGCAAGAAGGTTTTATAATCTTACCAATTTGTGGGTTGTTTTCCATCAGCTGTGATGTAAGCGTTCGAATAATCTAAGGCTTAAGTAAGCTTATTGGTGGAAAAGTCAACAAACACTGGTGGCAATCCTGGAGAGTACACCCATCTATTCCAATTCTCTAAGATCTTGTATCTCTTTGTAGAATAATCATCCACACCTTGTTCTTGCAAGTATCTTAATAAGAAGTTCTAAAACTCCTATTGATCAATAGATTAATATTTATATTGTGCTAAATAAGCTCGAAGCATCATTTTAAAGTCCTATTCTCCCACAATAGATTCTAAATAATTTAAAAATTGATATCCTTTTTCATAAGGGATCTCACTGAAAGAATCATCTGGATTAAGTCCAGTGGTATCAGGATGCAAAGAAGAGAAATTACTCTCAAGTCCATAGCCAAGCATGTCTTAATACATAGATGTATTTCCAATGATAGCATTTAATTTAATATCATCAGGGATGTTATAATGTATTAAGGATGCTTTTCTCTCTAGAAATACTGTGAAACCTTCATTGATCCACATATTTGCCCAATTCACACAGGTGATTGTGTTACCGAACCAAGAGTGAGCCATTTCATGAATGGTGACTGCTAAACCGCTACCTGTTCCTGTCATGATGGAAGGATTAGCGAATGTTAATAGGGGATTCTCCATACCACCGATGGGGAAGGATGGGGGTTGAATGACCAAAGTGTAAGTGCCCCAAGTATAAGGTCCAATGTATTGTTCAATGGCTAATAAGAATTATTCCATTTCCTTTAATTCTTCAGTGTAGGCAGCCAGTTTATCTGGTTCACTAACCAAAAATGTTCTGCCTCCAGTACTTGTTGGAACCTTCTAAATGTTACCTGCCACAATAGCGATAAGGTAACTGGGAATGGGGACTTTTTGAATAAAATATTTATATTTCCAAGTGAAGGTCGCTTCGTCTTATGGTTTATTCAGAATTTTGAATTGCTCCTTGCTTTCATCGGCTGACATGAACACATCTTTTGCCTCAGTGTCCTTGTATATTATGGTAGCAGTGTATGTTTATTTGATGGCTGGAGTGTCCTACAATGGGGCCAATGCTCTGCAGTTCGCATCCTCGCATTGTGAGAATAGGTAGGGCATGGCTATGGATAGAGATTGTGATACTTTTGGTGGAAGTTTATTCCTTAGTCATGAAGCTGATGGCTCTGGATTTGGAATCGATGGAGTATTTGATTGATAATTCTACATATTCTCCTCTGTAATAGGTTCTGTCCAGTTGGATATTGAGGCGTTGGCCTTGGTCAGAGTCAGCATATGGACTGTCAATTGTATGTGGAAGTAATACTCCATTTTTGAGGTATGTAGAATAGATGTTGAGTTTATAGATATCCAGGGAAATCTAGAATACAGTATGGCTATACTTTGTTGATTTAACGACCTACAACTTAAAATGAATAAGAAGATGTAGCATTGATGTATTTCTTATCCATGTTCAACAACCATTCCAAATGAAGGTGTCTATTCTGAACATCCAAGTAGTTTGAAAAGGTATTCACATCAATCTCGTATGCTTGTAAGCATATAATAGATGATATCACCAATAGGATCATTAATTAATGTTAATTTTATTAATTATCAATATATATTCTTGGGAACATTAATATTCGTGATGATGTTGTCCTTAATCTCATCAAATATTTATGAAACGCTGAATAATTTACACCTAAAGTCAAGGATCAAACCTTCAAATTTAGTTGAATTTACACAAATATCCTCCCAATCATCAGTGTTATTTAATGAATCTATGGATAGGTGTTGATAATATTACAATATATGAGTTGCATAAAATAATGCAAATCTACAATGACGAAAACATTATTTAAATGATATAAGTAGTTTGTTCAAACATGGAATTGATTGAAAAAATTTGAAATAAATAATTGTCAATTTAATTAAGTTTTTGATCATTTGGATGCATTTCAAAACTTAAATTAATTACTTATACTCAGTTAAAAAGTTGATATAATTGTCAATTAGAAAAATAAAGAAATGAAAATCATAGTATCTATTCTATGTGGTGAGTTGTATTTTATTTGAATTTCCAAAATATCAAAGTAGATGAAAAGGTTTTTAATGTTGAGTCTACATTAGTGAGTTGTATTTTCATTCTGGCATTTCTAATTAAATGTAAATTTCTTAATAAACTAATAAAATATTATAATATATATCAAACACTTATATTAATTTTAACTAGATCTTCAAATTAAAATCATCCTTTCACATAAATTATAAATAACATTACCTATCTCTCAAAAGAAGTGGGTTATTCATGGTAAAACTAATTAAGTAATAGAGTAGGGTTTTGCTCAAAGATGAAAAGAGTACTTATATGAGATTATTTATAATATTTAATTATATGAAAAAAGGAAGAGCAGATAATTAAGTTTAGCCTATAATAAAGAACAAAAATTAGGCTTAGAGTGAAAATCGGAATCACTCATATGATAAGTAACTCTATGTTGAATAATAATAGTGATCGTCCTCATCCTTATGAAACTCCCCAGAAATATAACCACACTAGCAGAGAAGAGGATAAACGAATTAATTAAAACCAAAAAGTATAATCCAATAGGTTTCAATAGGAGGAGTAAATTTAGTATTTATTAAAGCTCGAAACTGCCCTATGAAATCAATTATGAGAATGATTTTGAAAATTAAAAAATATCAGAATACTCTCTCGATAGTATCAGAAGAGAGGACCATATTGAAGATAGAATCAATAAGCATACATTACACAAGTCAACTCACTTCTATTCAAGATTACTGAAATCATCTTCTCAAAAACACAATAAAGAATTAAAGCAAGAACCAGAGCCTGAAAAACCTGGTATTGCTATGAATCTATTAAATGCTTTCGATCAATAAAAATAACCAGAAGAGTAGGCTGAGTATTTTAATGATGTAGAATATGAGAAGATCAGTCGCAGACACTTAAAATTGATTAAAAGAAATCCAATGAAGGATCCCTATTATGTTAGATTAGTCAAGTTGTCAGAATTTGAAAAGTTGAATTACGAATTGCAAGTATTGTTCTGTCAATATTTAGAAATACAACGATACCTCGCCTTTTCTTTAGACGAGAAAACACCTTTTATTCTCTATCTATTGCATCCCTATATTAGCAAGGAAAATCGTCAATAATGTGCTCTTCAAAATTCTCATGACCTTTCTCATCCTCTTTAATGTGGTTTTATACATAGTTGTTAAAACTAATGGGAGAACTGACACAGGGACGATCGAATAAACTGTCATGCTACTATTTATTTCTGAAATCGGCTTGAGAATAATAGCAAGTGGAATATTCTTTAATGATTACGCCTTCTTTAGAAATATGGAAAACGTTTACGACTTTATTTTAATATTCTTCACCGCCATGAGCATCTATTACCCAGATATTATCATTATTGATGTCTCACCCTTGAGATTGGTTACACTGTTGATGTATTTGACAAACATCTTTCAAGGTCTGAATGTGATGATGACAGCATTAAAGCAGTCATTCAAATATCTGATAGAAGCTTTGATGATAGTCATTATGTTTTCTTTGATCTTTGCATCGATGGGAATATTCCTGTTTCAAGGATTGTTCAATTATAGATGTCAATACGAGAATGGAGATGAGACTGAAGGTTGGATTCAGTGTAATTAAGCCAGATGTCCAGATAATATGCAATGTATGTATAGTGAGTACACACCCAAAATGCCAACATCCTTCAACAACTTGATTGGATCTTTAGGGTAGATTTTGAGAACCATTACAATGGATGATTGGAGTTGGGTGATGTTCTTCACAATGAGGATATTTCATCCTTGGATTTGGCTGTATTACTTGTTAATTATATTCATTGGGGGTTTCTTTGGATTCAATATAGTTATTGCAGTCTTGAAAGTCCATTATTCAGAAGCTACTCAAGAAAATAAAGAGCATGAGGAGGCTAAGGAAATTCAAAAGAGATTGAAAGAGGAGGAAGAGTTTCCAGAGAGAGATCTACTTGAAACTTTGGATGTAGCACATCTGAGAGACATCGGAATTTACAAAGTGATAAAGAAATACAGAACTCTCCTAAACGAAAACTCATTAGTAGATTATGCTATCGAAGACCCATCCAGCTTCAAACAATCATATCAAACCACCAGAACTCTATCTGCTCGATAAAAGCAATTAGAAAGTGGAATTATCAAACTCCCATTTGTTGATTTTGTTACAAGTTTCACTTGGAAGAGATTTCTACTCCCCAAATTCTATATCCTGGATGAATTGATTAAGAAGATCAAAATCAAGAATTACACCGAAGACGAGTTTAATATGCAAGTTATTGAAAAGTTAAAGGGAATAAAATTTTCAAGATTATAACCTCAAGTTAATAAGGAAGTTAAATAGAATTTCATCTCCCAAAATGATATTCTATTAAAACTAATGTATTCATCTAATATCTTATTTTAGTGACTAATAGGATGTTATCCAATAAGAAAAGGTCTTCAATTTAGAAAAGATTAGAGCAACGAAGTTTAAAATGATCTATCATCAGATAAAACTAAAAGGTTAAGGCTAATTCAGTAAAACCAATCTCAATAAGTCTCTGTTCCCTACGAAAAGCAAAACCCAATCTCCATTCGTTAGTATGATGTAAAAGAAAATGGAAAATTCAACAGATTCTCTCATTTAATTAGATAAAACTGTTGACAAGCATTCTAAGATGCTTCATTCGGGTAATTCTGAGGTGGTACTTAAGTAATTTACAGTATATAAAAATGGCCAGCTTTATGTTTTCATTTAGGGATATTACACTAAGTATGATGGAGTTAAAGAAAAAATTAATCAAAAAATTCCAATTATTAATCACAATTTGGTTTCGAATTAATTTAAGTATGAGGGAATGAGAATGAAGGAGTATTAGCATTAAAAATAGATAAGTAAGCATAATTGGTCAGGAAAGGATGTTCTTGAAGTGAATAAGACGAGAATGAGGCAATTTTACTCGATCTTAATGGTGCTTAATAGAGTAGACATCATTATATGGATAAAGGGCTTGAAGGGGTTATATATAATGTCTTAAAAATATGCCTATCTTATTGCCACTGCTAGATTCAGTCAATTCTTCTTTGATTTAGTCATCCTAAATAATTTCACTTTTTTATCTCTCTAAGGAATTGTGGACATATCTATAATATCTACAGTGGAAGACATCTCCACAATTTTGCTATGCTGTGAGCTAGTAACGAGATTCATTGGATTTAAATTGAAAGACATATTAAAATCTGCTGATATGATATTGCAATCAGCCATCGTCATCTTAAACTTCTTTGAATTGACGATGAGTGATTATATGACTACGTTGAGTGAATAGAATTTGAGATTAATCAGAGGAACTAAGTGTTTATTATTTTATAGATGTCTCAAATACAACAAGATGGCAATTACAATTGGACATATTGCTTCAATGACATTTGATTAGTACATCTATTTGGCATTTCTAATGTTTCTAGTCATATTTATGTATGCTCTAATAGGAATGGAGATGTTCGTAGGATAGTTTGATTAATAAGATTCACTAGGACAATTGCATTCGTATGAGAACATTTTCAAATCGTTTATGACTATTTTCAATATCATGACAAATGATGACTGGTATGGAGTTTATGTAATTGGCAGTGATGTAGATCACACCTTCTCTATTATCTACTCTTTTTCTCTAGTTTTAATTTTGAATTATTTGACTTATGGTTTAGTTATGGCAGTATTGTTAGATGGTTTCGGAAAGTATTTAGATTAACCAATAGAAGAAATTCAGAATGAAATAAAAAAAAATATTAATGAATAATTATAGCACATTACTTAGAATTCAGATGAAATATAGATGAATTTGGTTGAAACAATTGAAGAAATTATAGTGTCTAATAAAAACATCTCCCAAGAAGATCCTGGTAAATCTAAGCCCAATTTAATATATAATCTTTTAAAATCCATAAGTAACCTATTTAAAATATAACTTAGAATAAATAAACAAGAAATTGTTGTCGAAAACTCCAAAATTATATGAAGGCATTGAATGCGAACAGTCTCTGTATTTGTTTGATAAAGATAATCCATTTCGAATTGTATGCACTCATTTAACCAGTTCATAAATATATGTCTATTTGATGGACATTGTCACGTATTTGTCCATTATTGCTTTCATTCTCAAAACCTATAACGATTTTGAGAAAGATAGTGAATCATATCCAGACACTATTTAATTCTCTTGCAACATCATCCAATTGGCTGATACAATTTTTAATGTAATTTCTAAAGGGTTATATATGGATAATGGGTCGTATTTAGTGTCAACATTTTAAGTTCTTGATTTCATTTATTAAGTGTCAAACATCATAGCATTTGGCAGCAACCCGGATGATTTCAAACCCATTTTAAAGATCTTGCTTTATTTAGGTTATTTTAGACCAATGAAATTAATGTATAGACTAAGTTGGTTGACCAATTTGAGAGAAGCCATAGGGAGATCTCTCTTTGATATTTTTAATGTGCTCATTACTTTACTCTCTGTATGGATGATATTCGGAGTGTATGGGATAATTTTGTATGAATAATAATTTGGGTATTGTGAGGATAAGATGCAATTTGAAGTAAACAAAGAGACATGTTTAAGTGAAGGTAGGATTTGGGTGAATTACAAACATAACTTCGATAACATTACAATAGCTGTTCCAACTCTATTTGTGACAGCAACTTTGGATGGATGGGGTGAAATATATTAGGTTGCTGAGAACAGTTAATTTGCTGAAATAGGTCCATAAGGATTTAATTCCTATATTGTAACCTACATTTTCTTTTTGATTTTCGTATTTATAGGGTCTATGTTCTTCCTAAGTCTATTTACAGGAGTGTTGTATACAAATTTGAAGAAGAATCAGTAAGAGATCGAGAATACCGAAGTGACACAATCTCAAAAAGAGTTCAAAGAGATCTCAAACATGTTGATAAATGACTTTCCTACTTTCTCCACTCCTCCTACTAGTGGCATCAGAAAGATTGCTTCAGATATCACTAATAGCATGACAATCTAGAAATTTCTGTTCTTCTTATTGTGGGTAGACTTTGTAATTTTACTGATGTTTACATCCACAATGACAGACGAATATTTCAGAACCATCAATAATATCCATAATGGATTGAGTGTGACTTATTTCATTTGGGTTTCGTTATTGTTCCTGGCTTTGGGTGTAAATAGATACTTTGATAATTCATGGAGAAGGTTCTATTTTTTTCTGATTGTCATAGCAGCAGCAGATTTGATTGCTGATTATTCTGTTGATTGGGTAATGATTTACTATAAATCGAATCCAAATAATGAGGGTTACTAATTAATGAGATTGTTTTTCTCATTAAGAAGTCTCAGGATCATATTGATATTCCAAGGATTTATAAATCTATAAAGGTTAATCAACGTCATTTTGTTTGCATTACCATATTTGGGAAAGATCTTTTCTATCCTAATTATTACAATGCTTGTATTTACACTATTTGGATGTCAACTCTATGGAACAATAGATGCTGGTCTAGTAATGGATGATTAATTAAATTTCATGAATGCAGCAAGTGGAATGATGACTCTGTTTAAATGTGCCTCAGGGGATGATTGGAGAACCATTATGACTGACACTATGCACCATAACCCTTTATGTTGGGAAGACCCTAAATATTGTGGAACATTCTACAGCTAAATCTATTTCTTTTTATTCATGTTCTTCTCGACTTATGTGTTGCTCACTCTATTTTTATTGAGTTTGGTCGAGCAATTTGAGTCCTTCTTTTAATTGTAGAACTCACCCATACAAACCTATGTGGAGAATATTGATAAAATCAAGACAGTCTGGTGTAAATACTCCTCAGAAACCTAAGGACAGACCATGCATTATAAATTCCTTTGTAGATTTCTATTGGATATTGGAAAACCTTTGGGAGGAGGCGAGGATGAAAACTTATGGGATGTCGCCAAAATTGCATCCTCCTTCAAATTGAAATGGTAAAATCTCTTTAATATCTAGTGATCATTATGGATATATACAATACAATTAGTTGATTTATGAACTATTCAGAGTTAAATTTCATGCAGAAGTATTCAAGGAAGGCACTCCAGATTCCATCAAACAGATTAAGTAGTACAACAAGGAAACTTAACTTCGTCTCATGTACTATAGAAAGAATAAACACATCGAAAGATCCAACATCAGTTCTGCCCTTCAACTCAAGGCCAATTTCAATATTCTCCATGATTATTTGACAGTTCTCATCTTATTCAAGACTTGGGAGTCGTACAGCAAACTACTGATCAAGAAACTAGCCAAGAAATAAAACCAGTTCTCAGATGAGGCCATCTCTTTAGATGCTGAATAAGAACAGAAGTAAGTCTAGGTATCATTCTATTTTTAGCAACAACAGAAATCCAAATCATCTTATAGAGCAAGATGTTTTCGAAGGCTCAGGTGATGAAGAAACCGAAAATTGTCAGAGAGTCATCAAATAACACCACATTACTAATGAAAGTCATTAAAATTCCCACTTAGAACTTCCAATCTACAAGAGTTAACAACCTTTTTCAATATAGGAAGAAGACATTAAACTGATTTTGTCGCCAGAGCCTGAAAGGTTAAAAAATAATTGATTCTTTTATTGTAAATCATTTTATTTGAATGTTCAAGAATATTCATATATAATTGGCTCCAAATTTGGAATGCAATTGTTTATTGTTGTATTAATCACTTATTGATGTATTCGATTCATTAATTTTTATCATATATTAAATTATTTTGAACTAATAATTATTGATTAATTAACATCATCAAATAAAAATTTAATTGAAATATAATACGTAATATCTTCAAATATATATTCGTCAATTAGAATACTAAATTTCAAAGTAAAATAAAATTAAAACATGGATAATGATTATTATGACTTTCTTGATCATTCATTCGACTACAAACCGAAGAAGAGAGGACAGAGGGGTTAGAAAAATCAAATTTTAATTTAGCATTGACTGATCAAGAGATCATAGTTAGAGAAAGAATGAAGCTCGTAAAAAATAGAGAATCTGCAAAAAATAGTAGGAAAAGAAAAAAGATGTACGTCGACCTCTTGGAAAACAAAGTATATTCCTCTCTAAATCCAAGGTGGCTGGCTTAAATCAATAGTTACAAGAATATAAAGAACTCTAGGAACAAAGTTAGGTTCTCCTTAGAAATACACAAATCCAGTTATTATTTGGAAAATCATAATAAAAATCCGATTAATTAAACCATTACTTTCAAGAAATATATGAGTAATCCATCCCTAAAATTGCCCTACATTTTAAACAAGAAAAACACAATCCAGAACTAGATCTATGCTTTTCAAATTTCTATAAATGCTTCGGTGATATGAATAGTATCAAGGAAGAAATGACTCAAGAAATGTAAAAAATGGAAGTCACTATGAAAACTGCAAAGGAAATTCCCGAGTTTAATAAGTTCCTGGAACATGTCTCTAAATTAGATTTCTAAAAATAATTAGATAGTTTAGAAGAAGTAATTAGTAATTGTAATCAATTAGGAACTTGGAAATGTCATTAAAACAGATGATCTTTAATTGTCAATCAAAGACACCTATGATTTGTACAACAAATCCATGCAATTTATCAAGAAACCTAAATTAAATTGAAAATTATTTATATAACATTCTCATCATGTACTAAAACTAGATCGAATCTACCAACTTAACAATATATTTCATATATAAAAAGCTAACCTATTGTATAATAATACTCCATCCCAAGATTACACAAGAATATGGTAACTAAACATAGAAAGCTATTATATTAAGAAGTATCAGAATGTGAGAAGGACTAAATTGAATTAAAAATTAAATTACTCTTATTTATTAGCTATTTAATAAAAATTAAACTTATTGTAAATATTTAGTTTTGTTCTTCATTCTTTTGAATATAATATGCATTGAAACAGAATACAACAACTGCTACAAAATATAAAAACATATTAGTATTATTACTAATAATCTACTAAAAATAGATTATATGTTAATTTTTAAGAAATTACAACAATATCAGTCCTTATGAGAGCATGGTTTTTGGATTCTTAATGAAAAATTGATATAATTAACTCAATCTTACTTAAAGGATTATATAAAATAAATAATAATTCACGTATGTATAATGGCAGAAATTAAAAATTTTTTGCATTACATATTAAAAGTGTCTCAAAAGTAAGAAAATTAATAACTAAGGAATTCTGTTTTAGTGGTAAAATTCTTGTGCCTTATAACATATTTAATCGCATTTTAAAAAAGAGAAAATAATATATATTTAGATTTGATGTTCCTTTTTTATTTTTCATTGAGTTAATGATTTTTTGATACTTTCAAAGAATAGCTCTTGTTTTTTAACAATAGCCCATCGATTGTGCAATTAAAAATTAAGACTGCCATTCTTCTATTGTAATGGAGAATGTTTCTTTCTTCTTTTACACCAATTTAACACCATTTTATAAGTATGAATTTTTAAACCCAAGTTGCAATTAAAGCTCAGATGAATGTGTATAATTATCTGCTCATTTTATGATATTTGATTCCATTAATTATTTAAATGAGTACTGAGTGTTCAGTGGTATTTAATGTAACAGTTAGAACAACACTTTCTTAAGTAGTAGGAGTGGTAGGAAATTAACCAGAATTAGGAAATTGGAATGATAAAAAGGCTTGTATTTTAAAAACAGAGCCAGCCTCATTTCCAAAATGGGTGACCGAAAACCCAATAATATTTTAAAGAGGTACTAAGAATACATTATTGAAGGAACAAAACTTGAATTCAAATTTGTGATAATGGAAAATGGAAATACAATTTGGGAAGAATTACCATAAAATCGCAAATATAGATGTCGGTATTGGAAGGTTGTTTTGACAGCAGAATGGAATAATTATGAAGGAAGAGAATTTATAGAAAAGAGATTTAAATCTAGCGTATGCTTAAATCAAGAAGTCTTAAGCAAAGTCACAAGGGCTAGAATGAGTGATTAATTTGATCCTTTTGATTAAGCCAATGATGACTCAGAGGATTCCGTAGAAGGATTTGATAGTTTTGCTAGAGAAATAGCTGGTAAAAATGACTCAGAATCTTCGGAATCAGATAATGAGAAAAAAAAGCCCATTGTTGAAATTAATAAAGATAGCGATTTTTAATCGTTATATTAATTATATAATGAGAATCCAAAGTTCCGATAGCTTAAGAATTTCAATCAGAATGATATATTGTATGAAGTTAATGAAGATCCCTTAATAGGAATTAGCGATGAGGATTCCTTGCTTATTTCTACTTTTTATCTCCCTATAGTTGTGATCAAGAAGCAAGATGGCTAATATGAAAGGAGAAACTTCTAACATTCATTTAGTCTACATCTATTATTTGGAGTTCAACAATTCAAGAGAACTTGGTTTGGATTGCCTATCGTATTAAATGAGAAAGGGGAGAAAATCAATGACACAAGCGAAGAATTGAAAACCTTTTTAAAATAGCATGGATTTGTACCAATATTTATAGATCAGGATTGTTTGGATTACTTTAACTAAGAATTTTGTACTAAATTGTATTAGCCCATAATGAATAATGATGTGAGTATTACTAAATTGGCAGCTCTTGAGTATTCTGAGCACATGCAGGATTGCTTTAAAAAGATGAATGATTCATTCTTCTAAGAAATCAAACCCTACATAAATTAAAGTTCTATTGCGTTAATTGCAGATTATAGACTATTATATTTGAGTTAGATCTTTGTGAGTCACAAATTTACTAGATTACCTATTGTTATATTTTATAATAGACTATTCCCTCACTTTGACAACTTAAAGCTCATTCCATTTTACTCAGACATAACCAATTCATTCCTACAAGCCAATGTTATTTGTTTTAGTAATTATGACACTGCTAATGAATTCTTAACACTTATGAAAGACATTTATTAGATTGAATATCATTCATTCAAGGGAAATTTGGCATTTCATTACTATGGCAGAGAAATATACGTTAAATTGCAGAATCCAGGTATAGAAATAAGAGCATGTGGAGATTATAGATTTGAAGGAAAGCAAAAGAGAATTCTATAGGAGAACGAGATCAGAATTGTTGGAGTGGATACATATGGACATCAATCAGGAGTGGAATTGAAGTTCAGACATCTGTTAAAATTTGTTAAGGAAACTGATATCATTCAAAAAAACCCTCATATCAAGTTCATCTAAATATAACTAAAGGCCTTTGAAGACAATGATGTACAAATACAAAGAACCTAGTTAATTAATTAGATACAACAAATAAATTAATTATTGTATCCAAATAACGAAGATTATTTTATTAAATTGATTGAAGAAGATATGGATTCCAAATAACGCTTCGAAGAGTTCAGCAAGGCCAATATGTACTTTTAATGTAGGTACAGTGGGAGACATGATTTTTATCTCCTTGAATACATTCATCTAAATGCTATGCCCATTGCTTTAATCAGTGACTCAAGTTGCTTTCATCGAGGTTGTCACTCCATTTCAACATTTAATGTATTTTCTCACAAGGATTTTAAAGAGAAGTTTTCAGATTTATTAGATAAGATCCTTAAAAAGACTTACTAATTCACTCAAGTTCATAAAATCTAAGTTGAAAAAGACCAATAAACAATTCGCTAAAATCAAACATCATAATGGATAGAAAATATCTTTATTGATGCTAAGAAAGCTGCCTCAATGTTAAAGTTTGCTTAGATTAGTATAAGAAATCAAGATGGGTAATAGATTAAAGTTGCTCATAATATGAAATTCTAAAATTTAGACATTCAGCAGGTTGCTAGAGTATTCCAATAGGCTGCAAAAGGTATTATACTTTTAGAATTTGAATCAATTGTAACTGATCAATATGTTATTGATTATAAACCCCATCACTTTTTTCAACAAAGTCCTCATATGAAAGGAAGCGAAGAAGTTATCGTCATCAGACAAGTGTAATAGGAAATACTATAGGCCTTAAAAGGGATATCTAAGGCTCATAAGGTTTACATCATTTCAAGTGGGTTATACAATGAACTATAGTCAAATTTCAATGGATCAAATATCAATTTGTTTGCAGAAAATGGATTTTTGTATAGATCAGATTCAATTTAATGGAATGCTCTCTTTAATATTGATTATTAATGCTTAACATAGGTCAAGAAAGTGTTTAATTAGTATGCCACAAAAACAGAAGGAGCTATGGTAGAAGTCAAAGAAAGTTCGATTTGTTGGCAACTCAAAAATTAAGAAGAATATGCTCAACAATTGATCCAAGATCTTGTAGATAATGTATAAACTATTGTTGATCGCTATCCTACTTTTTAATTGATAGTGAAATCTAATTGTGTAGAAGTCTGTCCAAAGAATTTAAACAAAGGAATGATTTTAGAATTAATAATGTAGAAGGAGAACCTTCAAAGAGGAAAGTTAGATTTTGCCTTGATTGTAGCCAGGGGTATTGAAAACGAGGATGTGTTCTCTCATTTTAAAGTAATCACTCAAAGCAGAAAGTATTTTACAGAGGTACCAAATTCATTTCATTTAATAGAATGCTAACCACTTCTCAGTTTCTTAGGGTCTTGTTCCATCATATGCTAATTATTACCTAAACTCATAATTAGATTTAATTCAACTATTAAAAGCAATGTGAATTTCTTAAAATAGTATATTATTGTAAATTTAATTAATTATATATTTTATACATACAAATTAGTTTTAAAGTTCTTACTCTTAAGTTGTATTTATAGTTTTCAGATATCAATAAACCTTATTACTCCCTAAATTAAACAATAACATCAAGAGTTTAGATATTTATTTCAATATTTGATAATAAACACATAATAGGATTGAAATAAGAATAATATGTTTAATTTCTATGTTCAAACATATAAAAATAACAATTTAGTTAATTCAAATAAAAGAGAATAAAATATAATAGGATTCTTGTGAATAATATTAATTCGCTTCATATAAAATGTTTAAGTATATTGATCGCGATGAATGATATTACTGCCAATAGCAAATAAATCTAGCCATATTTAGCAAAATTATTGCTTGTTTTATCATTTTAATCAGAAATTCTCAAATTAGTCTCAGCTAGATCCCAAGTTAATAAAATTTGTGTGGCCTTATTTCTCCAATCTTATTGAGATAAATCGCTAGATAGATTTTATATTATGAATTCTTCAATTCTAATCTAGTCTACCCATTTTTGATTTGCTTCTCTTCTTAAAACAATCAAATATTCAGACTTATTAACAAATTAGGTAATAAATGGCCAATTTCTGTTTTACAGTTCATTTCTCTTCTCAGCATAGATATGGGGTACCTCTAAGTATGTATGAAGTGAATTATCAGGAAAGTCTGTAATTTTGACAATATTTTTCACTCTTTCTATTCCTTATTTTCCATTATCTATATGAACAAGTCCAAGAAAAACAAAATTAGAGCTCATAATAAATAATTTTTATATTTAATACTTTAAATAATAACTGATTAATTAAGATTTCCTATTATATAAAATAAATATTGAATAAAAAATAAAATACATTATGATTATCATATTATAATTTTCATGTATTTTACATTATGATTACATTATAGTTGCCATTCAGTACAACATTTAATGAATTTCCTTTGCCTGACTTCTAATATTTGCAGTTAGAATCAGATCCACAGGAATAAGCACCAGAATCTATCGTAATGACTGGATGGTTAATTGTTATTTATAGATCCATATAAAACTCAAGGTACAATATATGGCGAATAGACTCATTAATATTTAATTTCATAATTACCTAATCCCAAATCCATAGTAATACACTTGTATCACACTGATGATACTTGAACTGATATTGGAATTGTCTTATTAAAACAAAATCAAGAATTATCTCATTGCAGTTTGGATGTCAGTAAAATATTGTAAGACAAAATTCTAAAATTATTAAGATTGTGCAGTGATCCTACACTCCTCTATATTTGGACTATATTTTAAGTTATTTATTTCGTAATCGTATTCTTAATTGATAAACTTAACGAACGCTGCAGTAAATCCCAGAGCACCATTCACAATGATGTCTAAATATATATCTTTCCTATTTCAAATCAAATATTAATTACTTATCATAAGCTAAGGACTGTTTTGATAAGTCACAAACTGGTAGATTATCTAACGTAGTCGATAGACATAGATCATAATTCAAAACTCCATCGAAAATACTCTTCTGATTGTTTTCGTTAGCATTTTTCAAGATAACATCAGCGATTTCATTAATCAAGGGTAATAAATTATCCTTATAATCTACTAACAAAGATGTTGATAAAGTTTAATTGATATAACTAAGATTATAATTCGGGATTAGAGGTTCAGTTTTTGTGAGACCTGCAATTAAAGCCAATGAATCCATGTTGTGTCTAAATTACACAAATTTTAATGTAACAGTTAAAGAGGGTTAGAAATTATCATTATATGACATATGGATAAGATATCCAGCCATTAAAAAAGCTGACCATGTTATAGCTAATAAAAATGTTATTATAACATTTGTTCTATTCAAATAATATGTTTTCTATATTCTAGAATATAAAGCACTAGTGGCTCGGTAACTATTTTAAGTAGATTGAATCGAAATAGCCTACTTTAATTCTACTTTTTTCTATTTTTTATCCGAATATTCAAACATGACTTCTCCAAAATTAAACAGTTTCCATTTATTTGTACTCTCATTTTCCAACTGCTCTTTTATCAGAGTGAGACGATTAATTTAATCAATTGATTAATTTTCATTTATGCGAGATACTAAAAATAATATCGATTTAGTAATGTGATCAATAAATAGCCAATATTTCAATTAGAGTCCAATAAATAACATTACAGAAAATAACTAAACCATCATAACTGTCAAGAAGTACGATCTCACTGAAGATTAAGTATCAATAGTATTCTACATGATAATCTAAATTAGTTGATTATGCAGATCTATGATTTGCCATAAGTTCACTCTTATTATACCTGTTGTTAGCATATCTGGGTATATGAAAGATTCGTTTCCCAAATTGTTTCTATATGAAGTTTCAGCTGTCTAATAAATTACTTGATAAAAATCCTAAAGAGGAAGGTCTTGATATTTGATAACTCCATTTTCGATATACTTAAAGTTGAAAACTGTATTGATATTCAAGTTCTAGGCTTATTTAGGTACTTATATTGCTAAATCAATCATTTACGCTCTAGCGAAATCATACATTGAAGCCAATACATCAGTATTTCTATCACTCATAAAAGGACTTAATGAGATTAATTTTAGGCTTTATACATATTGAATCCATTCCTGGTACATTGCAGAAGAGTAAAAGTAATTAATATCTTGGGGTTATCTCAGATTTTTAACCTATTCTGTTTAAGAAATAAGGTTAGATGATATCAATTAAACATTAATTATATCGACAGCCAAGATAGCCAAAGATATCATTGATAGAAGAAAACCTATTTTTTTGAGAGGAGTTATAAGTTAGGTGTTATAATACAGTTATTAAACTATTAATAAGGACTCCTTGGATGTTGAATTTGTAGAAGTTCTTGAGGGATTCGATGCAAAATCCATAGCATTCTCCTTCTTTTGTAATTAAGCTATTCTTAGCTTACCCAAAATCGAATTCTTTTTTAATGTTTAACTATTCGATTCAAATTTTTCATTGACTATTTCTTATTCATTTTCATCTAATAGTTCTAATTGTCTTTCCTTTAATCCCTAAAATAATATGATTAAGATATACTTGCATTTCATTTTCCATTTGCTCGAACTCTTAATTGCATTATTTATCTAAGAGTCTGGGTTTAATGTACAATGGTTATTAGAAAATCATTTATCTGTTGGAATCAAATATATTGGATCTTTCAGATTATTTAACTTTTAAACTCATTTCTAAGGATTTCGAATTATCTAAAAGGTTATTACTCAAATCGTCGTTATCATACTATTTTACAGCCTTCAATTGATTCATCATTTTAATTTCTAAGATCATCCCATTTTAGGATTCAGGTATTTCCGCATTCTCATTTCTTAAGAATAAATCACTATTATTCAAATCCTAAGTTGGATATAAGCTCTATTGTTGAGTTGTTTGGGATGGAACAGTAGTGAAATGCTGATTAGAATTTTGCAATTACAAGTGCTTCATTTCTTTAATAGAAATCATAAAATAAGCATACGTTCCTTTCTTATATTTTAGAACCTTAAATGACAAACTGTAAAACAAGCCTAATTGCATATATTATGATTAAGTATCAAATTCAACTAGCTTTTTTACAGATTCTTAGACTTCTGGATGTAAAATCATGATTGGTGTATTATCAATGAGAATCTACTTTCTGATTTCTTAAGGAATCTCTTAATCGTCATAAATGTCCATATTAGTATTCACAGAATTCTAAGAATATCTTGAATAGGTTAAAGATTTATAAGATCTCTGATTGCCTTGAGTTTGAGTACCATTACTTCTTCTCTTAAATTATGACAATATTAAATTGGAATTTAAAAGGCAGTCATTATGATTTGATGGAATAATCCAGTAAGATCTTAAGTTATTCATCAGATAATTAGAAGATGAGTTAATTTAGAGTCTTAGCTCCTCTACCTATTAAGTAATGGATGGTATGTAGTATTAAATTAATGGGTATCTTAATAATAACTCTTTGATTTCTATTTATTAAGCTGTTGTTTCAGATCTTTTAGACATATGAGAACTTTCAATTTTTGTTTTAGATCTCAAAGCCTCGTCATAAAATTACTTAGTGAATCCAAGAATTTTACCATCTATTCCAAACAAAATAGTTTCATTATTTGATTACTCTTTGGTTAGAATCATATTTAATAAAAAGTCATTCTTATTTGAATCGAAATAATTATACAAATTGATATTACAAGGTTCTATGTATCCTTATAAATTTTAAAAGAATGTTGACTCCCCATGCACCATTAATTTGGAATGTCCATTTTATAAATAATTATCCATTAACTAATCATGGATTCCAGATAAGAAGACAGGCATCAACTAATTGCAGTGTTTGATTAATTTAACATTGTCCTCGGAATCACACAAAAACTATGATAACTATTTACTATTGGTATTAATTAGTTCTCCTCTTTTGCGCACTAGACTAGATTTTAAGATTATCAATCTATCTTTAAAATTAATTTAATATTTATACTTTGTATTAATTGAATATTATCCAAAGATTCATCTTATTTATATCTTTCGCTCTTTAGCAAATCGTCAATTGCTTTTTCTAATTAAAAAGCCTAGAAAGAGTTCGAATAAATTCCAGTCTAATAGATTTGTATGATTCTCATTGATAAAATGTCTTGAGATTAAGATCCTTTCAACTTATTATTGGTCATATCGAATCTATCCTCAAATTCCTTTTTGCATCTCAACATTTTTGAGGTTGTTTTTAATGCTTCGTGAAGACAATGATCAATATCATTATACCCATTGATCAGTTTATTCCAAAAATTGATTTTGCTATTCACAGTTTCAAGAATGAAAGGGAATAATATGGATGCAGAGTGGGAAGTATTAAATGCTGATTGAACATCTAGTGAATTCAAATGTTCATTGGCATTTCTAATTGAATTCTTAACTTGAGCCTCTTTTTAAAATTGTTAAGTTCTCTTATATAATTCCTATTACAAATTGTGAGAAGCCATTTTATAGTAGATATCATTAGATGTCATTAAAATGACTCTTATCAGTGCTTTTAATGGGGCATGATTAGCTACATAGGAGCAATATAGCAAAACATAGAGTTGGCTACTATTGATTGAAGTATTGGCCATTCTTCTTAATAGACACTCAACTATCTGATGAAAATTCTTGCATTTCTTGCATACATGATTCTTTTTAATGATGGATAGAATAATCTTAGATTTTGGTGCAGCACTCATTTCATTGTTTTCTTCTAAAACCTAAGTAAATTTAATTCATACTTAAAGTGTGACTAAATTCTGCTGTTACTTAAGAGTGATATAGTAATTCACTACTCGATTCTGAATCTATATACACAAGTACAGCAAAAAAAGGATTATTAAGAATAATTCGTAGATACTAAAATTGAATGAAATGGAAATGTTGACGGAAATCGCAATAGACTCAACTAAAATATATGCGAATTGATTGATTCTGTTTATCGAAGTTACGATATAGGTCAAGCTCTTTATTAGCAACAAGGCAAATCTTAATTGAGGCAAAATATCTATTGATTTCAGAATTATCGATGTTATCAATAACACTTACATTATGCCATTAAAAACTATAGAATAATCCAATGTTAAAATGTAATTATCTTCCATTAATTTTTCGCATCTCCCAAAGTAAATGTGTATTGAATTTAAGATCAAAGCGAATATGATATTTAGTGAGCCTATCAATATCATTCCTATTCTGCCTGCCGAAGCACAGAAGTCGCTGAGATTGCAAATCTCTTGGTCATAAATAAAACTCAATGCTGAATACAGAATAGGAATTTAGAAGAGCAATTCGTAATAAGTTAAGAAGGAATGCAAGATGTGCTATAATGAGGTTGATTTGTTTCTCAAAAAGTAATAATAAGTGAACATGAGTAAGAATATGATGTGCACGATAAAGAAAAATAAAATTATGAGAACTTGCTAAGTGGATGAAATAGAATCTATGATGAAGCAATAACTTATTATACTCAGGATTGGACTAATGTGCATATTGATATTTATACTTCATCTCTGTTTTATATTGAAATTAAAAATTCTTGACAAGTTCGAGTTCTTGTGCTTTATTTATGGTTGCTATAAGAACAACGATACTTTTGAGTTGAAGTTGAGTGGAAGCTGGATGTATTAATAGATTTATTAATTTGAATAGTTGTTCCATTCAAAATTTAAAAATAAATTAAAATGCAGAAATTTCATACTTCATTAGATATTAAATTCTCACATTTCTATTCAAATTGTGTTTGATTTAAATGGTTATATTTATTTTATACGTGAGATCACCAATATATTGATTCATAATTAAGTGTATAATTCTGTTTATAAATATAATAGATGTAAAATAAGGAGATTGCCTTTCTGGGTATCGATAGTCCTGTTCACAGTTAAAATGTAATATCTCCTCGATTTGACGAATTGATTCCGATTTATTCCAATGAAAATATCGACGATCAGCCTATGGACGAAGCAATGAAACTTAAAAGGAATATATTTGAGAGGAAGAATTTTCGAGCATTAAATGATGGACATAAATCAGATAATTCTAATGACGACAGTTCCTTGAGTAGTTTGAAGTACTTCCATTTATATAAAATAAGTAGCCGTAGCTAAGTTGAGGATGGATCTGCCAAATCAAAGACTAATTCCTTCATTCATTAATCTCTTTCTTAAAACGAATGCCAAAATAACGGCCAATTATAAAAAGCATCAAGTGGTTAAATTGTAGATTCAGCTTGTAATCTTCTCTATCTGACAGGCAAATCTAACTCAAAACTTGAGATATATCAAAGTTTCGTTTAGCAATTTGAAATACAAGAAGATAAAATCTAGAGAATTAAAACTTAGCAAGCCCAGAGATAAATTAAAGCAAAAGAAGTTTAGCCCAAGAAAATATTAGGACGAAGAGAGGGCACAATTGGGTACATTTATATAAATGAAACCTAGTTTAAATCAAATTTGGTCGTAAAAAGGTCTAATGATCATTCGCTTGGTTTCAAGGTTTATTCAATAATTAAAGACAAAAACTGAAACCATTAAATTTAGACTATTGACACACAAAATATATTCAGTTATAGGAGATTTGTCTAGTAACTTTGAATTTATTTTAGTTACTCACTAAATTAAATAAAAGCCAAGCTTAGTACATTATTGTAAAAATATTAGTTTCTCATTTTGAAATATAACTTTCAAAAGCAAGCAACGAAGTATTTGCACTATTTGGAGAATTGCCAAGATTTCCTCAGTAGAAATATTATAGTTATCAAACCAGATAGCAAATTTAAAATTCTATGGGATATCCTTCTCCTATTGTTCATCGTAATGAACATATTTTATATTCCCATTAACATAAGTTTCGACATCACTACATCAGGCATTTTTGAATACTTATTTGATTTGCTACCATCCTGGATATTTGTTGCAGAAATCCTCTTAAACTTCAACACAGCATACTATGATAAAGGCTTGATGCATGAAGATAGGAAATCAATTGTGAAACATTATCTAAAAGAGAACTTTTTTTGGGATTTGATTGTGGTGATCCCTTTCTTAATATCAAATTTAAATATCCCATTTGTTAGATACACATTGCTCTTGAGACTAACTAGATTAAATCCATTAATGGAAAGCATAGAAGAAATGCTTAATTTAGAAGTATTACATATTATACAAAATAGGAAAACATTCAAATCGTTGTTGATCTTTTCAAACTCATCTTTTTTCTCGTTTTAACAGGTCATTTTTGTGGATGTGCTTGGCATTTTGTTGCTTTGACTGAACATGAATCTTTTGGGATGACTGAAACATGGCTTACTCATTATGATCCAGCTGCATATGAGTATCATTGGTTTGATAGATATGTAATATCATTGTATTGGAGTGTCATTACGACGGTTACAGTTGGATATGGAGACATAGTTCCAGTCACTACATTTGAACGAGTCTTCGTAATTGTCGTAACACTATTACTATGTGGAATATTTGGTTATTGCATATCAAACATTGGAAATATATTCAAATCAATCTCAGATAAGAAAACTACCTACAAATTCAAATTGCGTTAAATTCATTAACATATCAGAAAAAGAGGATTAAATTTAAATTTGTCATTAAAGGTATACATACATTTTTAAATATTCAAAAAGGTCAAAAAATACTTTGAGTACTATTTTAAATTAGAATAAGAAGAAGAGAATCATGCAGACATCTTCTTATCATAACTTACAAAACATTTGAGAGAGGAAGTCTTAACTGATTTATATAGTAATACACTCAAAAAATCCAGACTTTTAAGAGACAATTTCAACGAAATTACTATCAATAATCTTTGTCAATTTGTTAAAGAGAAGAAGGTGTTGCCTGAAGAAGTTCTCTATTCTAGATTCGACTAACCCAAAAAAATTTGGTTTGTTCTTTCTGGGGCCTTGGAATATGTTGCAGATCATAAAAGTACTGCTTAATTTCAATATTGTTAGATGAAAATGATTATTATGAAGCTACAGAAACATTTTTGAAGAAATTTACTGCTGGGTAAATTATCAGTACTAGTAAATAGAGCAGTTTTAGGGGAAAGAGAATTCATTACATAGCAACCTTACGAATACAAAGCCAGGGCCTTAAAATTTACATAGATGGCTTATATTGAGTATGAAGTTTATGATTTGAATTAGTTATGATGATTTCATAAATGTGATTGCAGAGAATGATATGGAATATGAAATATTTTGCATGAAGAGAGATAGATTGCTCCTCTATCCTGCAATAAAGGGATCAGGAAATGTATGCGAAATATGTGAATGGACTCATAATTTTATACAGTATCATAATCCTTAACAATCTTAGATGTCCATTTGTTTTTCTTCAACCAAATACAAATAAAATTGCCAGTAAATTTACTTCAGTTAAACTCAACAGCAGAATTAAGTTTCCATTACGAAGGCCTTATAGATCGAGAGTAAAGGAAACTTTAAATAAAGCTCAGGAATGCGCTCTGAGAATAATTGTTGGAAATTTGACTGAATAGTAATTAAACAAATTGATTTTTAGAGAGTACACTGATGAATACTTGATTTCATTAGGTTTCTAATTGAGTCCCAATCTAGACGATATTTCACCTAATAATTATGAATCTTCCTAAAATATTCATGATTCAAAATCAATATCAAATAGTGAAAAGTAAAATGTACTCCTTCAGAAGAACACAAGAGCAAACTTTGGAATAACAAGTGATTTAAAAGAAAGTCGAGACTTAGATCTAGATAATCAAATGAGAAAGAGTGTTATAAAATTTAAAAGGTTGCAGTTTGGAAAAGAAAGAACAAGAGCAATTTAGTTTATAAAAAAAGACAATTTTAATTCAGAAAGAATCACTGAAACATTAGAATAATCTTAAATGTTAGCTCTTCCTGTTCCGATATAAATTCAAAATAATCGTTCCTCACTTAAGCAATATCAATAGAAAGCAAGAAGATCTTCAAACCTAGAAGATTTAGGACTTCTATAACCTTCACAAAAACTGGGTAATTTGGCTTAATAACTTGCTCAATAAGACATTGAAAACAGTAAATATTCACAACGACAACTGAGCAAAAATAGTGAGGAAAGCGAAATGAAAGATTCAATAAAAATCATAAGACAAATTGAAAATCAAGAGAGACGAGTTTAAAATGGTGGTGATCAAAGAAGAAAAGTTAAGAAAACTACTATTCAGATGGGTTAGAAACCAAAAAGAAGATCTTATCAAAATCAATAATCTCAGAACTAAAGTCCTATTACTTAAAATTAATAATAATTACAACAAATAACAGCTGCCTTTGATTCGAATAAGGCAAGAGCTAGTCTGATGGAAAATAAGAAGAATTTACATTAAAATACTCAATTAACAAGTTCTAAATTAATAGAATTCAAAGGAGAAATAAGGGAAGGGTCCTAAATTGATTCATTGCAACAGAAAATATTAGATATAGTGCATACAAATGTAAATTTTGAGATGGATATCTGCAAATCAACTTTATTGTATTTTCCTGAACACAACATAGAAACAATATTGAAAAAGATAGAATTATATTATCAATAGAACAAAGGGAAGGAAAAAAAGTAGTATAAAAGGGCTATGTCTAATCGTAATCTTTTTGAAAGAATTAAAGGTTCCAAAAATGCAACAATAAAAAGCTTATAGAATAAATCTTAAACTGATGTTTAAAAGCAAGATGAAAACATTTGAATCTCAATTAATATATTTTTGCTTAGTTTATTATCTAATCTTTAATCATATTTTATTCTCAGTTCAATTAATTAGATCTAAAGTTTATTTAAGAAGTTTCTTTCAATATTAAAGATATTTCTTATAATTAACTGGATTTTTATTTTTTTAATTTTAACATTTCTAAAGAAAATAAGGTTATATTTTTAATCTATTAAAACTATCATTTATTGGAAATCACATGTCTCTTCCTTATAAGTATCAAGGATTATTATATTTTGTTTAATTTCATTATAAATGATTGCAATATTAAGCACATTGTGAATATCATCATAATATTTTAAAACAAGAATAAAATCTGAAATTATTTTACTTTAGTCAATAACAATAAATCAAATGACTTTAAACAAATTAAATTTGGAAATAAGAACCACAATAAATAAATTTAGATACAACTTTTAAATTTAATATCATGTAAAGATTGACTTGCTACATACTTTTCGAATAGACATTAACTTTAAACTATTTATAAGCATCATATTATTAAATTTAATAAATGGATAGTTGATCTGTATAAAAATAAATAAAGTGCTTGTTTAATATAATAACTGTATTATTAAATATATAAAAATGTCTTCAATTTTAGAATCTGCTAAAGGTATTATTAAAGAAGCAAGGTAATTAAATTAACAATAGCAATTAGGGAGTTGGCTTATTTAGGGAAATATCCGGAAGCCATAATGAAATTCAAATCATAAATTGATACATTAAGCCAATAATTAGAGAAAAATAAAGGAGATGAGTTGCTTTATCAAGAATGGAGCAAACTTGTGACTGATATAAAAGAAGAATTGGATCTAACTCAAATTTTATTTGATTTTACGAAAGGCAATTCCAATAGTAATTTTGAATTAAATAAGATAGCATAGTAATAACCATCGCCTTAAAAGCCTAGAGTAGTTTAAGAGTGCCCAGAATTTCAAGAAGACAACAGACAGCCTCGATTGCCATTCAATTAAATTCCATTTCAACATCATCATAGAGAAAACACATCCCCAAGATCTAAAGCAAATTAATTTTAAATATCACCTCCAAAATAGAAAGCATAGGATCCAGATGAGATTTTCTTTGGTGGATTAAGAGGAGGCAATGATGGAAAGAAGCCTAATAGTAATAATAATAATAATAATGGTAATAACTTAAATTAGAATCCAAGCAATTATTTCAATAACAATAGTAATAATAATAATAATAATAACAATAATAACTATAATAAGCGACAAACAAATAATAATCCTCCTCCTAAAGATCCTGATGTTTGGGATCCCCCATCAAAAAAGGTTGACAAACCAAAATAATCTCAAAAAGATCAAAAATCAAATAATATATTTAAACCATAAGCGCAACCACAACCCCAACCAAAAAGTAATCAAAGAAGAGAGTACGATAAACCTTGGAAAAATAATGCTGTAGGAGAAAAGAAACCTACTGAGGGATAAAGAAAAACATTCCATGACCATGTTTATCCAGATGGAAGAGGCCCTGATAGTGATTTAATTCAAATGATTGAAAGAGAAGTCCTAGATCTAACTCCAAATGTCTCATTTGAATAAATAGCAGAGCTGGAGTTAGCTAAGGATACTCTATAAGAAGCTGTCTTACTTCCAATATTTATGCCCCAAATATTCACAGGAATTAGAAGACCATGCAAGGGGGTATTGTTGTTTGGTCCTCCAGGAACAGGAAAGACAATGCTTGCCAAAGCTGTTGCAACAACTGGTAAAACAACATTCTTCAATGTTTCTGCCTGTACTTTAGCAAGTAAATGGAAAGGAGAATCTGAGAAATTAGTTAGACTTTTGTTTGAAATGGCTAAGTTTTATGCCCCAAGTACGATATTCTTTGATGAAATTGATGCATTAGGCTCTAAAAGAGGAGATAATGATGGTGATTCAGCTAGAAAGTAAATTCAAATTAAATTCATAGAGTCAAAACTTAAATGCTGATTGAAATGGATGGAGTGTCAGGTGCTGCAACTTCAGGAGAAGAAAGAAAAACAGTAATGTGTTTAGCAGCTACAAATCGTCCATGGGATCTCGACGAGGCTCTTATTAGAAGACTTGAAAGAAGAATATGTAAAATATTACAACTATTAGAGATATTCCTTTGCCAAGTGATACAGGTAGAAAACTGCTTTTTGAAATAAACTTGAACTCCCTAAAATTGTCACCAAACATTATTTGGGATTAATTAGTTAAAAAATGCGATGGTTATTCAGGAGCAGATATAGCCAATGTTTGTAGAGAAGCGTCGATGTTGCCAATGAGAAGAAAATTAAAGGAAGAGGGAGGATTCTAAAAATTACAATAAAAATATGAAGATATTTCAAGTATTTTTAATTATTATTAATCTATTAGATGTTGTAGATGTTCCTTTGGAATAGAAAGATTTTGATGAAGCATTGAAGATTGTTAATAAATCTGTTTCAACAGAATACCTAAAGGAATATGAAAATTGGATGAAAGACTTTGGTGCTGGTTGATATTTTAAATTAATTATTTTAGCCATTAATTCATTGGCATTATTTTTATATTTTATTTATCTCATCTTGTTTTTGTCATTTATTATAAATTGATTCAAGAATTATAAAAAAGAATAGCATACTTAATGTAAATGAGACATATATATATGCAATTAAAAATGTTGACATCTATATAATTTAAAAACAAATGAAATTAGTAACTACTCACTTTGGTATTTGTTCAGGAAATAATTCTTGTATTAACTTTGTTGGGTCTTAATAGTTGGTGAATGAACTCACTTTTAATAACTAAGAATTCAATTCTCTAACATCAGTCACGACTCGGAATTTCATTAAGTAATTTTGTAGATAGAGCAATTCCTAAGAGATTAGTTTTCAGTAATTACCTAATCTTATTTATCATCATAAAAAGCTATAATCGGTACACCGTTGTCAATTTATTATCCAAATGAGTAACTCGCATTATCAATTAATAAAATGTTTGACATCTTCCTATTGCCAAGAACTCTAGAAATTAAAATTATAAATTTAACCTTAAATCTTTAACATAAGCCCCCTCGTCAGTCTATATACAATGATCTCTAAATAGTCGATGGCTGATCCATTATTTCTTTGGATCTAAATAATCCAACACAATGTTAGCATAACAAGAATGAGATGCAGTGAAAACAATGATTTCAAAGTGCCGAGACAATGTTTATAGGATTTATTATGCATAAGGTCTTATATTGATAGATGCTTAGATCTTTTCTCCGTTGGGAAATGTTATTGGTAGAATAATATCACCAGGTACGGTAACACTTTCATTGCAATGGATCAATGTTTCATCTAAATCGAACACTATTGTTTTTAAATGAGTTGTTTTAGGTAAATTAACTACTTTATCCTATTAGAATTCCAAGGATAGGTTTCTAGCATATTCTAAACCCTAAATTATACAGGATTATTTTACTTAAATAGTTTATACGATATGATCTCTTACTACTTCATCGACTTTACTGGCTGATTATAGAAATATGGATCTCGCCACGCTAGAGATGTAGTATAGAAACTATGATAGAGGATGAGAATACATTATCATCTTTAGTAGGTTTTTGAGATGAGTAGGATTTGTTATTAATTATTGGTTTCGTAATTTAATTGAAGGATTAATTGATTTCTAAGGACTGATGTCTACTCAATTAGGATTATTATTATAAGATAGGCTTTTTAATTTGTTTTACTTAGGTGATAAATTGATCCAGGTTGATGCTTGGTTGATCTTTCTCTTTAATTACTTAACTCTATTTTAAGGCTTTATTCAGTTATAAATTTAAGGAGGTCGAACATTTAGTCAATTCTTTAGGAGATATTGATCCTTTGGACTCATTGATTTCTGGATCTTTTTTTTGAAAAAATTTAGCTGCCAATCCAAGTGGCTTTTGTTTTGATCTCTCAGATTATTTTTACAATTAAGAATTGCTGATTTCGATGTTGGACTTAATATTGTTTATTTTATTCTCCAAGAAGAGCAATTTCTCATGTAATTTCTTATACTCTTATTGATCGATTTATTTGTTTGGCAATTGTTGATCAGATGAACATTTCATAAGATTGGTATCTGGAACCTATTTTAATGAAAAATATCTAGATTATGGAGTAGCTTATTGTGGTTAAATGTAAGTTGAATTTTTCAATTCTTTGAATGAAGATCTGCATGGTTATTTCTGATTTGAAAAGGCCCTTTTATCGTTGGAGGCTGAAGCTGGTCTTGGGCCTGCTTGAACTGATGGTTGTCTTGGTTATGATGAACTAGGACGCATCTCAGGTTTTTGAAGCACTTAAGTAGATTGGTATTAATGATGATGTGCTTAGATGGGTTTTTGCTTTTAAAATTGAACACAATAGTTTTCCTTATCGGACGCTGACTTGAAGGATTGTCGATAGGAATCTTAGATTACTGGTCGTTGAATATATTGTGGTACTCGTTGCATTCGATTTAAATTTTTGTTAAATTAAAAAAGTCTGTTTAAATTAAATATACTCTCATATTCTCCCGAATTTTTTTGTGGCCAACAACTTGACGTACATTTAATGTATTTTCTCTCTGTATTGATAATTGTGGTATTGATAGAATGATAATCCAAACATCAAACCTAAGATACCACTAGTGAACATTTCTCCGTACAGCTTCTTATGCAATGGTCTAGAATTAATAAAGTAAAGCATTGAAAGAGCTGAAATACCAAACCCAATTAGACCACCAATGGTTGTCTACTCTGAAAACACTTTGTCTGCTTAATTAAAGTCGTATTATTCATCTGCTGACATAAGAATAAAATTAGTTTTGAGGAATTGCTAAATACAATGTACGAGTACATATTTTTTGCTTGGCATGGCTTGACTTGAAACAAGACGAGTACGTTAAGTTCGACCTGAAAATTTAACAAGCATATCCAAGTATTGCTTTTATTCATCTGAGAAGAATTCATAAGGTATTTATGGAGTTTTCATAAATAAAAAATATTATAATAAAAATGTTCATCTATTTTAAGAAAATTTATAAATTTCTAGTTTTAGTATTAAAGAGATTAATCTTAGATATTGAAGTCAGACTTCGATAAAAGAGTATTAATTAAATTAAAATTATATCTTTTTGAAAAGTCTTTAGTTTTTATATAATTAAAAAATTTCATCATCTATCTCCATTTTTAATGAATTATAAGTATTAAAATTCTCAGATAGAAATGTCGCAACAGTTGCAATTAAAGTAAGTCTCTAGAGACATTTATGAATTTTAACTTTTTATGAGTTGTTATAATATTATAAATTAGGTTAAAATTGATAAATGGTATTTGTCTTGATGTAGATATGAATTACTGTTATTAAGTTTTAGAATGTTAAATAAAATAATTAAGAATTCTAAATTATAATTCGATTTAGAGTAGCTCCAGATATTTAAAGAATCTACTTCAGAATTTTAGGGGACTCTGATTAATAAGTTCATCTTTCTTCATAAGAGTTTCACATTATTTTTCCTTTTTACTGTATTATTGTGCCAACTGAATGAATTAATCTGAGATATCTCCCATAATTATTAAATATGTATATTAATATTCAGGATTTCATTTTATCCATCATTTCTATGAATTCATTGTAATCGATCTCACCATCTCCGTCTTTATCTGCATCTTTAACCAATGCCTTCAATGCATTATCATCAAAACCAGGATTATTACCTAGAATTGATTTATTAAATTGCTTTACTTCCTAATACTTATTTTAATTCGTCCCTTGATATTTTACCACTGCCATCCAAGTCGAACATTTTAAAGGCCTAAAATAGTTTTTCTTGTTTCATATAAACGCTTTTCTCAATCGTAGCAGCCAAGAACTCTAGTAAATTAAATGAATAAAATGAACCTGTATAATTGACAGCACCAGAACCATCAGTGTCTATGCTTTTAATTACTCCCATAATTTCATTCTATGATTCCTTCTTTAGCCCAGTTAATCCATGAGTTAATTCTTCCATTGTCAAAACACCATCACCATTTTTATCTAATTGTTTAAATAGCTTTCCCAACTCTGTTATTTCTTATTCTGATAGTTGTGATGCGATGTAAGTTAATGTAACCTACAATAAAATAGTAAAGTTATAACTTTTTTTAATCTATTAAAATTCGTAAAGTTTTTTAATGATTAATAATTAACACTTAAGAATGAACCAGCAGGATGCTATTATTTCATCCATGGATGAGTCAAGACATCATGTGATTTAATACGCTTCTCTGGTTTGCAGATCATTTTAGAAATCAAGTCCTTACAACTATCTGACACTTTTTTAAATTCAGGAACTAATTTTTAAATTATTGAATTATTCTTTACTATTGAATGTGAATACACCTTTTTTGACTGCATCCAAAATTTCAGGATCAGTATTCCCATAGAAAGGAGGTACTCCTGAAATGAGTATATATAAAATAACTCCTGCAGACCAAATATCACACGATTCATCATATTTTCCATCTAATATTTCTGGAGAAATGTAATAAGGTGTTCCAGCTCTTGTTGTCATACTGACTTTCCCTTGGTGTAGCTTCTCCACATGATTGTCATGAAAAATAACTGAAAGTCCAAAATCAATAACTTTAAGAGGTGAATCATCTGCTTTGGTAAGCATCAGAAAGTTTTCAGGCTTTAAATCCCTATGACAAATTCCATTCTGATGACAATAATTAACTGCTTGCATTATTTGTAGGAATATGATTTTTGCTTCATTTTCTGAGAAATGACCCTTATCAATAATTCTGTCAAAAAGTTCTCCGCCTTCACAAAGTCTAAGAAATATTGAGAGATAACACTTACTCCATAACTAAATACACATTGCGAACATCTTCGAAAGTTTCAAACAATTTGATAATATTTGGATGATCCTTATGATTAAAAGTTCAGCATACCAAATTACGCATGATTTCAATTTCTCTTCTAAAACGCTCTGGATTTCTCACCTTATTCTTGGGGATAATCTTAATAGCTCTTTATTATTTTGATCCTTTGAGTTTGGCTTTAACAACCTGGCCATAAGTGCCTTGGCCTAGTAACTATTAAATGTTATAAATCAGACTACTTTTTTGTGATCAAACTCATAGGCATCCTCAATTTTGCTAGACTAAGACTTAATAAACCACTATTTCTTAATAACTATGTTGTTGTCCATATATTTTAATTAATTTTATTCAAATATCATTGTCATAAACATCTGATCATAGTATATCCTTAAAGTTGGGTCTAAATCAATTCTGAATCCATTCGGTTTTCAAAATCTTTAAATCAAATTTCTGAAATAATAGTTGACTTCAGTTTTTATTCACCATAAAAATGTCAAAATACTTCTTCCAAAATATAAATCAGATATCTTATAGATTAATATGATACTCGAGTGTTATATTTCCTAATAATATTCAAACTTTTTATATAAATGGTTTTATAGATAATAATGTAGAATTGTAAATAAGCAATTAATTTTGTAACATGTTTTTATCATGATTGATAATAACTTTTTAATTATTCATATTATAATCTAAAAGTAAGTATACTTAGAGGGGTGAATGAATATATAATAAAAAGGAGTTTTAAGAAAATGAGAATCCAGTATTTTAGAAATCAATTATTTCATTAAGGAGTAATAAAATTATTCAAATGTATTAAAATTAATTTAATATTCATACTCAAAATGTTGATAAATATTTACTAGTTAACCTAATTAATTAGTCGGTTTTTCGCCTTAATCTCATTCACAAGCTCCTAAGAGAAAATTTTTATCTTGATAAATCTCAAATTATTGAAAAAACCAAAAAAAAAATTGACTCTATCATCGATGTTTACTTAATTAGATGTAACTCTACAAATCACGGAAGGCAAGATTCCTAAAATTACTAAAGAATTCTGAATGAGAATTTACTAATAAATTAAAACTCATGAATAGTCCTTAAACACCTGCACTTTCTAATGTAAGATCAGGAATGAAATGCTTTAAATCATTTTTCAATTTTTTCTAAACTTATACTTTATTAATTATTCATTTAAGTTATATCAATATAAAAGTAGAATAAAAAATCATCTGTTCCTCATTGCTTAATTTAATGAAGAATGACCATCATCTCGAACTTACAGTAAGTAAGCATTTAGATTTCAGATTTTTGAACATTATTAACTTTATTTTTAACATTTTAATTTTAAACCAATTAAACCTTATTAAATAAGTATTGTCCTTAGTTGTTTGCTTGTTTGATGAACAAACACTTGGGAGATTTGAGAAGTTTCATTTAATATTGAAATAATTTATTATTTTATAAATGAATAAAAGCAGCCTGAATTCATCAAAAATTAAGCAACTCTCTTCAGGTGCTCCTATTGAGGTTGTTCCTAGTGAGATCATCTTTAAAGACATTTAAATCAACCAGACATATGAAATAACTGTTTTTGTGAGAAATTTGACTCAAACAGCTCGTAGGATAAGGGTTTTTCAACCGCATTCAAATTTTAGATGTGATTATGAAATGCAAGGGTAATTCAGGATTTCTAATTTGAAGGGCTATAGCAGCAGGACTATCAATGAAGCTCATTGTGACATTCGAAACAGCAAATCTAGAGAGTTATTCTGACAGTCTGAAGATCGTAACTGATGGTTAGTATAGCGTCGATATTCCATTACATGCATTTCCAGCATAAGCAGCGTATGGAATTATACTAATTAAGAATAATCTATGAACCCTTCATAAACATGGGGTTCGTTCGAGTGGGGAAAGAGAAGATGGACAAAATCCATTTTAAGAACGAAGGGAAGGCTCCTGGAAAGGTTGAGTTAAGATTAGAGAAGTTACCAGATTTTCGGATAGATCCCAACTCGTTCACACTGGCTCCAGGTTAAGAATTCTCAGTTTCCATCTTCTACAAACCCAAGGACGCAGGAATCTTTAGAGGCATAGTGGAAGTGATTGCTGATGGCTAGATGAGTGGATTGAGTCTCAAGAATCCAATAGATATCAATGCGACTTCAATAGAATTTACGCGATTCCTCATAGATTAGAGTGGTTCCCAGAATAATCATTTTAATTTTGGTACGATCTACTACGGTCAACAAAAGCAAATTGAGGCTTATTTGGTGAATAACACTCCAAAACAACAGAAGTTCAAGGTCAAATTGAAGAAGGGTTTGCATGAGCGAGAGGAAACACTGAAGTTATAAACACCAGCAGAATTAGGGTTGGAGCAAACGGAGCGTATTATGGAATGCTGGCCAGAAGAAGGAACGATTGAATCATACTCTTAAGCAACTATTATCTTTAAATGCAGACCCAAAGTAAGTGAAGAATTGCTAATACGCACAAGACAATATGCAATCAATTAAGATAAGAGAATGGATCCAGATGAATTTCAATACTCAGCCATCTTTGACTTTAATGATGACGAGCCATTGATGAACCATTTATCAGTGAATTGTATTTGTCCCCAAGTCAAATTTCCACCCATACAAGCTTTGCAATTTGGATAGTGTGGTGCTAATCAACAAAAGGACATGGTTTTCGAGGTCCAAAATTTATCTGAGGAATTGCCAATACTTATAGCTTTTCCCATCATTCCCTACTTCACTGTGACTCCACCACTTAAGACTTTGAGTTAATCTGAGAAGGTGAACTTTTGGGTAAGTTTCAGACCTAAACATATTGGATAATTTGTTAGTATTTTGAATGCAGAATTACTTGGTGGAGTGTTCAAAATACCGATAAAGGTGACAGGCACTTGTTAGTAGATATTACCAAAACCTTAGTATAGAAGAGGACCAGAATGTTAGCCTCAAGATTTCGATGTTACAAAGGATAGATCCATCTCTGGGATTGTTAAGACTTAGACGGATAAGGTGTAGACTTTTGATTTGTCTCGTTCAATGGTTTCTGTGGCTCAACAAAGTTTGGATAAGATAGATGAATTGAAATTAACAAACAAAGAAAAGTACAACGAGTATTTGAAGGGACATAGAGCCTAGAGGATTAAGAAAGAGAAGGAGTAGATGATTAAAATAAAGTTCACTCAGATGACTGAGAAATTAAATTCAATCAAGAATGAATCATTGCTTTTGTAGAAGAAGAAGCAATAAGCAACTGACGAGGAGAAGCCAGACCCTCCGATTGATTATGAGTTTGTTGTTGGGATGCATGAGGATGGTTATGATTAGGATTTGAATCTTCCGGATGCCAATGAATCCCTATTTGTAACAAAACCCATTTATCATTATGAACCAATAACTAGAGTCAAGGAGGGTAATGTGATCAAACCATTTGATCCTGATCCCAAGACTGTCCCAAAGAAGAAATTCCCTAATGAACCTAAGACTCACAGTGAAATCAGAGATACCTTATGCGAGTTAACAGCTGAGTAATTGCTCAAGGTAAGTGCTGGTCCAGTTAAAATTGAATTCGGAAATATCTATGTAAAATCTCTGGCCACTAAATATTTTTATGTTCGAAATGAATTAAGGAATTCGATATCTGTTCGGATATATTCAGACAGGGAAGACTTTGCTTAATCATACATGAAACCTCAAATCATCCCAAGTGGACAAACAGCGGGGTTTGATGTATGTGTGAATTCTAGGTAATTAGGATAGTTGAAATCACATTTGAAATATATCATCAATGAGAAACATGTCTTTGAGATATAAGTATCAGCCACAATCGAGAAGGTGTTATTGGAAATGAGTAGATAATAGGTAAGATTAACCTTCACTGAAGACAATTCAGAGATGGAAACTGTTGAAATTCTGAGATTAACCAACAATGGAAATGCTGATGCCAAATTCAAGTGGATTACATCAGATAAAAAAACATTTTCAGTTAAACCAGAGGAAGGGGTTGTCGCATTTGGGAAGTATTTAGAATGTTAGATAATATATCGTCCATCTCTGGCAAATAATCAATAATAATATGCAGTCTAAGCATCTGGTCAATAATAGTAATATACTGCAGCCACAACTAGGACAGAGGAGGAAAAAATTACACTCAAAACGGAAGAAGGATTAGATCAAACAGTCAAATGCATTGGAGTTGTTACTGAACCAAAATGCTCAGTCAAGTAAGGCTCATTAGATTTCAAAGACGTTGTTGTATGTAAACCTGATACTAAAATAATCAGTGTAAAGAATCACTCCAAATCAACAGCTGTATTTGCAATAAAATCATAAATAGATTGCATTGAGGTCATGCCTATGAAAGGTAGAATTCATTCTGAAGAAACTAAAGACATTCAAGTGAAGTTCTTTAGTAAAGAGGAGAAAACAATCAAAGGAGAAGTAGTGATTCAAATCAGAGGAGGAAAACTACTACTTGTACCATTCTCAGCTCAAGCAATCATACCTAAAATTGAAATTGAGTAGGATCTTTTCGATTTTGGTAATGTCACCACTCTAGGCACAAGTAATCAAATGCCTTTGACTCTCGTAAATACATCCTCTGTGAATGTGGAATTAGTTTTGGATTTGAGATCCCAAAGTGATAATCCTAAGGCTCCTGATGGAATCGACTGTTTGGAATTCAAACCATAAGATGATGATGACACTATTATGCACTCTGTTCATCCTGATTAGGAAGAAGATGAACCCAAAGAAGAGGATCCATTGGATGATGTATCAGAGAAATCAGAACCCATAGAAGTTGAATAGAAGATCTATCGGTAATATAATATCTCCATTGGAGCAGGAAAGACTTAACAATTTTTGCTTCGTTTCTCCCCTAAAGAAGTTAAACAGTATTCCTTTGATATTCCATTGACTCTTGCAAGATTTGGTATGTTGCCCACTTTGCTAAGAAGAGTTACTTGCAAGGGACTCAGAACCTAAATTCTTAGTTGAACCTTAGTCCATCGAATTCAAGAAGAAAATTATTACATCCCCAGATAAATGTTTTCCAACTGTTGAAGAAATCCGGTTGTCCAATCCTGATAAACGAGATGTCCAATGGAAGATCGATGTATCCTCATTGAAATCTGACAAAATCTTTTCAATAGAACCTTCAGAAGGAGTTGTACCCAGTGGCCAACAGTAAAAAATTAGAGTCAAATTTAATCCCTATGGCCCTGGATAATTCAGTGGAGTCGTCCAATTATACATTTTATCTGATCCAGAAATACCACCAACCTTGCCCTATGTAGAAATCACATTAGGTGGCACGGGAGCGTATCCAAGATTATTATTTGACAAAAAAGAAATCATTCTACCAGTTGTCCCATTGAATATTCAATCAAGGTGTTACTTTAGGATTATTAATGATGGATACGAAAACTTGAACCTAAAATACAATTGGGCTCAGGAAATCAGTAATTTCAATTTAGAACTCAAATTTCCTGAAGGGACTACTTTGGGAGTTGCCAAAAGCAAAATAAGAGTGGAAGTTATCTTTAGCAATAAGAAACCTTTGAGTTTCACAACAAGAGTGGAATTTATTGATGAAGCTCGAGTATATTCAATATACATTTCTGGAACAACGGACAATTGTATATTTACGAATCAAACATTCCTTTGGAGGATGGGCAGATATTAATTGGAAGTTGAAGAGAGGAAACCAATACTCTACGTTGAAGATGAGAATGTAGATTCTGACAATGAGAAGAATACTAAACATAATTTGTCTGTTAGATCTAGTACTTCATCTAAAGGCACTGCAAATTTAGGTTACACTCCTGTCAGAAGAGATCAGTTTGACTCTGCTTCTGAATATATCATCAGATGGCTCAATTATCATGTACTCACAACCAGTATTACTATGTATCCTGAAGATGTCATCAATTCCAATGGACAACAGATTTTTGAACTCATCACTTTTTTGACAGGAAAACAGAACTTTTCGTATAAATAAAACATTGATCCGAATTGGAAGAAATCTTAGAGGGCTGAAGCACTTTATAAACAATATGATGAAGTGATCAGATAACTTAAAATAGAGGGAGCATTGCTTAATCACATCAGGTCAGAATACTTGTTGAGTTATTAAGATTATTTAGCATGGCTCAAAGTTCAACCTCCAAATAAGTTTGAAAATGTCCCTGAAAACATGTTGAGACTCAATCCTACTAAATACTATTATTTACAATAAGATGCATGGATTGCCTTATTTTATCAAATAATCAAGATCTATTATTTAAATCGTATCACTGCCAAGGCTTTCAAAGCTCTGCCTGGAATCCCAACTGCTAAATTAAATATTCCTGAATACTATTTGGAGGGATCCAATTTGATTTCGTAATCAGAAGGTATACTCCTCTACTTTTATGAAATATGTAATGAGATACAAAGTCAAATGCCCAGACGCATCAAGAATTTTGATTAAGATTTCAGAGATTCAACAATAATCTCTGATGCTTTAACCACTTTCATTGGTCCTTCCATGAATAAGTTTTTCAACAATCTCCGTAATTCCTGTAATCATGAGGATGATTATAAATACAACACTGAAAAATTGATGCCTGCTTTACAAGATTTCGGTCTTCAATCTCATATATAACCTACAGACATATATCGTCCGTAATGTAGAGAAAATGGTTATGTTACTAATTCAATTGTTCTTCTCATTACCCTATTACATTCCCCAAAAAGAACCTATATTCTTCTCTTGTGTTCTTGGTGAAGAAGTAGTCAAAAGCATTGAACTTAAGAATCCCACTCAAAAACCAATTAGTTACTGGGTTAAATATGAAGGACATCCAGATTTTTAATTAGAGGGGGATGAGAGTATCAAAATTGAACCAGATGTTCCTTATCAATATAAGATTAAGTTTACATCGAGAATATCTTAGCCAGTTTCTGGAAGAGTTATTTTCACCAATAAAAAGGAGTCAAACATATAGGCAGCTGCTTTAGTTTTTGAATTAAAATCCAGTATTACAGGCAGAAAATCTGAGAAGTAATGGAATGTCAGTTCAATATTGTACGAAATCTTTGACTTTCAAATTTAAATAACTAATAAATTCTTATAGGACGGTGAATTTCAAATAATCATAACTCATGAGAAAAAGTAGATAGATTAATAGAAAAAGAAGGGAAAGACTACTTAAGTGTAATCAGTAATTTAAGAGGAGGAATTCCCAGCATTCTTTTGTCAGCAAGAGAAGGTTCGTATTCGCAAGAATCAAACCATTAATCTAACATTACAATATATTCCATTAACAATGGATACTCATAAATGTTAAATAGTTTTAACTGATCCATAAGTTGGAGAATTTCAACATGATCTATAAGGAACAGTAGAGTTGCCTAATTTATCAGGGGAATTCAAACCAGAGAAACCATTGTATGTAGATCAAACTCTGTAAATTCCCTATTAAATTCCTTTCAAGAATGAATTAATAGTTCGAGCAAGACAACAAATCTAATAGATTATGCAATTGAAATAGAAGAATAAATAAACAGGTTTAGATAAAACTATTTCCTAGAATAAATTAGTGTTTCCAGGCAGTAACGTTGATTAAATTACTTTTGATTTAGAAGTATTTCCTTAAACGTAATATCTATAAGTTCCATAAACATTAACAGTAGTAGATGCAAATAAAAAGTAAGTTGAGCGTGGTACTGATGGTAAATTGCCGATTACTTATGCTTTTAAGAATGCTACAAAAGATTTCAGTGTTATTTTGACCCTTAAAAATAAGTTCGATATCAGAAGATACAAGTTGTCAGCATAAGTATTGCCAAAAGTAGTCAAAGCCACTTTAGAATTCAGAGTGCCTGCAAGACAACAAGTAGTTTAAGAAATTCCAATTGTAAATAATTCAGATAAGGATTGGAGCATTAAAGTGTAGATTACACAGAGTTAGGATGGACTATTTCAATGTCCAAACAAGGATTTTCCAGTGAAGAAGAAGTCTACAGGTTTATTTCCAATTACATTTAATCCTTTATGGATTGCATAGTGTGAAGCAAAACTAGTTCTGAACAACCCATCGACAAATGATGTTTTTGAATACGATTTGATTGGTATTGGAGAAGAACCAGTTGCTGAAGAGCATATCATACTTAATTGTTAAGCGAGGAAGTAATTGAAGAGAGACATTGAAATTAAAAATAATTCTGAAAATGTAATCACTTACAAAGTTGAAACTGATTTGATTTATGCTACAGGACCATAAACAATTACTGTACAACCAGGAAAGAAAGCTATTTATCAAATAACAGTTTAGCCAGTTCTATCTGGGTAATACACTGGTTCAATTACTTTCACAGAAGAAAATGGAAGGTACTTGTGGTATACTGTCTTTATGAATACTGAATCTCCGAAATCAGTTTAGACTTTAGATTTATCTTGTTTAATTAGATAAGCCACGGTAATGCAATTAACACTTGCTAATCCCTTGCCTGAGACTGCAATTTATGAAGCCATTATCAATGGAGATGGTTTAGTAGGAGAAGATTAATTTGCGATTGGAGCTAATAAAGAAGGCAATTATGAATTGACTTTTGCTCCCCTTAAAGTAGGTAGATGGAGAGGTAGTGTGGCATTTGTAAATCGTTAATTAGGTGAGGTTTGGTATGAATTCATACTCACTTGTGAAGAGTAACCTCTAATAAAATTAAATGTGTTGAAGGCATCCCTTGGAAAAGTAGAGTCATAGACTGTTATTCTAGAAAATCCATCTGATTAAAAGATCAGTTTGTAGTATAGAATTTCTAACCCAACTAATTTTGATATCTATCCAGATGAACTAATTATTCAGCCATATGACATTTTAAAGGTTAGTATTAGATATACTCCATCATCACTTGATCAAATCGAATAATCCGACATTATCTTTACCTCTCCTATTGGCAAATGGCATTATTTAATATTTGGTAATGGTTTACCCCCAACCAAATTTCCAGCTACAACCGTTAGTATAGGATTGAATAAGGATTACAGTTCAGTTGTACATTTTAAGAATCCTTTCAAAGATCCCATTACTGTAAAGATTGAATTGGAAGCAGAGGGACATAATAAGGACGTGTTTAAATTGCTGACAAGCAAGAATGATAAAATCCTTATTCCAGGTATGAATGTATTATAAATTCCCTTTTCATTTGTTCCCAGAGAAATCACTTGCTATTATGCTGAAATAGTTATCCAAATGAATGAAAAGATTTCCTGGAACTTTCCTATTAAAGGTGTAACAGAAAGTGTTTCAAATCAAACTTTGTTTCATTTCAAAGCTAAATGTAGAGAAAAATGGGAAGATGAAATTAAGATTGGTCTTTAAGGAATTGCTTAAAGTCTACAAGCTGATGATAAATTCGATTACGAATTATCAAATATACCAGTAGATTTGTAACAAATGATCAACAAATGCTTTAGTGTTAAATGTACAAAAAATTATTTAAATAATCCTCACGAGAATCTCCAATTTGCAGTTCGATTTCAACCAATGAAGCCATTTAAATCTAGTCTTGAGTTTATTGTACTTAGGCAAAGTGGAGGCAGATGGAAGTATTCATATTATATTGATTTCATAGATACAAGATTGTATTAGAAGCTACTCAACCCGATGAAGATGATGTCATCATAATTAGTTCCCCTTTGAATAAAACTACCAGCGTCTCCTTTAAATTAACTAACAAAACCAAAGGATATGCTAAATTCTATGCTGGATTCACTCCTGATTCTGATGCTGAGTTTTCAGTCATACCTAAAATTGGTGATCTTGAACCTTATGGAAGAGAGGGTACTACTTTTGTAATTTCATTTACTCCAATAGAATATGGCAAAGTAAGAAAGGGAAAATTAATCATTCAAACTGAAGATATGTATTGGTATCAAAGTATCATTATAATATAGGTCTTATTTGATTAAAGGCATACTTCCCAAATATGTGCCACCGCAAATCAAACAATCCAATATAGACAATCATTAAAGTATATCACAGATTTAGCAATCAAGTATTATTGATTAATCCAAAAACTATGTTGTTGAGAATATTAAAAAAGCAAGATAACTTACTCCACCTACCTCAAAAAAATAGATGTTTTTAGAAGCCTCCTTTATTAAAAAATGAAATATCTACATATATATTTTTATATTATTATATCATTTTGTATCAAGATCTTAATTCAATAGTTTTGATGTTTCCTTACTAAAGTAATTCTTAGATTCTAATTAATTCTTTTAGGTTAATAATTCATCTCTAAAAATGCTATAGATATAGATATTTACTTCACATCATTTACAACTTTATCGCTCACTCCAAAATAATCTAATAAGTTAAAGAGAAAATGCTTCTGGAAATTTGGATCAAACTTCAAGGCTGTATCAATTTGTTTCCCTTTAATTTTAGCCAGACCTCTCATATATTCAATAGGGTTATAGAGTCCTAGGATTCATAAATTTAAATACCTGTTATTGCTGCAGTCCCCATAATGTAAAATGATGTAAAAACAATTGATTGAATTGTACCATATTTAATCACTTCTCTAAAACCAAATTTCTTAGGTGAAAATAACTTTTTTGAATAATGTTTGAAATGTATTGTATAATACATAGTGAATCCTGCAGTAATTATATTGAATGGGACAAGTAAATACAAACGATAATTAGGTAAGTATTACTCTTTATATCTTTATTCAAGTATCTTTAACTATTCTTCTGTTAAATTGTCAATATTATCCATTCTTATCTCATCGTCTTCCATCACAAATAATTTTATAAATAATAGTATTATTCAAGAAAAAAAATGAACGAAATCTCATTCCCCCCAAATTATCAATTTATTAATCTAAACCTCTCTGGAATTCCAATGAATTAAGAGAACGATTAGAAAGCACAATATATAATGAAAAAAGCTTAAATATATCATTCATCTAGCCATCTTATCTTCTTTCCATCTTCCCATTCTCCTTCTCTTTCAATGCCATTACTTCCTCTATACACTCCTTTACCATGTTATTATCCATCCTTCCAAAATCCTTTGTACATTCTGCCATCTGGCCAAAAGAACTCACCGAAACCATGCTTCTTATCATCGAAATATTATCCTTTATATTTTCTACCATCCTTCCAAGTGAAAATACCATTTCCATCCATTTTATTGTCTTTCCAATCTCCAGTATACTCCCTAAAATCTGCCCATTTATAAACTCCTTTTCCATGAATATTATTGAGAGCAAACTCTCCAGTGTAAGTACTACCATCGCTCCAAGTAAATGTACCAATTCCATGTTTTAAACCCATATCATAGTCACCTTCATACATGGCTCCATCAGCCCATTTTTCTAATCCAAAACCATGTTATTTATCTTCAAACCACTCTCCTACATAGGATGCTCCATCTTTATGAAAGTAGGTTCCTTTGCCATGAGCCTTGTCATTGAGCCATTCTCCAATGTAGACATCTCCGTCAGCATGAATCAACCTTCCTTTTCCGTTAGCCATATCCTTAGCAAAGTAACCTTCATAAACAGAACCATCAGCCCAATGCTATTTGCCTCTGCCTTATCTCATCCCGTTCTTCCACTGTCCTTCGTAGTACACATTAGTTTCAATTTCCAACACTCCAGAATAAGGGAGGGCGAATATATCCTCAGTTGGGTCGTCGTATTAATAGGGACCAACCCTATTTAATGCTTCTAGAGTGAATGAATTACATATAGCAAGCATAGAAGTTAGTGTTTTGAGATCGGATCTAATGTGTTGAACTAATTGAGAGGATTGTTATGATTTTGGTTTGACATTCGAGTTTTCTTAATTGTCAGGTACCTTCCTTGCTGGTTTGAGTTCATTGCGAGATTCATATTGATTTGGATCATCACAGGTTGCGCAATTGCCCATTTTGACTGTTATAATTTATATTATGTTATCAAATCGATCAAATAAGGATACCAAAGAAGTGAAACGTATTAGTTTGATTCCAAGTCGACAAGAGCAATAACAGGAATAGGAATACAAGTACATTCAACCTGTAAAATCTGTGAATGTGGAGAATCAGGATCCAAAATGGTCAGAACTGAAAGTAGATGGCAAGAATATCAACCACAGAGCTTACACCAGCATAACAATTCACAATGATTTGTATAATTTTGAGTGTTATCCTAGTCTGTACTTGTATGGGGGATACCAAGTTCAATTAGGAATCATGGATGAATTCTATCGTATGAATCTAAAGAGTTAAAGTTACCAATGGGAAAAGCTGACTTACAAGGAAAACCCAGGACCAAGAACTCGCCATCAGATGTGTACATACATGGATAGAATCTACATTTTTGGCGGATAGATTCACCAATCTGTCTCCACCAATTCCATGTGGTACTTTGATCTCAACTCCCACACTTGGGTCAAGTGCAAAATTAATCAATCATACCCTCCAGAAATAGACAATCACACAGCCATCATCCACAATGATAATTGGATAGTCTTTGGAGGCTTCTTCGGAGGAACTGTGGGTTTGCATTCCAACTATGTGTATAAATATGATTTTAGTTCGAACACATGGCAAAGAATGCAACCCTAAAGCAGCCTTGCTCCTAAACCTAGAGATGGAGCAGGCATAGCTATGCATAAGAACATACTCTACATGTTTGGAGGATCTAATGGTCATTTGAGGTTCAATGATTTATGGAAATTCGATTTCTAAGTTTGGACCTACATACCTGTTAGTTCCAAAGATTTACCAAGAATCAGATCAGGCCATGTGATGCTAGTTAATGATGATAAAATTATTATCTTTGGTGGAATACATGATATCACCTGGGAATTAGATGACTTAAATGTATTTAATCTTAAGAAAATGGAATGGATTAAAGTTGATGAAGATAGTGCTAGGAGAAAAGATAAATAATTGTTGTCTCCAACCAAGGATAATAAATAGGATCAACATTCACGAAGGCAATTTAGAAAATCAACTAGAACTGGCAGCATTAGGAAGACTATTAAAAGAACTACTGTCTCTCCACTCAAAAAACCAGATTAATCTGAAGATAGTTTGGAGTCGCCAACTAGAAATTTATCCTAAGCTTAATCTAATTAAAAAACACTTGATGAAAAAAAAAAAAAAGAAATTTAACAAAAAAAAATGGCCTTATTAAAGATATTTGAAGTTGATGAAGGCTAAAAGATACAATTCAGAGATAATTCACCCACTTCTGAAAAAATGAGAAACTCTCTATTTCTAGTTGGCAATCCAAAGGCTGACTTAAAAATTAAACAGGGGAAATTGACCGAATTTGGAAAACCTTTAGTTTCAAAGTAAATTAACATATATATTTAATAAGATTTCTTCAGCCACTCCAATCAATGTAGAATTAGATTGTTGGAAAGAAACCCTGCGCTAGAGATGGCCATTCATTTACAGTTTATCAATCATAACTCATAATTTTTGGTGGAGACAGACATTAAATGTCCTTTAATGATATTTATTCCTTAGATTTAACAAAAATTTGATAATATTAAATTAAACAATTATTTATTACTCTTAATTTGAGAATGACATATTTAATTTAGTCCCCAATCTTTATTAATGTATTGATAATTTTTTTACTCTTTAAAATTAATATAAAAATTTCTATGCTCAAAATCATGCCGATTTTTAAAGTTACCTTCAGGAAAATAATGTTACCATGAACTGCTGATAAATAATATTATTTCTATCTATTCGATTACTCAAATTGAAAGCAAATAAATATCAATAGATAGTTGCAACTTTATAAAAATAAACTAATAATAATTAATGCATAGTTTTTAATTATAAAACAAATTCATTTCTTGTGAGATAGAGTTGCCAGAATATATTTGTAAACGAACTTACAAATATTTTGATTACTTTTGAACAATTATGGAATTTCTGTTTAATTCTTTGTATTTTATAAAAAATTATACTATATAATTTCAGTTAGATCAACATAAAAAATTTCATAAAAAAGTATTTTTTCTAGATTTTATTGATTAAGCATTAGAAATAAATTAAACATATCTTTTTCATGATATAAAAGCCACCGTTTTACAGTCTAATTTTTATAAATAAAAATGAAAAAGATTTTGGCAATTGCATTACTAATCCTTTGTATCACAGCTAAAAAGCATCACAAATAAGAGGAGGGCCAAGAAGAAATAACTCCCATGGTTTAATGCCTTTAAGATCATTGTCTTAATGAAGCATTCGGATGTGTCTTCAATGAGGAATGTAGCAAGACCATGGAGAGTTGTGATAAGGAATATGGAGAGGGTATCAAATTAGAATAGGTACTTTTTATTTGAATTATTTTAGTTTGTTTCATGTACCGCAAATGATGAAGCCGCTTCTGCATTGGCTGCCTGCATGTAAAACAACTGTGCCAGTTTTGAATAAATGATGAGATTCTTCAACAAAAGAAAGTGATTTTGATGATTTTATAATAACCATATTCAAATATAGTCATCATTCATTGCCAAAAAAATTTTTTTTCATTTGAGACTTAACACAAACAAGTGTTAAAAATCTGTTAATATTTATATATCATTATGATGCATTCTTCAAACTATGATAATATTGTTCTAAAGTTTATGGAGCAATTACCTATCAACAAAAAATTTAGTAAAATATTGGTGAGGAACGAACTGCAGAACAATTGCTTAAATATATATTAGATTTTATTAATACATCCTTTCATTATTAAGTTTTATTTGAAATTTAAAATAACTTAAAGTCATTATTAATATAGTATTAGTATTGATTAAGATAGTGAATATTAACTTAATTCAATTTCATGTATAATATCTTATAATAACAACATTTGCCAATTTAAAAAACTTGTACTATTATAGATGAAGAATAAAATTCGAAAAAATTTAGTTAGTACTCAAAAACAAATAAATAAATAAAAAGTAAACCTAAGTACATATACTCAACAATCGTCTAATTGTTCCCAATTCTTCTAGTTTATAAAGACACAAGTGATATTTATTAACTATTAATCACTATCAGATTTCAATAAGGGTTGAATGCAAAGTTGGTTGAAGATGATTGAAATAAGAAATTTGTAGGCTGGTCATCAAGTTAAAGATATTGAGATGTATAGGATTTACTAGGTTCAATGAGAAAGTTTGATTTTTATGATGTACTTATTTATAAATATTATAATATAAAATATGTCCAGATATGTAAATCCAGGAAGTTTTTAATTATTACTTTTTTTCAACTAGAGCAGCAACAATTGTTTAGATTACTTAAGTTTTACTAGTTAATTGTATGAATAAGCTTTAATAATTGATCATTCGGATTATAATATTTTACAAAGTTAAATCATATTATTCAATTAAACAATATAAACTTCAGAATAATATGTCATGTTCAAACAAACTTCATTCTTTAATTTCACAGATTGTTTTTCAGGAATAATAATGTATTTGATTATTATTAGAGAGTCATCTCTACATAGATTTATAAAAAATAAATGAAATATTTAAGTCATCCTATAAAAAATGTACTAGAAGTGCTTTTTGTATTTTTTGAGAGATTTTTTTCATAACTATATCCATTAAATAGATTCTAAACGGAGTTTTTCTTCAATAAGAGTTTATTTTCTCTGATCAAATCATCTTGGCTTTCGTTATCCTCACTAATTTAATTTAAATATTCAATATTGTCATCAATTTCCTAAATCTAAATATTGTTTATACACTTGGGATATATGGAGATTAGATTTCTTTATTCAAGAGTTTTTACCAAGGAAAATTTCTAAGCCAAGGATGATTTTTGACTTCATCTGGCCCTTTAAAACCAAGTCTATTTATTGGTTTTCTTTATATTAATTTGTTTATAAAATCAGCACCTTCAAATGACCAATCATTTGGAACCTCAGACTTTTTGATCTAGACCTATCTAGTGAGGACTTGGTCTCGAATTTCCTATCTCGACCTTCCATTATAAGGTCTCCTTCCTAACATAAATTCATAACCCATGACCCCAAGAGCAAAGTAATCCACAGCTATTGTATGGTTCTATCTGCACATGACCTCAGGAGCTACAAATATTAATGCATAATCATACCCATGTATCCTGGAGTGCCACTAGTATCTTGTGAATTCTCAGGTTTCCAGATCCTGGCAATTCCTAGATCTGTTAGTCTGACGTATCCATATTTATCCAAAACCAAATTTTCTGGTTTAAGATCTCGATGTATAATGTTGTTGTTGTGCAAGTATTCTAATGACAATAGAACACAAGCTACAAAGAACTTGGTTTGGTGTTCTTTAAACCTTCTCATTTTACCAATGTGATATCTGAGATCTCCTCCAGTTAATAAATCCATCACCAGATATAAGTTGTCTCTATCTTGAAAACAATAATTCATGTTAATTAAAAAGGGATGTTTAAATTAGGCCAAGAGATTCCTTTCATTCATTACTGAATTGACACTTCTTTTGGCTATTACTTTTGCTTTTGACATTTCCTTCATTGCATACAATTGTCTTGATTTCTTTATTTCAACTTTCCAAACCTTTCCAAACCCGCCCTTACCAATCACATAATGAAATTGAAAATTATTCTTGTTTACTTGAATATTGCAATCTACCATTAAGCTTTAATCATCGTCATCGCTTGACTCTTGTTTTTCTTGTTGTTTGACTATGCTCTTGGAATTCTCATATCTAGAGTTATGTTAATAATTCATCATTGAGTTCAATAGATTCTCAAAGCCTTTAGAGTACTTAAATTAGCTGGGCATTAAGAATTCCTACTTATGAACTTAAGGCGCTTCATTTATGTGTAGAGACACTTTTTCAACAGGCTTGTTTTCTTTAACTAGACTGTTGGAGTAGTTGATAAAATTGTCTGGGGGTTGAATTTGATGAGCGCTGGAAAATTTTGGATAGACAAATGGCGATATGATTTTTGTTGAAGTATTTGGTGATCGAGAATTCTTACGAGCTGTGTTTCTGTTGATGATGTCTAGGTTCTCGAAAATGGCTGGTTTGATAGGGGAGTGATCTTTGGATCTATTCTGTGATTGTATTTAAGAATCTTATTGATGATGTTATGACATTAATTTGGATAATGCGAACATAGAACCACGAGAACTTGCATTTAAATAAATAAGTGTACTTCTCTTTATGAAATGAATTGTTTCTACTGCTATTAATGTTTGTTGCACTCTAATTCCTTAGATGCTTGGATTGAATTTGTAGGTGCGATTCATTTTATTTTTGCATATTCAATTAAATGATTTTAATTTTATTTGGGGTTGCACTTCTCTGAGAGGAAGGTGCTTATCTGTTTTTGGTGGTATTTTAAGCTATTTGGAAGAAACTTGCAAATTAACTTAATCCTAATGGAGATTTGTTGATTTGTTTGGGACGATCATTTTAGAATTCCTTATTGTAATTAGGATCATGTCTTACAGGTTTGGGTTTAATAAAATTCAGTTTGGTTGGAAATAAGTCCTTGAGATTTCGGTGGTTAGACATTATTAATATTATATTAATATAAATTATTAAAGTTTGTAAGTTCAGTGGTGATAATTTTGCTGGAATCAAAAAGCTGTGGAATATGATAATTGAGTAGTAGAGAGTTGTGTGAAATAAATGATAATAAAATTATATATATATTTAAGCTGAATCAATCTAATGTTTAATTGTAATTGTACCACCAAGAAATCTATTGTTTAGGGGAGGTTCCTCTAGTTCCTCAACGATCGGTTAATGAACAACATGCTATTGTTTAATTTACTTAAAGGCTGTGAAATCGATGGTTCTCTTCTCATGTCGATGTGTACTGATTTCCTCAGGTTACCTAGGTATTTCTCCCAGATGTAATCGATTAATTGGTGTCGCCCCTTTTGCAGAATGAATTTCAATCATTTGACATGGCTTGTTTTCAATCATTATCTGAAGGTTCTTCTTCTTCATGGTTGGATTTGGGACTATTTTGTCAAAAACGCATTTCTTGATGCAAAAGACTTCTCCGATGGTTGAATTACAGAAGACATCGTAGGTGTAATTGTCATTGTGAATTTCATCCATTCCGATCACGTCCATCACCTTGAAGGTCTAGGAGGGTAATTATTGTAGATAATCTTACGCGAAGCTATTTCTATATTTGAGGTTCCTGTGCAAATATCTTACTTATGTAAGATAATGGATTCTTGGATTGCTACTTCACTAATATTGGTTTGCTTGAATAGACATACCATATTTGACTTATACGAATTCACCCTTTGTTACAACGTATACGTGTTTGGGGACTTCATTGGAAACGAAGATCTTAGAGTTCAAACAATACTATCTAAATTATTATGCTTCTTATGGCCATTTTTTTAATGCCTAAGATACTGCCATCAAATCAGTTTTGGACTTATCTTGTTTGTTGATAAATTTCAAACATTCCTGCATTCGTTAATTATGCTTTTACCTGTTGAATTTGTTCCATTTTTTAATTTATTATGAATAGTTATTTAATAAGTAAGTACTCTCAATCATCTCATTATCATTATAAAAAAGGAATAAATGACATTTTGGAAGGAAAAAGATGTTAATTGCTAATCAAACTAAAAGATCTATAATGTTATGACACACCCCAAGAACACTTAACCAAATATTATCACATTAATCAGTTAAGAGATAAATTACATATGTTGGGAGAATACTACAAAGTATGAAATACAATTAATCAATCAGTATCATAATGACATACCACGTTTATTTATGATTCCTGCCATCATCCCCTTAAACTATTTTCATGATCGCAAAAGAAGACTTGCATTTTTTAGAATTGCACGCTTGATTGCACAAGAAAATCATAACAACCCTGACAAACCACAAAAAGGAATCGTAGGTGATTCACCCATCCCCTTGACAAGCGAACAAATCACACCACAAGATCCTAGCTCTTCAGATGAAGTATATATATTCAACCAAATTGCATTAGATCCTCTCTAAAAATGATAAAATCCTATAAGGAATCAGTTTCTTAATTTAAGAACCCGATTCAATAGAAAAAATAAAACAATAAATTTAGTCGATGATCAAATTAAAGAAATAGCCAAATACTTCCTCCACCAAAATCAATAGTATTGGAAGTAACACCACCACCAGTAAATCTAATAAGTAATCCATTCTAAAATAAACCAAATAAACATAACCACAAAAAAGTAATTCTCCCTCACTCAAAATCCAATCCGCTTCCATTCAACTCATTGATGTCGCCTCACCCAGAGACTAAAAACCATCCAAACACATTTCCCCCAATAATTTACAATAATTCACCAAAAGCAAACCAAAATCACCCTCAGTCAATATGGCCTCCCCAGTCCAACAATTCATTAAACTATCAGCCAAAATGAAGCAATCATTCAATAAACAATAATGTAGCAGTGCCAGAAACAATACCAACATCCCAAATAGTGCTAATTAAAGAAAGAGCAGTGTTACTCATATTCTAAACATTCTCAAGTCACCAAACAAAAACAGCTCTCATTAGATCCAACACATTTCATACACTCCAAGAGATTAGGAATCCAAAAGAAGTTTTAACAATAAAAAGGTTCATCAATTAGAATTGCAAGTGATGTCTGATCTTTAGAGCTTATTGCAAAAAAAGACTTGTCTAACTCATCGTAGTTCAATGACCACTAAAAATTAAATTAAGAAGAAACTCAATACTAGAGAATTAAATTAATTTAAGTGCGTGAGGTTGCCACTATCCAATAGAGACAATAATAATCAACAAAAAGAATGATTTTCTAACTACATAGTTAATATTTTATTATTATTATTTTAAACCATCAAATCACTTTGCATTTAGTAAAATGATATTTATAATAATAATATTTAATATAAAGATCATTTTATTAAAAGTTGTTTTCTTATTTAATTCTAATTCTAATTTTAATTCCCTTCTTTCATTGCTTCATTAAACTGTTTTACAAATTGCAGCATTTTGCTTAAAACTATTCCAATTACCGAATAACAAAAGGCAAATCCATAAATTATGGTCAACTTTACAGTTGCTATCCATAAAATCGATAATTACAATTTATTTTAGGCAATTAACTCAAAACACTAATCACCCAAATATTGAAGATATTGATAAACATTTAAATCAACCCGAATGACAACCCCTAAGTTCTAAAGTTTTGTTTCTGTATGCCAATCAAACTTGCACTTGATATCTAGAATTGTATTGCATATCATTCTTACTTAAACAACTGTGAAAATGTATTGCTGCATAACTAGTGTGACAATGAAGAAGAACACCCTCAACCATAATAAACTGTTTGTACAGGTCAATTAAAGTGTGCTTAGTAAAAAATACATCAAAGAATCTGTTGTCTTGTCTGTCAAGTATTTCAGAGCGTTATCCTACTTCTAAATGTTCTTGGCTATGTACCTAGCAAATATTATAGCTACGAAATCTAAGACATTTAAATACAAATGATAATTGGAGCTTCTTAAATAGTAAAGCCTAAAATTATATATCCATTCTTAGATTCAATGAAAAATAAATCTATCTCGCTTTTAAAGTTATGATACAATGAAGTTACATCATAGGATTGCCATATCTATATGATACTCATTATTGATCCTGCTGCTATTGCGATTATTGCTCTATCAGTGTTAAGAATCTCCTTTAGAGCCTACAACAAGTTTCCTTTAGATTGTATGGGAATCAATTACAATTCTGGTATTTTTTAAAAGGCATCAACTTTAAAAGTTGCAAAGGAGCGTTAAAAACAAATTGTGAGACTCAACAGAATTACCAAAGGTATTGATGACATCACCAGTGTTGAAATCTCCCCAGTTATTATGGAAATACTATTCAACTTTTCCAATCTATAATATATGATCAGAGTTATTATGGCACAAAGAAGCCTTCCAGTATATCCATATTAATAAAATAAAGCCAACTGTCTAGGAATTTTATCTTCAGGAAAATGCTTTGAAATCATAGTCTGAATTATTATAGTCTGTAATTGTTATGCCAATATCTAAAATCCTATTGCAAAGTACAAATAGTCTTATATCAACTTCCAACAATATCCTAAAAAGTATATATAGGAAAATATCGTCAAGAATAAACTTATGAAGAAGATATTTAAAGTGTATTAGACATGATCTATGATAAAGCCTCCTAGAGCAGGACAGATAATTTTTAAAATAGTCATAATGACAAAAAAGAACAATTGGTTAATACCTGAAAACAAGCTTAAATTATAGTATTGATAAGCAATAAAAGTGTTTACAAAGTCTGAGAAATAGAGCATGTTGAAAAGCAATCTCATTCGTATTTCAGATATCATTTGCTATAAATTTCTGTATAAATATTCTTAATATTAAATATGATTATGTTGAATAAAAAATAGAATTAATGCTTATGCAAAAGAACTCATTCCTCATATTTATCATAACGCAATCTTCCTTCTAGCTCCAATCTCCAATCCAAGTCTCTCCTCAATGTTGCATAACCTTAAATAATTGCAATCAAACATATTAGCAAATCTAAATAAAGTCAACTCTCATTTTAGCTAAGTTTAACTTTAGATAGTAATTAATGAATAACAAAATTTAATATAAATAATCAAAGTTCAAATTCATTCCCATAATCATAGTTTATGGGTTTAACCGTTCTTAGTTTTTTCCAATAAATATATATTGCTATTATTAAACAAAAGCCTACAATCGATATTAATCCATAAACCCAATTATTTGGATTTCGTTAATATATAAAAGTCAACTCTGTGTAATTTTGCCCAAATGCATTCTCTGCGAATAACTAGTATTTAAACTTCTCTGACTTAGCGAATATGCTGAGATTAAATTTACAAGTGATTGACATAGGAGTGATATTATATAGAGTTCCATTATTGTAACCGGATTAATATAATAAACCATTTTACTTTTTGATATCATATACTACAGCTACCATTTATTGACTGTTTTATGGAGCTAAACCACCAATCATGAGTAATGGTTGGCTTAGATCAGTAACTTTAATTTTAATCAAGTCAAATAATGTATAATAATATACGTCATTTTCACCTTTGTAAGTATTGATCAATAGGCCATCAGCCAATTGAGAATTTATTAAGGTAGAGTTACCATAAGGAGGAATGGTTCCAATAATTTATTATGCCTGATATTGAAATTTTGGCGAATCATACGCCAAAGATAGGATTAGAGTACAAAAATCAGCGGTAGTCAACAATACTATAATTTCTGAATAGTAATTTTTCACAACCAAAAATTGAAAGGGCTTGAATTGTTACTCTATTTGGATCTTCTTTTCTAACTTAATTTCTTATTCCTTTGTTATTATTTACAAATCTTAAGTTATTTGATTATATTTCAGTATCTTGTAGTACAATGAGTAGGAACATACATAAAAGACAGAAATTAAAGAAATCCTTTGAGAAGCTTAGGTTGTGTTTCTAAAGTTAGTAACACTAAAATAAGTGCAATTCTTACAATCTGTTAGTTTTAATAAAGAATTTGTCGGAGGAATAAAGATAAACACATCACATTGATTATTCATTTCTCCTAAAATAAAGTAAATTTCAAATAAAACTATAAACTGTAGTGGTTGGGGACTTGGAGTCTATTACAAAACATATGTTGGCAATTCCTATATGTCGAGGCCATTTATAATAAATGAAATTATAACTAACTATTCAAGTTGATTTAAACAAATTGAATATAAAGTTGTATAAGATGTAAAGGATTGCAAGCATTTTATAATAAAATTATATGTATATTTCTAAGGTGATTATCCTAATACTACTATATTGTTTTAGTTCTGTAACACAAATTGTCCATTAACAGCAGTAAGAATATTGTACTTTTAATTATAACTATATAGGTCTAATTAAGTCAATAAATTATTCAAAATGCATTGACTATGCTCATAAGAGGAATCCACAATGTTAAACGATACTACCTGTGAATTGTTGGTTATATTTTCCTACCTCAAAATAACAACTTCATCCTTTTATATATATTGATCAAATTCATTTAGTGTGATATTAGCAAAGGAGTTAATCAACCTGAGAGTATAATTTTGAGTCAATTAATAGGTATCTTTATTTAATCCTGATGTAATGTTAAACTAATAAGAAACAACCTTTTCATAAGTTGGGTGATAAAGCGAAAGATTAGGAGTAAATTTCATCACCATTATGGGGTACAAATTATAAAAATTACCATTATATAATAATTGCGAAAATTCTTCGACATAAGTGCAAGCCAAATAACTTTAATTATAATGGAAAGTGTAATAGAGAGACATATGTTAGGGCAAGTTTGGGTTATAGACTAGCAAAGTATCTGATTTTAATTTTACAAAAAAAAATTAGTTATCAGAGGCTGACATCTCGTATTCATCATATGAAGTGCATATCAAATTCTTTTCTAAGATGATGCTTTTCATATCCACCATGACCCAAACTTAAAAACACATAGTTAATAAATTATCTTATTTGTATATAAGTATTATTTTGTTCTTTGTTACTTTAATATCGTAAACAATAAAGTCTAGATCCTACACCAATAATGGAATTAAAATAGCATTATTTGTAATTGAGCATATTAGTATCTATTGTTCATTACCGATTACTAGTATGGAGGATTAATCAAATTAATTTAAGGCCATTGCAGTTGGTTTAAATTTTGATACAAATGGAAAAAATTGCTTTATATTATCTGAATGCAATTCAAAATTAATAATATTGCTCAAAGTTACAACAAGTATTTCGTCTCTCTTTGTTAATACAATAATGCAATTGTAATTCTACAAAATAGATTGAAATGGTGGAACAGTTACTTCAATATAACTAGCAGATGAGATTGGTAAGTTATATGTAAAAAGCAATATTTATTTTGAAGCAATTGAAACGCTCACAAAAATAGCACCTTCTAAATTGTATGCCATTTAAATTTATTAAATGTCCGATTAATTCAAATCCTATTGATATACTTAGTAGACTTGACTTGGAGAGCCATACTAAAAATAAAGGGTTTCATTTTGTATCCCTGCTATAAAAATCTTATATTTATGTTAATATTAAATTAAATTCATCATAGATGCAAGCTCAAAATTCAGATTAATTGTTGAATTTACTGATTAAAGAATTGCTAGTTCGAAATCTCCCACAAACATTTCTGAAAATTAACTGGAAAACTATAATAAGGATCCCGAATAGTTTTCGATTATTTGATTAAAACCTTTGTTTATTACAACATAGTTTATCGATGTATCACTTTGAGTTGTCTCATAAATTAGAGAGTCATTTTCACTCAATAATGTATAATTTATTTTAACTTTACATCGAGGATCTATGACATCTAAGATTGTCCTATAGAGTGTAAAGCTACCAGAGGTTTAACCTTTGGGGAAATATCCACTTAAATTAGGGATGTCCACCAAATAAGCTATAAAGCGGTAGCCAAACTCAAACAAGATGCTTTTTGATTAGTCAAAATGGAGGAATCTTGTTAAATCAAATTTTTCATCATTCTCCAAAATAGCTTCTTTTAAGACCTTCTCTGGAACATCTATTTGATAGATAGTAACCAAATAATTCTATTGCAAAATTAAAAACTATGAGTTAGCAAAAATCATGATGTTTTACGAAATGATTCCATTCAAATTGAAATGATAACTACGATACACTATAAAATTCATATAGCAGGCTTAAATATGCCATAGATTCATATATATTTCGGAGTTCAATAAGATAATTAATTAATCACATTGCGAATTTTTGAGAAGACTGTTATAAAGCGTGAATGCTCTTATTTCAGCGTTTTAATTAAACATTGTCAAAATATTAAATTATCCATTTTCAGTGATATCTATCTAAAACAAGGTTTCGCTGTTGCTTATGTAGACAAAATTTGAGTTGTTGGACCCTTGGGATGTGAGAAAATCTTAAAATCCCTATTGCCACGTTGATACATTCTAATATGATAGATTTCTAGCTTTAAATAAAGTCAAAAGTTAATAGTCTTCAAAATACTAGCCATAAAGTATATAGTTTGATGGTTGAGTAAGCAATTAAAGTATTTTAGTTGATTTTGGTAGCTAGCTTTCATGTTGATAGATTCTCAATAGTGAATCATTTTGTAAATAAAATAAAAACAATTTATTATTATGATAGCAATCTAATAAAACTTTGTTTTCTAAAGTATAAAATACATTGAAGCAATGATACTCAATTTAGCCAATCTTATATGATTTATATAAATTAAATTAATCACCATCCCAACCATATGTAATAACCTCTTGATTTTTTGTTATTGTTACAAAATTAGTGTTGTTTAAATTAGAAGATATTGATTTAAATAGATGTTCTAATATTAACCAAAATATTATTACTGCTTTCAAATTTATTTCCAATTTAATTTAAAGTGTTCTATAACTGTACTCCATATGGGCATCCTCTGCATTCATAAGTTATATTTTCGCCAATAAAAAGACTTTCCATATATATCCTATAATACTCCCCTTCTGTTGGGAATATATTTTCTTACTCTCTTATAATCTTGCATGCCAATATATATGAAATATAAAAAATAATTATCATTTTAAAAATTAATACTTTAGTTTACTTTAAATACATAAACAACTAAAAATAATTTGATGGAATATTATCACTTATAGATTATTTCCTTATAATCAATAGGAAAAGTACCCTGCATAATTATTGAAGTTTGATAAAGAAGATATTATAATTTTTGCATTTCTACTTAAATTTAATTAATTCTAAAGTAAGATATCTTTCCATTGTATAGATAATAATTGATTATCTTCAAGATAACCTAAAATTTCTATTATTTGCTTGTAATCAAACAGACTAATGGAATAATTTAAATGTAAAATCTATTAGATTTCAATCAATATGCCTCAAGAATATTTTATTCAAATTTGGATTGGCTCTCAACAATATTTGAGGTTAATTAAATATATCCATTAAATTACTTTATTTCCTACTAATATTATTTATTGTATGAGAAATCCGTTTAAAAATTAAAAATGATTTTCTATTCTGATTAACATGTTGAAATTGAATGGCAAAATACCTCATTTGATTTTCGAGTTATCTAATAAGTCATATTTAGGTTTGAAATCCTAATTGAGAAGCATATGAAACTATTATTTAAGGAATTAAAAAATTTATTGAAAATTAATTCTTTTTCGAGATGATAGTATGGAATGTAGTTAAATAATTATTTATCTTTTGCCAATTGTTATTTTTTCGCTTAGTAATAGAAAATTAATAATTAAAATATGAGAACATATATGAAGAGAACAATTCTTTTTATTAATTAAAATAGTAACAAACTATAGATTAGTTAAATTGTGAATGAATCAGTCCTTAAAACATGAATTAATTTGTGTAATAATGAATAGTATGCAAATATATTATTTAAACCTTAAAAATTTACGAATAATTCTTTTATTATTGTGTTTGAAACTCAGATGAATTGATTAATCTATAATTAATAATAATAAAAAACAAAAAACAAGCTAATATGTCCACAATAGAGAAGCAAATCTAGAAGTAAAGAAAACTCAGCCATGAATTCGAATAAACATACAATTCTACAGAAATCCATTCAAATTTATCTTTCTTTGATGAGGAGAGAAGTTAAGATTTTGACGATGATAGCTCATTAATAGAAGAAGACTTTTAAGAATAATGGGAAATGTCATCAATTTGTACAGAGAATGTACCTTATACTTTTAAAAATATTTAGTCCTTAAATCCACAATCCATAGAAGAAAATCCAACAAATAAGAGATTTAGAAAAAACCTTACTCCGAAATAAGCATTGAAAAGAGGGGGCTCTGAAGGAGAAAGTATTTTTGTTGAAGCTTCTGACAGCACAAGAAAAAATACCAATTCTGGCAAGGGCATTGCCATTGACGTGCTTGGACATGGATCCATAGGTACCTAGAGCAAGAAGGTTTAAAAATCGTAAAAATTACTCAATAAATAACTTCAATGCAATAATAATAATAATATTAATATTAATAACAGTAATAATAGTTGGCAACAATAACCATACAATCAGTATCAAAACTATAATTCTTAAAGCTAGTCATAGCAAGAACAACAATAATAAAGAGGCTCAGCATAAGATGACAAGTAAATTAAATAGACTTAAAAAATAACACTTTCCTATTTGTTAATGGAGAGAGAAATAGAAAAATAAGCCAGAATAAGAGCGCTCAATTTTATAGAGAAATACATGGCAAAATGTAATGTGGATGATGTTCTTCAAATGATTTCAGAAACCTATAAAATAATGTTAATACCAGATCAGTAGCTGTAATAGCTTGTAGCTGTATTGAATTAATAAGAAAGGCAACTTTAATTAAACTAATCTTTACTGCGCTTGCGTTTACCTCATAATTCACATCCACTAGCCTCGAAGGCTTAAGATAAGTTGAGGAAATACTTCATACATTGTTGAGAACCAGTAAAAATGATTTGCAAGGAAGAATGAGAGATTTATTCGCATTATAGAAAATCTAATCTTTAAAATATTTTATAAAAAGTAATCTTTCTCCATTGATAGCCCATTCATCCATATTTTAATTGACTTCAATTGAATATGAATTATTATCTTACCTTTTACTCTTTTTCATTATTTTTGCATTAAAATCCTTATGTCATTTTTCAAATAACATCCTAAGAATTAGTTTAATGGTGAAAATAATATGATTTTTCAATCATCCCTATGGATATGAAGATCGTTTACTAATTCACTTGTTATTTTTACATTTACACTAATACTATAATTTAGAATATTAATTAGAGTAAAATAGATTTTATCAAATAATATATTTTTCTTAAGTAATATTGCTTAATGCAACATGTTCAAACAATTGTATAAAAATATTACTACATTTCTTTAAAAATTTATTTGCATGTTAATATGAATTAATTTTCATATGTAAACTATTTAATATCACATTTCCTCTAATAATACGTAATTACTTAACCTAATCTTGAATTTTCCAGGGGCTTAGCCCAAAAATACATAAATCTATTTTTAACTTTTTGTTGTATCAGGATCTAAATGGAGTTCAAGTTTTGTGGTTGAGGCCTTGGTTTTTAATATTTTACAGCCATACTCACTCTTCACATATGCTGTAAATTCCAATAGTTATGATTTTGGCAATACTATTAGAATTAAAAGATTAATTTAATACAATTCTTTATGCTAAAGTGATACACATCTACTTTATTGGGATCATTTTAAGGGTTTTTATTACTTTCATTTTAAAGGGGTTTCTCTCTTTAAATTTCTTTTTCTCTTTATTCTTTTTCTTTTTATTCTTTTTCTTTTTATTCTCTTCTTTCTCTATCTTTATTCATTTAAATTTTGTCTAATTCTATTTAATATTGAATAATTTCGATTTAGTAATCCCCAAAATGATAGCTTTTGCAATCTCTCTTCATTTCCTTTTCTTCCTCATAAAATTGAATGTTCGATCTGAATAGAGCTGGAGGAAGTAGGCCTTCATAAATCTTCTTTATTAACTCTTCAGTTCCTCCCAACCTTTGTTCTTGCATAAAATTATTCATAAATTTTTATATAAATTATTAATATTTAAATCAATTCATATTAATTTGACATTAGTCTTGGTTAATAGAATTCAACTTTAAATCATATGAATGAATTAATTGACTATATCATTTTATTTATTAATTATCATAATTATAATGCCCATGTAATCAATAATTATAAATATACAATAATTGTACTTATAACGATTTACAATGTATATACCAATCGTATATAATTTAATGTAATTTAATTGGATTTTAATAAAGTTTCATTCAATAAATGCACTCAATATCGTTTTGGGTTTAATACTTTATTTATAAGATATCACTTAATTGGGATCTCTGATATTGTTGATGCTAAATATAACAGTAATGTTGACTGGGACTTTGATTTTGAGAAGGAAATTAATAGATTAAAATCAATTACAACAACTCATACTTGCAATACTAAGTGTTCATATATCCTATTGTTGCTTTCTCAATCGTTAATTAAATGCGAGCAGCTATTTGCTGCTTAAATTTCAAGAGGCCTATATAATCAAAAAATAGTCAAGAATAAGAAGCATTTTATATCACATCGTCTACAATTCAGTTTTATTTTCTTTATTAATATTTCACAGCGAAAGCATCATTCTATACATTTTGGCTTTCTACTCCACTTTACTTATGATTCCAAATAATAAATCAAATTTTTAACTGCAAAACCAAGATTTTGAGTTACCTTTACATTTAAGTAAGCCGACGACTCAAAGAAATTCAGAAGTAATGAACATCGTACAAGATACCATAAGCAATTCATGGATGATTAAGTTATAAAACATTCCAGTAGGAATCATGATAGTAAAAAAGGAGAACTTGTAAATAATGTTTAAAAATTAATCCCTTTTATAAATTCTTGAAGGAATTACAGATGTTGAATCTTATTTAATGAATGAACTCTAATTTCAATTACAGGTGAAGAGAGTGAGGAAGCAAGTTAGAGAATCCAGTATCAAACAGTCGAAACAACTAAATAAAATACAAAGCAATAGTTTTCCTCAGTTTTAAAGCTAGAAGAAGATCCCAAGTCAATAGAAGATATCAAATACCTTGAAAAGTATTCTTGCAGAATTGTAGAATGGAAAACTGGATCAGATTTACTAAAAGGAGAATCATTTAGAATTGGTAGGACAAATCTCTAAACAGAAGTAATCATAACTATTTGAAGATGACAACATCCGTAAGATTTAATGCAAGGTCTTTTGTGGCTAAAATGACCAGGAATATTTCATAATAGTGGATGACATCTCATTATAAAGTTATTTGTAGAAATTAGAAACGAGAGAAAAATTCTAAGTTCGCATCATCGATTCTTTTTCTCATGAATTGCGAACACCATTGAATAGTGCTAAACTATTCCTAGAAGCTCTCTTAAATGATCCTAAACTTCAAGATCACTATAAAACTAATTGTATTGAGCCAGCAGCAAATGCATTAAAGTTATAAGCTTATTTAATTAGAGATATTATAGATTTCACTCAATATCATTCACATTTGATTAAGTATAACATTTAAGAATTCAATTTTGAAAATATCATCTAAGAAGTCAATGATATATTTAAACCAATTTGTTTAATCAAAAACTTAGGATTGCGTATTAATGTTAAGAATTCAGTTCCACCTTTAATAAACTCTGACTTTGATAGAATCATGTAGATTATAGTGAATATTATATCGAATTCAATTAAATATTCCGAGAGAGGATTAATAATTTTGGAAATATCTTGTTATGAAAAGGCTTTGACTTTTTGTGTCAAGGATCAAGGAGTAGGAATTCCCTAAAACAAATTATAAAAAATTTAAAAGTTTCTAAAGTCATATAATTCAAGTAGAGATGTCTCAAGTTAGGATGAATGGGAAGGGTTTGGATTACTGGTTAGTCAGATGAATTTACTTAAATTAGCCCCTTAGAATAAAAGTCAATTAAGAATAACATCCCGTGGTTAAGCAGAAGGATGTTAAGTGACTTTTAAAATAAGAACCACTTAATCTACAAATACTTAACTTTTGAGAGGAAACACTTTTTAAAGAACGAGTTTGAAATGTGCCTTTACTGTGCCTGATCTATGTATGGGAATCTAAGGAATTCTAATAATAAATAATCCCAAATAATATAATTCAATCATTGACAATTCTATTTAGTAAATTCCAATTCGATAACAACACTCTGTGGCTAATTATTTCAAACCTCAATAGTCAACAGGTGCGTTAAATCAAAGTGTTTTTTAAGAGACAGATCTCATCGATGATTAAGATACCGACAGAGGTAATCCTGAGGAATAGTTATTAAAATTAAATAGTCTAAGCAAGAGTTCCAATTTAATTATAACAAACTCTAATACCAAAGAAAAATAGAGTAAAAAGCGAAAGCAGTCCTCATTTAGTATATCTGATTTAGATGCATCTTCTAGTAACAGACCCAACACCCTTATATCTAGATTGATTTAAAGAGAAGAACAAGAGATTGAAATGGAAGAACAGTTCCAAAATTTAAGATTTGCTTGTAAGTGCTCTCGTATTTTGAGCGTAGACGATGACATCTTCAATCAGAAAGCCTTGCAAGTGATAGTTAGTCAGATGGGTTTTCGATTGTAAATAGTATGTAATTCAGATATATTTAGGCGTACAATGGATAATAAGCAATAGAAGTGATTCAAAAGACAGAGAAATGTTCTGAAGCTTGTTAATTATTTTATTTTATTTTAATGGATTGTTAGATGCCAATAATGGATGGCTGGACAACCACGAAGGTGTTGATGGACATGATTAGATAGAATATTATTCCAGATATACCCATAATTGGATTGACAGCCTTTAATTCAACTGAAGATATTGAGAGATGTCTAGATGTTGGAATGAGGGAAGTCTTCACAAAACCTTTGAATATCAATTCTCTTAAACAGGTATTACTTAAACTAATTAATCGATGATCTTATATATACAATCTTACTATAAATGAATCAATTGTAATCATAATTTATTGTGAACTCATTCTAATAATTATTATCCGTTAATATGAGTTTCAGAGATTTAGAAAATCCAGAATAGGCAGTCTTTATATCCCAAGATATGCTAAACGAATCCTTTTCCTAAATGTCCCAAGAGCAAAATGCTGAATAACAATAAGAATTTGCTAACAATAATGAGAACTACCCTCAATTTAGTCAGACCCAGAATTCCCACATCCTATCCGAGATAATCAATACTCCATCTCAACCAAAATTGCAGACTAAAAAATCCATATTGCTTCCTCAATCAGGTGGGCTATTTTCATATTTAATTGACAATCAGAGCAGAATTTATGACATCTTTTAAAATTTCATGCACCGATTATTTCAATACTACTTCATCAAGAAAGGGATGGATCAGAATATCGTATAAAACTACATCGATTTGTAAGCAGTCAAAAGGAAACTCAATTATGTTCAATAAGTGTATAACTAAACCTTTTGCGCTTTGAAAAATAGCATCCAATATTATTAAGATAAGATCTTGATATTGACATCAGAAATAGATAAAGAGGATCCTTATTCCTTATTAACTCAACATGAAATTGATCTTAGAAGAGGACTACATGATTTCTATCAATTTATAGATTCAGAGGACCTACTCACATCCAGTAAAGGCATGGGAGGAAGCCAAAATATGTATCTATTTAAATATAACCACACTTAGAAGTCAATATAAAACAATTTAAATAGAAGTGTTCAATCCAGCTGACTTGAATTCTCTAGACAAAGTTGCTTAGTTTGTATTAAACAGCATCGAACTAGAATAAATTAACATCACTCCTATACAACTATTGAATGATGATTTGTCATTGAATTTACTCAAAGTTACAATGCAATTGTTACAAATATGGCAACATTTATTTAGATTTTTGAACCAAAATGATGTGACCAATATTCAATTCAATTACGAAGTTGATCAAGTCAATCACAATGCTGCAATTGTTGCCGCATAGACCTTCTTGTTGGTTCCTTTGGATATCTCAAATAAGATTCTGAAAGGCCAATATAAGGAACTCACAAATTATCATCTCAATTCCAATAACAAGTTGCCACTCAAAGAGGAGTATGAAAAGAAAAGAGAAGAAAAGAGTTAGGCTAAATTATAGAATACACTTCATTTTGATAAATCAGAAAACATCATCAAAATAGCTGATGATGCATTAACAAATGAGGCTGAGAATTTTTCATTTTCAAATGCTGAGCATTCCTTAATGGAAGAATAATCTGACTAGTAGTAAACGATTCAAAAATATAATCATAAATATTAATTAAATTCAGAATAATATAAATAAACAATATTAGATCAGGCAGTTGAGTTGAGTTTCAAAGGCAAAATAAATGAATCCCATTTACTGGACATTCAGCCTCCAAAACATAGATCCTATATTGCTGAAAGTGGTTAATAAATATTAAGAATAACACCAATTACTATATGCACTTTGAATTGTTTAAAACCAAATGTAGAATTTAATCATGTCAATTATTTCACTGATCCTCAAAAAGAGTTTTTACACTACTTTAAACCCAATACAAAGTTTTTCTTTTAATGGTAGATCGATGCTGAGAACGTTTAAAAGATAGTTTGCGATGTAGAATACTAATTTACTAATGAATTGATTTCCTTTGCAACCAAAGAAGGAATCATATTTCTATTCAATCCATTTTCCAAGGCTGCAGATAATGCATTCTATAGATACAATGAACTAAGCTCTATACTTTAAGCTCTGCCTAATATGATCGAGAAAAGAAGAAATTTCAGAGTTGCTCAAGTAGGGCATTACATTTATCTGATTGGTGGAGAGAATCAAAATAATCAGGTAACCAATACTTGCGAAAGGTTTAGTCTAAAAACATTAGAATGGTAAAAGATCAAGTCTTTCTAAACTCCTTTAACCAAAGTCAATCTTGTTGTTTTCCAACAAAGATATTTGGTTAGATTTGGAGGTTTGAATCGCTTCGATCATTTTGATAAAACTGTAGAAAAGTAAGTTAGAAATTTACAATTATAGGTATGATACAAAACGACATAAGTGGTATCCAATAAAATTGACTAGTGGACAAGATTAAATATTCAAGTTGAATAGTGTTTGTCTGTAAATCAATTCTAATTCAATTTTAATATTTGGAGGATAAAATGAAAATGATCACAGCGACGCAACAATACAACTACTTACTATTGATGAGGTTGATAGGAAGAAGAATGAATATGCGGCGCATCTTTAAGAACTAAATGTACAATAATAATTACTATCATTCATTGGACAATATGATTTAAATGTTTACTACTAACACGACAGAATACACTTATTTAGAAAAAACTACAGTTCATTATTATTGTGAGAAATTTAAATATTGGAATATATTTATTATATTAATTATAAAACATATATATCTGTCTTTGTTTATTCATATTTTAAATATTATTAGTGGCTGAATTAGATCATTATTTTTGTAATATAAATCTTATTAATAAACAAGTGATTTAATTTAAAATTAAACTTCTTGTATTTTTAAACATTCAGATGATGAGGCTCTTTTGAGTCTAAGAAATTATAACCAAACTTGATTGATAACATTATTATTAGATAAAGTAAGTACCAAAAAAAATTGATGATATGCAAACAATTTATAAAAAATCTTAAAATCCTAGGACACAACCAAAAAAGAAGCTAAATGTCTAAAATGTCTATAAAAAGAAAAACATATAAGACTTCTAAAAATAATGAAATTTATACATTTTTAATACTTTTAGTCTGAATTAAAATAATTTCGGAACACAAAAATTACAAAGACTATTTTGTATTTTTTCTTAATTTTTATTTTTACTTAAACATGATTTCAAATTATTTATATACACATACAAAGTAAAGCATCCTTTATTCTTAAGTAAATTACAAAGGAGACAAATATAATATAGATAAAGATATTAATTTTAATCAATATATTATCAATTAAATTCAGGTTTTTCTTGACTATCAATACTTAGTGTTGCATGAGAAACAAAATTTAAAAATATTGCTACTTGTAGAGATGTAGCTGGTACTTTAAGCAAATATTTATTTCATATGTAAAGGCTTAAATTATAATATAAATTAATATTGTCTTATGTAAAATATTGATATAAGTATATAAAATTATTCTTAGGGATTTTTAAATACTGGTTATTCTTTTTAATATCGAAATCAATAATTCCGTTTTTAATGATCTCTATGATACAAAATCTGCTTTTAAATATTCTCTTATAAACAATTGATTATTTATAAGTAATATATAAATTACATGAGTTTAATTGCTCTTTTCAAAAATTGCTATGAACATTTTAAAGGAAAGTTCTAAAAGAATTACATTCCAGCTCAGACACCAAAAATTATTTATTTAGAAGAAAGTATTGGTTTTAGATTTAGATGAAACATTAGTACATCTGAATTCAAGGAAAATGAAAATTTTTAACATGAAGCTATTCTTAAAGTCATACACAGAGGATTAGAATACAAAGTATATTGAAAGTTCGACCCTACCTAAATCAGTTTTTATTAGAAGCAAGCAAAGATTATGAAATTTTCATTTTTATAGCAGGCTATGAAGATTATTGTTAAGAAGTATTAGGTTTTATTGATAAAAAAAAATAATTACTGACTATTTTGCAAGAGGAAGCTGTCACTTTATAGATGGGATTTGTTATAAAGATTTATTATTAATCGATAGGCCTATGGAAGATATAATATTCATTGATGTAAATAAAAAAATTATATTTAGAATAATCCAAATGCTTTTATAAAGTACCAGAATAATGGATTGTTAATTCCATCATTTCTAGACTCAAATGATGATGATTGCCTTTTAAAATTACTTTTATTTTTAAAATATATGGCTAAAAAAATAGATGTGAGGCCAGTGGAATAATATCTAAGAAATTATGAAGATAAGATCGGTACAACAGTATTCAGCGAAGCCAAAAAGTCAATATAGTTAGAACAAGAAGAACCAGACGAAGATACATTAAGTGAAGGAAAGGTTGTAAAAAGAGATTAAGAAGTTACAGATTTAGATATCAAAAATAAAAAATCCCAAACTCAATAAGAAATTGCTAACAAGGTCAAAAGTAAAATAAGAAGTGCCACCTTTATTTTCCAGTTCACACATTAAGTGATTTATAACTTTTTGATTGTCTTTGACTACCATTTATATGTCATTAATCCTTAGATAATCTAACTTTCAAATGGCTTTGATTTTTGTTTAATTAAATATATTATTTTTTAATTTAAATATTAAGTTAATATTGCCTTATATAGAAAAAATTAATCATTTCTAATTTGAATTGGATAGCCTTCAATTCATATGTAATCTTAAAAGGACTTTTAATATAGGGGGCTTAGGTTTGAATATTAACTGTCCTGATTTTCTTATTAACTTCTGATTGGTAGTGGAGAATTTACTAAATATAGTAATTTTAATAACTTACATTAATTAGGGCTAAATGTTGATAAGTTTTTCTTCATTGAATAGTTGAGTTATTGTTACATCATTCTAAGAATTGGTGATAGTGATTCCATTTATTAAGTTTGTGATAATGAGGGCTCAAACTCTATCTTAACATTAGTTTTAAATAAATCCTATTCATTGTTGTTTTCTTTGATGCTTGTATCTTGTTATTTTAGAAAGAAGCTTAGCAAATAGCTGAGTCTATCTATTTTCGCATCCAATGATTATCTTGACAAGCTTAATTAAGACCATATTGAGTTATGTTGTTCCATAATAATCTAATTTTATTCACTTATCGCTTTGAAATCATTTTCAAATTAGTGCTACCTTTACTTTAAGAATGTCAATTCTTATTCCATTTGTTGTTCAAATTCTACCTCTGTAGATTCAACTTTTGCATTCTTCTTGTCTTTCTTTAGTAAGACCTTTTATTTAATTGGATTTCTTTTAATTAGAGATAATTGCTTCCTATTTTTATAATTATGAAATACTTGCATCCTTTTTTGAAATTTGGATGGGTAAATATTTCGTGATTCTCTGAATTGCGTGCTTTTTGGAACTCATACATATTTAATTGTCTTAAAAAAGATTAGTAGTGATTGTGTTTGAAATATTGTGGTAGGATCTGGGATTCCATTTCTTTAGGATTCACAACGATTAAGTATTCACCATCATCACTCCACTTAATTATTGTTTAAAATTACGGAGTGCTCTTTATGGTATTATCATATTAAAATACTTATTCGTCAAGCATATCATAAAGCTTTATGATAAATGCGGGGGTAGAGAAGGGTCCTTATTGATTAGTCATTAAGAATTGAAGATATTGTTCTTTTTATATCTTATAAATTATATTTTGAAAATAAAATAATAATAACCATTCAATTATTAATCTTTCTTAGCCTTTTATGAGCTAATATTTATTAATGCATTTTTTAATGGCTTAAATAGGCGAGTATAACCTTGAAAAAATGAAAGTAATCGTGAAAAATAGCAGTAACTGAAAGTAAAAATTAGTTTTGAAAACAACAATAATCTACAATTTTTAGAAATTTGGTATTCCTCATTTACTGAATTTCTTGACTTTCAACATATATATGTTAGTTAGATCGGAATTTATTTTTCTGAAAATAAATTAGAAATACATTTCAAAAGATAAACTTATATTATTTTTATTTTGTGATTGGTTTGAATTTAATTATTGAATATTAGTCAATGGGTCAATTCTGTATAATCCTTTGTTCCAACTTTTTATTTTGTGTAAAAAATTGCAAAATATTAAAACCCTATCCAAAAATGCTTAAAATATTTGGGAAATCATTTTTATCATCAATTGTTGTTCTTGATTAAAAGAACGCCTTAAAGACATTATAGAAATAAATATATCAAAAAGAGAAAAATTATTAATATAATTTTTGTGTACAAAATTTAATACTAAGTACAAAGATCTTGTGTACTTGTTACTTAGTTTAAAATCTTTAAAATTTAAAGGGAACTTAATGTTAGTATCAAAAATATCAGAAACCTATCATTAAACATGATTCAATATAAATATATACATAGTTCTATTATTATTTTTTAGATATTAAACATTTTGCAATGAATATCAAAATTACTATGACTTTGCTATTTCATCTAGTCTATTTTGTAATCTTTATAGATTCATTTTTGGAAACTTTATATATGGGCATTTTCCTTTTTAGGGGACAATATACTTAAAGACAATAAACTTAAACCTTTTATGTTATATTGACAGCTTTAAAATTTATTTTTTCAGCTCTTATAGGTTTTATAATAGATCATGTGCAATATACATACAATTTGCTATTTGGAAGTTAAATATTGATTTTGTTATCCTACTTCTTTTATTTGGTATTCGTTGTGAAATCTGTTTAAGAACAATATTCAGGTGATTACTTGTACTTTGCTAATGGATTTCTAATTTTGGGTTAATAGATGGCAGCAATCATTATATTAACTCTGATTTCTAAGCACTACCAGAGGAATGATGTTCCGTATTAGATAGCAAATTTGCAAATTTATAGCTATTCTGGATAAATATTTTGTTCTTTGATATTTTTGGTAGTAGGATTAATCTTATATAATTCAATAGAAAAATATTCGTTTTAAACACTTATAGAAATATACAAGGATACCATCATAATTTTATCAATAATTCCTTTAATTATATTATTGACCCTTATGATATTTCTCTATAAAACATTTATATATTTTAAATAAGAGGCTGAAGAGTTAATGCCTGAAATTAAAAAGATTCCCATTCAGCAGAAGGGAAACTTACTCTAAGCCATAAAAAATATTTTCAAAACTGACAGCGCTTGGGTTGCCTTATCAGCAGGAATTATCTTGGGAATCATAAATATTTGGTTAGAATAATACTAACAAAGTTATGTGTAATCCTTATTATCAGATTTATCTAATGTTAAAATTTATTAGATTTTCGGTAATTACTTAATCATTGAATTACCCACAATCATAAGTAAAGATACTAGTAAATCTAGGTTTGAGTTTGGTTTAAGTAATTGTAAAAAACTTTGAAATTGAATCAATTTCTCTTTAAGCATTAATCGACAAGGCCATAGATTCGTTTGTTCTATTTTTACTATCAATTTTATTTGCAACTTGTTTCGATGAAAAAGAATCTGGCAGTGGTGGAAAAAGCATAATATTCCTAATTATTGAGATATTTTAACAATACTGTTTAACAGTAATAGCCGTATTAAATTATAAAAGTTAATTAGATTTCTGGTGCCAGTATAATAGGCATACAGAAATAAAATTATAGGAACTAAGGCTTAACCTTTGGAATGCTGTGGATGATTTAGAATGGATTTGCAGTTTGGGTTGTTCTGGCAATTTGTTTTGGCTAGGAGGCATAAAATGGCATTATCTATGGATTTGCATTTGGATATTCTTTAATCAGCATAATATCTAGCAAGATGCTTTAGTTTGACAAACAAGTGAATAAATTAGGCCATAGAGTAGCCAACGTAGAAGTACAAATAAAAAACGATGAACCACAAGATGAACCATAAGAAGTAGCATAATCATGAAACCATATAAATAATGATATTATTTTAAATCTTAAATTTGTCATTATACAATCTCAATCGGAGGTTGGCTAGAAGAAGTCTAATTTAAATCATCTTTGAAAAGCTTCCTTTTAACATCACTTTTGTGTTGAGGGATCAAGATTTTATTTGGTCTACTACCCCTTTGAGTATAGAAGGCAAATTAGGTTTTATAAGCATCAACCATTGAAACACCATAGCTACCCACAGTTGATGCTTATGAGCCAGTTATATTACCTTTAACTGGACTTGCAGTTCTGTAAATCCCGCTGAATTGATTAACTGCAGAGTAGATTTGATTCGTTTTAATTGGTGAAAGTACTCTTACTCTTTATGGTGAAACCTTGTATGGAGACAATCTTTATGGCGAATAGCTTATTATTTTTTAAGGTGATGGTGATCTAGAATAGACATTCTGAGTCTATAGTTTATTTATTCTTTAAGTCATAACATGTTTTGGGTCCTAGAATCTAATTAGTTTAGTCTATTATGGCACTTCTTTTTCGGTGCTAGTTGATCTATATTATCTCTTTATCAGTATCTAAGATAATTCTATGAAATCTGGTCTTTTCTCTGGGGTATTATTAAGCATTCTAGCCAATAATTATAGTAGCTATTAAGAATATTCACCTACTAATGAAATTACTGTTTCTTTTAGACTCAGATGGAATTCTACATACAATTTTATATTACTTTTCTTTGTCATTAGCTCAACCATTACTTATGCTAGATCATATACATCCTATTTAATTTATTAAGAACTTGATTAAATTGTAATTTAATCTAAAGTCTTCAATGTCTAATCTTAAGTGATCATGATATTATCTGAAGTAATTTTACCATGAGAATATCCATTTTACTATAAATACTACAGAACACTAATTAGTTGTTCTAGTGACTAAGCAATTAGTATATTAAAATACTTTCCAAACTTCTATTTCTCTGAATGGTTCTGATCTTGCACACAAGTACTAAGAAAGTGTCTAAGAAATGTATTCAAAGTAGAATTGCTAGGTTTCAACATTTCCACAAAAAGAAGGAGAATTTTAAGTGCAAGCATAATATTGTAATAAATTCGGATGTTTTAATTAAGTTCTCTACTAATGAATTGTCAATAACATGGAATCTTAATAGTAAACATGTCTTGTCTTAAGTTATTAATATTCATTACAAGAGAAAAGATCTCAATAGTTGTTTTATTCTTCATTTTCCACAACTGGATATTGCCAAATGCTGGATGAGATATGGTTCCACAGCATTAAATTTAAGCATTTAAATCAGAGGTAAAAGTCATTTCAGTATTGCAATTCACATAAGCTTAAACAGCACCCATTCTTTGATTTATTTAATATATTTATTTAGATATGAAAATAATTCTTAGCATTTTTATTTAATAAAATTATCATAAAATTATAATGAATAATATCTAATCAACTGTTGATTAATATAAAATGATGAAATTATCAAGTTTTACCTACCAGTAACTCAAAGCTTATTATTTTTGAAATTATTCTCATAAATTAACGATATTCTATTGTCGATTTTGTAGTAGTAAATTGCTCTATAAATTATTCAAAATAGTTGATTTAATTAGCAAAGGAAAAAGAAAAAAATAAACATTAAAAAGGGATTTTAAATATAAAGATTTTTCTTAATTAAATTTTAGATGTCTTAATAATAAGGAAAGGGTGGAAAAGCTTAACAACCAAAAACCGAAGCTAAGCCTGCAGCTCCAGCCAAGGTTGTCAAACCATAAGAAACTAAGGAGAATGTGATGAGAAAGATTAGAATTGAAAAATTAATGGTTCATATTTGTGCAGGAGAGTCTGGAGATAAATTGACAAAGGCAGCCAAAGTTTTGGAGGATTTGACAGGATAAAAACCAGTATTCGGTAAGGCAAGATACACAGTGAGATCATTTGGTATCAGAAGAAATGAAAAGATTTCAGTGTTCTGCACAATTAGAGGAGATGCTGCTAAAGATATCTTATTCAGAGGATTGAGAGTTAAGGAAATGGAATTGAAAAAGAGAAACTTCTCTGAATCAGGAAACTTTGGATTTGGCATATAAGAACATATTGATTTGGGATTAAAGTACGATCCATACACAGGTATAAATTATTACAATGCTGTTTAGGTATTTTCGGTATGGATTTCTATGTCATCTTGTCAAGACCAGGATTGAGAGTTGCTCAAAGAAAATCAAGAAATGCAAGATTGGGAACAGCTTAAAGAGTTTCCAAAAAAGAAGCTATGGAATGGTTCAAACAAACCTTTGAAGGCAACGTCTATTGATACATTAATACAATACATTAAAATATAAATCATTAACATTCATTTTTGAATAATAGGTAATTCAGTGTCCCCTTGTTTTTGTTTCTCCTTTTGCTTTCTTGACTTTTTTGACTTTTTCTCAATAAAATAAGCCTTCTTGTCTTTCAAAGCATCTCTGCCTCTATAAATAAGACGATCAGAGAATGTCTCAGTAAACATAAATTCCTTTAACCCCAGAAAATTCATAAATCTATCATACAAATCAAAGTAATTAATGAAACACAAAAAGAGAAGTATGGCAGGCATTAATTAAATGACATTAACTCCGAAAATTGGCACAAATTCCATCTTAAATTATACAATATAGCAATTACCTCTCCCATGGCAAATTTGAAGGCAGGTTCACAGTTCATTCTTTATTTGATTCTCAACATATTCAGAAAATTTTAACATAATGGAGCTGCCACTCTACTAAAGTTTATTGTTGCAAACAGCAAACTTGGAGCATCCGTTTGATGATCATCATATAATCCATAACATCCTGCTATCTTGATTCTAAACATTCCATAATAAACACAAAATGCAATATAAAATAAAGGAACAAAACAAAATATCTGTAAGGTAATCACCCCAGATTACAAGGATATGGGCATACCAAAAATTGAAAAAGGAGTGTTCAAAAACAATGTGGTTTCTGAGACTATTACTAACAACGACAAGATGCTCAAAGCCAAAGAGAAAAATATTTTGAATTGGGGCTTATAATGGCATAACCAATACCATTCCAAGGTATCTAGAGTTTGAGAACAAGATCCTTCTCTTCTATTAGTTTTCACTTCGTAATGAATTTTTTTATCTGGACTTTCAATTGAATTGATCACGTTTTCCAAAGCATAAGCCTTCTTACAATTCTCCTTCCATGCTGCTTTCAATCTTCTAAATGTTCTGGACTTTGTTCTAATATCTCTGTAGATTTCAACTACTTCCTCATCTGTTGCTTCTGGTTGTTCTTTAAAGAACATTCTTTATAGATAAGAAATTCCAGGTGCCTTAGATTTGGCATCCTCCTCCTTCAACTCATTGAACATGGTTTTAGGAATTGCATCAATACTCATCTATAAATATATCTTTGATGATTATAATTGAAATTTCTCCTGATTTCTAATGCCTACTACACGCTTAGCTTTTTCTTGCAAATAATGCTGGGCATCATCCTTTTCCTCTGTAATTTTAGCTGTTTTAAAATACAAATATTTCAATTGAACATCGAGAGTAGAAGTTCTCATATGTGCTCTTGGAACCGCAATGAGAGAATATCTAAAATGTTAATAGATTTTCATTACCCCAACAAAACTATAATTAGAGCAACACCAAAGGAGTTAGCCATACTTTTAAGTAGCTTGGCTAACCCATAATCTGATGCTTAGCCTGTCATAACAAGTATTACAACAAAAGCAATACCGGCTATTCCAATGATGAGATAAAATTTGCCGTTATTGATCAATGACCTTACAATCTTCTAAGCTTTATTAAGATCTATTGCTTCTTCGTATTCCTACATGATTGGAATGATTGTCCAGCAAAGTATGAAATTTGCCCAATACAACAATTGATATAGCTAATTGAGATTATAAATATACATTTGCTATTGCTTCATATTCTCTTGAGTGCATTTCCTAACCATCTTGATTACTAAATTGCTCTTGATCTCTAAATGTTATGTAAATATCCAATGGTAGCAAAATCAGCAAAATGAAATTTGTCAACCATGAGATTAAACATGTTACTTTTACAGTATAACCTACATCTTTGCAGCAAATATTGTTAATTAATTTGGCACAATAGACGGTAACTAGAATGATTTCAAGTAATGTTAAAATGTACATATTAATATTAATTATTCTAAACTTCACAAAAATCATCTCTTTTTTCTATCATGAATATGCATTTGTGTATTTCTGATAATTTAAATCAAATTTTATTAAATCTAAATTTAGATCATTATTATTATATAAATCTTATACTATACTAACTAAATCATTTGATCAATCTTTCCGAATGGAAGTTTTCAGAAATCAACTTATTTTTACTCTTCATAATATAAAAACCAGAAATATTAATTAAATATAAATATTAATAATAATTATTATAATGTTCGAATAGCAATTTACAAGACACAGTAGAATCTCAGAGAACCTCAAAAAGATCCATGTGTAACAAAAGTATACATTTGACACACTGTATGATGATATTGGTGTTGGATTCATAAATTAATCATTCATTTTTAAGTTATTTTAAAAGAGATTGAAAATTAAGAGCGCGCTGTTTTTGACAATAGTGTTTTTATTGTTTTTGGCTGCCTACTCCATGGTCACCTCATACCTCAGCCATATTATGTTAATTGGATATGCAATTTTATAAACAAATTATGAAATTCAAAGGTAAAAGGATTCCAAAAAGCAGCTACTAATATTTTGGCTCATATTTTCAACTGATATTTTAATTGAGAATTATTTTGCAAAAGACAAGTTCACATTAATTAGATACACCAAATTTATAATTGTACATGCTTGTTTCATGTATAGATTGTATATCCTATCCTTCATTTTATAATTTGTAAATAATGATATTAAATATTAGTATAACTTATTGACAATAGGAAAGAGCTTCACAGGTCCCTAAACTTCTAAAAAGTCCTATTTTTAATGATTTTTAGTCTAATTAGTTTGTGTTCATAAATTATAAAAGTCAACCATTAAAAAAAATATATATTATTTTATTATATTATATTATTTTTGAAAAATAAAAATAAAATTTATTATTATTATTCTAAATAGAATATAAAGTTTTGCGAGATATTTAGTGCTATTTCTTGTTTTTTTGTAAATCAAATGTTATTTTTTGTTAATATGATGAATTTCTTACAAAGAGCATAACTCAAAGACACAAAAATCCTATTTTTTAAGACCAAGAAATGAAATAATTTTCAAAATAATTAAATAATACAGATGTATAATAATGATGATGATTTCAGCAACTTCGAAGATGAAATATATGATTCTAATTAATTAAATCCATTACATTCCCTGTTTTATTAGTCGGCATGTGTATAGTCTGATGAAAAGAGAGTACAAAATCTAAATACAAGAGAAAAAAATACTATTTAATAAATATCAAGTGAACTCTCTAATCCTCCTATTTAAACACAAATAAACCAGTATATACCTTAAGGTAATGCCTAAAAATATTCTTTATTTCATAATTTAGGTGAGGAACAAGATAATTTCTAAGAAGAAAAGAATGAGACATAAAAATAAAAGCTTAAAGTATACTTTATTTCATTCTATTTTTTAGGTAATTGCTGATACAATGATTCCAGGAGAAAGTAAGAATTTATCTAAATGCTATGCAAGATACCTATAACAATTTATAATCGAGGTTTGTGAAAATACAGTAGACCCTAAATTGAAAGAATTGAGACATGAAAAAGATATTTAAAAGTTTTTATCAAATAAGGCAGAAAACTTAACAAATTTTGATTTATCCTAATTCATAGAGAGTGAAAATGGAAGAATCTTTGCTAAGGAGTATTTTGGCAATTGCCTTTGGAAACAAGGTGTTGTCAAAGAATCAAAGACTAGTGTCCCCGTGCTTTACAGACACAATATTGAATAATTTTCTAAAGCTATCAAAGCCAAAAAGATAAAAGAATGAATATTATTAAAAAATAAAAATAATGACAATTCCATAACCTATTATTCTAGTTTATTTTGAAGTATGATAACCACAAATCTTCATTTTAAATCTCCTCTAATATATTCGAAATTTGCGTTAAACCATTCTAATTTTGCTATTAGTTTAATAAGTTCCTTATTTCTGTTTAAATATTTTGGATAAGTAAATTTTAATTATTTAATTAATATTTATAATTTAAAATATTTTTTATTTTTATTTCGTTTTAAAGTGGGAAGATAAGCATTACTATATTAGTTCATTTTGTGAGTCTCTTTATGTCTGATAATCATACTCATGATACTAACTTATCAGTTATTTGCACTTATGATACTGAGACACACAATTTAATACATTGAATAGATACTATAATATTGAATAATACTTTTTATTATTGAAATAATAATTTTAAATATTTAATTTATTAGTTTCACGCACTGAAACAACATTATTCTGTAATCACTTAGTTAAGGTGTAATGGCAAACAAGAAAATATTTGTTTATGGTTGTGTAATGAGAATTATATTATTATTTTTGTAAAGTAACTAAAAGTTATGTTATATAAGTTATTACATAATAGGGGTCATTCAGTTTAATATTTAACATATAATAAAATAAATAAATAAGTTTAATGAATATCATTATATATGCATGCATAATTGGCTATGCGATTAGCGAGGTATGGTTTCAAGTAAGTTGCTTTTAGACTGATTTAGATTAAGCTTATAATTATTTGGTTGAAAATTAAGATCAATTAATTCTCGGTTAATGGACGGCAAGCTCGGATTACTTAGTTTACATAAATATAATTTATGATAATCAAAATCTGATAATGTAAGTCTATCCCAAAAGGCACAATCTCTTGCATGAAAAGCATTATTTCAGACTCAGTTATTCCCTTTTGAACAGTTCATATTATTATGATACAGTTGAAAGGTATCCAAATATAAAATAAATAGATATATGACTTGGCAGAACATAGATGTTGTGGTTGAATTATAAAACAGTTAGAAGCACCCCTAAACTATATGCAAGGCTATGCTGTAGGTGGAGGTTTCAACATAAACGATCATTCTCCATAGTTAATTTGATGAGCAATGCAACGTAACTGAAGAGAGAATCCGCCTTTTCATATTCAGTAATTCGGTTTACGAAATCCAAGTGTTATCATATACTATCCTAATTATATTCATATCCCTAGTACAAATAACTAGTGCTCATTTATATTTAAAGTCAGATCCAGCAGAAAACTTGGGAGCATCAATGACTATATCAATAATCTTGACGCAAGATATTTTCATTTGTATTTTCAGCTCATTGCTATTTGATATGCCAAGATTGTACTATTTCTTACCTTGTTTACTTTGTTAATTGACAGCAATATACTACGATCTCAAATTGAAAGCCAAACTCACTGTAATTATATTATTATTATAATTTAGAACATGGAGAGAAACAAGAAAACCCTAATACTTTTGCAACTTATTGAAGTATCATCTGTCACTTTTTTATTTTTAAGAATTAGACATTCATTTGAGTTAACACTCTTAAATACATTTTTAATTCCCCAAATTCTAATCACATTTTATTCAGGAGAAAGACAGAGGTTCAATAAATACTATGTGGGATCAATATTCCCAAGAGCTCTGCTGTCCATATACGCAAGGGGATGCTCTCAAAATATATTACAACTTATGCAAAAAGTTCATGTGGTCTATGTCATAGTGCTTATCCTATTGATCTAGCTCCTGGTTTATTATTGCTAAAACTAATTTGGATGGTTTATTCTAAGAAGGAATATACACAACTACTTCATCAAGTAAACAGATGAGCATCAATAATCAGATTGTGCCATCTGTTTAATTAAACTATCATAAACTCCTGAAAATACGTTGAGTAAAGGGGAACCATATGTGTTACAAACCATTAATTAAGCATCTCGAGATCATTTGTTGATGAACACTCCTTGTGTAAATTATAGATAATTACATTAGAATCATTAATTTCACCCTTCTTGTTTGAGTTAGTGGATGTTAATCAATCTTTCTTGCCCATTATGTAAGAGTTCTCTGCCTTAAGTGTTTTGATGATCCTGAATATAGTTGTGTATATTATTTGTAATGATTATATTAAATGAGAATTTGCATATGAATTTATAGAGATAGTAAATTATTAAATTAATTGAAGGTATATATAGGGATCAAAATCAAATTGAATACGATGTAATATTTCATTCAACTTGATCTTCAGATGAATCTGATATCATATCGAAGAATGACTCTTGTTTAGTGTTTTTGTTCTTTTATTTTTAAATCATCTGTTGTTTGGCCTTCATTTGTTGAATCTATTTTCTGGCAGTTTGATTGAGATGAACAAAATCATTATCTGACATCTTCTTCACTTTATATAATCTATCGACCATCCCTTTGAATTCATCTCTGTTTAACACTCTTTGTTTCTTTATTGTTGGGTATAGCATCACTTGTCCATCCAATCCCTTCTTTTCACATAAGCCAAGCATTTGCAGTTTCTTTTTTAGAAAATCTTCTTCAGTTTATGATTGCCACTAAATACTGAACATTCATTACATCATCCATCTTATCATAGCATTTCTTTATTAATTCTTCGTCCTTCTCAATCATATCAATGACATCAGCCTTATAATTCTCATTTTAGAAATGATTCCGAATTTCTCTTTATAATAATTTATCCATAATAATAAAATATTATATTAATATTCAAAACCTATGATAAGGTGGTATAAAATGAGTTTAAGGGAAATATTGCGGATGAATAGGCAATGGTGGATGTCCTGGATGCAACGGAAGAGATTGATGAAAATGTTAAGGACTTCTATGAGCCTTCACTGGAGTAGGTGGCTTTGGATATTAGTGTTAACTGGTTTCAAATTGTGTTTTCTTCTCTGGAATTGTGACTCTCAAGGGTTCCTTTATTCTACTTCCTTAAAGTGACTTTATTTTAGTGCTTTCAGTCACATTTGTAGTTGGTAACTGATGTATTCCGATGAAATCAGGAATGGAAGTATGCTAGACTCGTATAATGGATTGTAAAAATAAACTTAATTCCGATCTATATTATTGTTATCTGATTATACGCTCTATGTTAATCGATGTGCACTTCACTACTCACAGTTGGGAATGCATTGATATATTCTCCTATCTTCTTATAATAAACTTGATTGTCCTCTTGGAATGTTGTTGTGAAATAAGGAATCAAGGCTGTGAGACAATCGCTCGATTAAAAGGTGACCAACATCTGCTTCATTGAACTCCATCTCTCTTCGATCATTTATAATAAATTTCTAGCGTCTCTTTCCTAATTGTTCACATTCTTTTTCTATTTATGCTCAACCTCGTTCTCAAGACCACTGAAGAATTGTTCTACCACATCGGTTATACGTTTCTTTATTTCTCGAATTCTCTTTATTGTTTTCTCAGCATGAACCTCAAATGTATTCACATGCTTCTTGATATCGTAATACGAGTTGGTGAATTTCTTCACTAAAATAATGATTATCATTTCATTCTTACATTCATTATTGACATGATCACTAGCTTAATTCAATAACACCTCTAAAGATTCAAAAACTGGATAGGTGCCTTCGTTCACATGCTCTTTAGAATGTAAATGAATGCACAATGGACACAAAGGTATAACACATTAAGGAGCCCTGCACATATTGGATATGTAATATCCTTTGTGATAGTAGCACTCCACCTGTTAAATTTATAATCTCAATCATTACTTATGGGAGATTATTTGAATCAAAGAAAACACTTCTACCAATATTGTCATTTAATTTCTCTGGTTATTGATAAGTACCTTAATCCTATTCATTGTACTCATCCTCGACATTCTCCACAATATTCATTAAATTCGTTATTAAAATTAACGTATAAATACAAATTTTAAATCACATAAAATGCTTTTGCCATATACTTAAAATACATCATATTCCACTTCTATTCAATTTATATACCAACTATATTTAATCAATCAAGCAGTCTTTTTACTTATGAGTCAATTATTCTTAAGAGGTCTGTCCTGTTATTAGATTATAACCCAAATCATATTTAAACATACGTATTAGTAAACTGAAAAGTAGATTTGATCTAGATCTAATATGTCAGAATTTACAATTTATATCAATTTCATAATTAAAAATTAACATATATTTACATCATACAAATACAAAAATTGTTGATTTCAAATGTATCTCAATATCTGTTCTATAAAATTATACATCATTCTTATAGAATTAGAATTAATGAGAAAGGAGTGATTAGAAAATTTGGAATAATAATTGGCTATCAGTTTATAAGATTATTTATATTCTGATTATTTGGTTTGGGTCATGAATTCATATCTTAAATCAATGATATATTTACTTTTTAATTGAATAAATAAAGCTTATGCTTTAAACTTTTGACATCATAAAATTAATTTATTTATTAAAGTATTTGAAATTTAGTTCACTCGAAGGTAAATGTGTTATGGATATGATTGTAAAAGAATTTATAGTTAATACAATACATTAATAATCAGAAATAAAATGGAGGACTAATTAGAACATAACAATAATATTAATTGTTGTTCATTTACAGTTTACGTATAAAGACTATAATATAAAATATTGAATATATATAAAGCTAAGATGTACTATAAAGAATTTAATAACTTTAATGGATTCAATCAAAAATATCAATCATTTAAATTAGAAATGATTGGCCTGTTAATTTGAACCTTAAAATTTCAGGAATGGTTCTATTCACTTTAGAATATCATTTGAAGGAATGTATAAGCATGAATTTTTCTATATTGTACTGATGGTATAAATCACATGTATTAGATATAATAAAACTGTTCTATTGAGAAAATGTTCAAATAGAATAAAGAACTTTTTGAATGATATCACTTTAGATAACTTGTTAGCATTCGTACTTTCTCTATAATTTTGGAGATAATAAATATTTAAATTAATTTTTTAAACCTTTATACTAGCTCTAATTGAGCAAGATATTAATTTTTTGTATAAAAATTAATATCTTGATTTCATTATTTAATTATTAAAATAAATTTTGTTAGATAATGTCACACTAAGTTGATTAAAATGATGAGTCTGGGAGCAATTTTAGTAACGTTTATCCAAATGATCGCTTTAATTATGAGAATGAATGTTTTAATTATCTACTTTCTTCATTAAATAATCTAAATGAAGAAGGTCTTTTGAAATAAGAGAATGAAATTAAAAAAAATACCCAATTTTCTGGCAATAAACTCTTTATCAATAACAGAATAGAGGGTCTTTTGGATGAATACAAGATTACTGAGGAATCGATGGAATGCAATGACGGTGATAATGAAAGAAATGAGGAAATAGAATGCTCAAATAATTTACGTAATCATTCTGGAGGTGATAAGTAAAAGGCGTAACAACAGCCTTTGTAAACGACAGAAAGGATTGCAACAAATAGATAAAGATACACAAAAAAAGATATTCAAAGCTATTAATTAGGAACTGCAAGTCCTATCAAGAAACAAAACAAATAGCAAAATCAAGAAACTAGAAACCTACCTAAATATTTTGGTAGACACATTATAAAGAGAGTTAGAAGGAAATTAGAGGATGAGTAAAATAGTTAAATTAAATCTGAAATTAGCAACAAATTAGATAGATTAGAAATGAAGCAGAGGTAAGAAGGTAAATAAAAAATAAAAAAAATTGAATTCAATCTTAAGTTATTAAGAGACATTTTAGATGAGTCCTATTTTAGAGAACAGGCAATCGAATATTTAACCAGCTTCGACTTTTTGGATGACTTGCTGCAATCAGATAAATAGCAAGACATCAGGCCACAAATCAAATACGTTAATAGAATGTATGAAGGATGTTATGACAGAAAAAAGTTATTAAGATGGAAAGATTCTTGATAATTCCATAAAAATTTAAGAAACAATATATTATATATAATTCTGATTATTTTGTATTGATTCTGAGAATTCTATCATTATAGATCTAAATTATAATTAACTTAGATTTGGGTCATTAGAATCATCTTACCAAAAATTATGATTCATCTGGAAGATATATAGAATTGATTCTTATATATATTAAGGATGCAACTTTTAGTCTGAATGAATAAGATTATATTTCATTTATTGAGAATAACTACTAACAATTATTAATTAGAAATATTAACAATTCATTATGTATTTAATAGAGTTTGATAATGCTCTATCTTTTCAGCCCAAGCCTTTTTATTTTCTGTGATTTACTCAATGAACTCAGATAATTGTGGCAGTATTTGTGAAAGAGTATTATAATAAGGGAGAACCTATTACTATTTTTTGTGTTTTTACCATAAAGTCAATAAATCCTATTTAGCTTTTGGCAACATTCGTTGTCCTTCTGTCACAAAGCATTGTAACTGGAAGTCCTAACTCCTTCTCTCTGTCTCCTTGGTGCCAGAATTCCCCTAAAACTCTAAAGGTCCATTACTCATAGTTTTTCATGGGTTTGAAAGGATTACTGATATCTGCAGCATGTAATAAAGTATCAAAACAAATCCCTTTATCTTTAGATCCAGGGTCAAAATCATTTGAAGCCAATCTTGCCTTCAATTTATTATAATCTAAAATAATTGAATGGAATACCTTTTCCATGCATGGCATTGTCAGTACTTAGAATCATGTTAATTGATTTTTCTCTAAAGTATTTAAAATCTTATAGTGTGAAATGAACCAACAAATCAGTCTCTCTAATGTATCTGAACAAGGTAGCTGCATGATGTTATTCAAGGGGAGACTTATCATTATAAGTCATAGCCAAATCATGTCTAGTGTTGGATAGGAAAATGTTATTTAAGCCTGGATGGTCAGCATCATGAGCTGCAGCAGACATTAAGAGAATAGAGTAGTCTATTTTAGTCAGTTTTCCTATTTCCTTGAAGTTGCATTTTTAAATGAAGAAATAGACAGTATGAGTGACATCAAAGGCATGAATTACGTTATGGTATAAGTTATCTTTGTGATAACTTAATGCAATTTTGTCTACACATTTCTTAAAAGATTCTGGAGAGATCCTCAAGTTACTGAACAATGACTCTTGTTGGAAGTAGTAACACATCAAATGGGTCAGTATGGAACTATCATATTTTTAAAAGAGAGAAAAGTAATCATAATCTAGATTCAAGATGTTTTAATCGAAATCCAGCTTTAATTATTCTGGCAGATGAGATTCATCAGGAAACTATGTATCAGATGACATTGAACGCTTCAAATCTTGAGAAATATGTTGTTGCTATTATTGTTGATAGAGCCATCCCAAAGCTTCACTCTTTTTACCCTCTATTATGGGTTCATAGACAGTGTTGTTGGATATGTGAGTGATGCCCCAATTCAATTGTTTTATAATGTCTGGATCCTCGAATTGATCAGCAAGATCCCTCATTATTTCTATTACTTTTTCGACTGGGGAACGAACTACGTATCTTGTGCCGGCATTATTTATCTTTTTGACTTGATTGTACTGTTCGAAAATAATATTAAAGAAATTTACTTTGCGAAAGACTAAAAATAGCCTTAAAAATCTGAAGATTCCTCTTAAAACTTTGCTTATCGTAGTAAATGCATCACCTTCTAAATTGAGATCGAGAATGATCAAAACGATTGAAGCAATTATAATGAGAGCATCGAAGACTGACCACAAATCGGAAAAGTATGTCTAGTGTATATGAATATGGTATACTATGGGTCCAACATCGATACATCTGATTGAAATTTCTAAAACAAATAGAATGAGAATGACTAATTCAATTATTTTAGTTATAAAGAGAGTCTTTTCTATGTCGGGATCTTCTTTAGCATCGTTAGCTATACAAATTATTACTAAGTAAGTTACATGTAAATGAGAAGTTAATGAACACCAGTAACGTAAAGAGGACAACTAGAATGATGACAACCTTATCTATCAGTGGAATTCCAACCAGCTTTTGATCAGTGATTCTGCAATTATTTTGTAAAAATTTACTCATCCACAACTACACGATCAACCCCATCTATATTGTAAGAAGACCTACGATCTCCCAGAATGTTAGAAATTTCCTTTGAACCTCGTGGAACTACTTTGGCCCCCATTTGACCTGCATTCCTTTTGGAATCCTCATTCAATTGCTATTCTTCTGCCATATAAGTTTATTTTATTAATTAAATTTTCAATCCTTGAATCTTTGTATGTAACTGCAAGAATTACTCATTACTCACTGAGGGTAGAAAGAGAATTCAGGACAAAAACTAAACTTTTAGGTTTTCGGTTTTTTTTCAATAATAATAGTAGAGCTTCAACCTTAAAAATTCTATAATGTTTTTAATAGATTATATTTTCAATCAAATCGAGGACCATCTTCAATTTAGCCATCCAAAACTATTGTAAACAGTATATCTTACTCATATCCTCAATTTTTCTTTCAATGTTGATGTCCTATCCGAACTGGATTTAGAAGGGAAGATTGACAAGCTATTGAAATGGTATCTGAGCTATCATTTGGTTCAAAGGAGGTGGATAAGGAAAAATGATGTGTTGTGGGAAGTAGGGAGGTGGTTGCGGTCTATAAGGGTTGAACTATTATTCTTAAACAGGTTGCGTTTTAATTCTTTTGGTTAGTGATGGTTCAGCAGGTTTCCTCCCTCTTTTTTTTGGTTCGGCTTGTTGACCTGGGTTCTTTGGTTTGGGTCCTCTCTTTTTAGGAATTGCTGATGTAACTACATCAAAACAGGTGTCGTTTTGAAATTTGTTCTCATCCTTGCTTTTATAATCTTCACTTACTATTTTTAATATCACATGAACAAATTCATGTCTGTTAAAACAATTGATGTGATCTGCTGATTTGATATGCTAAATTATTAGATTTCTAAATGTACATCCAAATAATCATCATAAGGTTTACGGCAAACTCCGCAATATCTGTGTTTTCTTCCTGGCTTAGGAATTTACTATCTATATAATGGAGTATTACTAATTTGGTTTTTTTTGTTGTGTATTCCTAAACCTTTTTTTAGTGATCCTCCTTATATTTCTACATGCTCTTTATATAGTCATTCTAATTAAAGTATTCATTTAAATTATACTCGATCCACTTCCAAAATGAACCCTGGTAAGCATTGCTATTCATCCTAGTTGAAAACAGGGACAATATTTTCATAACAAGATAACTACACTATTTAGATCTCATACAGCATCATTGTATAAAGGGCAAAAATCAATGTTGGTAACATTTTTGAGCCAACATTTGGTACTCTTGGGTTGGAGATTGAATTGATGTTCAGGGCATTTAGGTTGACACTTGCGTTTGCCTGAACTTTATAATTTTTCTCCGGCCATTTAAATTAATTATATATTTGATATTCAATTATTTCCCCCTTCCCTTGTAGACATTGGGACACTCCGCAAGAATCATTTGGAAGCTTTTAAATTTTGGAGTATCCACATGTTGAAAACAAACACTTTTCCTTATTAAAAATACAAAAATAATTATTATTTAATTATGCAATATATCGATTAAGGAAGTGCTCTTTCTAATAAAAATGTCCCAGGCAGAAGACTTCAAAAGAAGAACTCCCTCTTCTATCAAGTAACACCATTGTAAATAGAATAGCAAGCCGTGTTAGAAAATGAAGAGTTTACACAACGCTACCAAAAGAATGCCGATGAATTGCAAGTATTCAAGGATGACCCTTACCTTGAACCCCACAAATAGCACTTCTCAGTAAGGAACGCGAAATTCTTCGAACTACTTGAATAGATTGTCAAAGTGGAGTCATCTCTGAAAGATTTTGCCAAGGGGTAACTGGATCTATAAATATTAGATACGAAAAATATGGGTTTTAGGTCTCAGACACTGGAATTACATATAAAGAATGGGCTCCTGGGGCGAAAGAAGTTTATTTGACTGGTGATTTCAATAATTGGGATAAAATGCAATATTCTCTAACTTCAGATTCTTTTGGAAATTGGGAAATATTTTTACCCAGAAATGAAGACGGCTCCTATTTGATACCACACGGTTCACGAGTCAAGACATACATAAAGGATGCCAATAATCAATACTAATTCAAAATTCCAGCATGGATTCGAACTACTTGGTAGAATCAAGACAATAAAGTATTTAATCAATAATAATATATTTAAGTTATATGACGGAGTATTTTATAATCCCGAAAACAAATACGAGTTTAAGTCCAACAGACCACCAAAGCCTAGATGTCTTAAAATATATGAGGTACATATCGGAATGGCTGGTATTGATCCAAGAGTACACACCTTCAAAGAATTCACCCAAACAGTTCTCCCAAGAGTAGTCAAACTGGGATACAATGTCATCTAAATAATGGCAATACAAGAACATGCCTATTATGGAAGCTTTGGATACCATGTTACCAACTTCTTTGCTGTCAGCAGCAGATTTGGCAGTCCAGATGACTTAAAAGAGTTGATTGATACAGCACATTCCCATGGAATTACTGTGTTGATGGACTTAGTTCATAGTCATGCATCCAGTAATGTTTTAGATGGCATTAATCAATGGGATGGCACCGATTATCAATATTTCCATGCTGGTGGTAAGGGGAAACATGATTTGTGGGATTCTAAACTATTTGATTATTCTAAATGGGAAGTGATAAGATTTCTATTATCCAATTTGTCCTGGTGGATTAACGAATATTAATTTGATGGCTTTAGATTTGATGGTGTTACATCGATGTTATATGTTCATCATGGAAATGGCTATGGTTTCACAGGAGGATATCATGAATACTTTAATGAATTAGCTGATATCGATTCATTAGTGTATTTGATGTTGGCAAATGATCTCATACATGAAATTCATCCTAATGCAATTACAATAGCTGAAGATGTGTCTGGTTATCCAACATTGTGCCGTAATATTAAAGAAGGTGGAATTGGATTTGATTACAGAATGGCTATGGCTGTTCCTGATAAATGGATTAAATTACTTAAGGAATTTAAAGATGATGATTGGGATATGGGAGATATCGCTCATACTCTTACCAATAGACGTTATTTAGAAAAATGTATATGTTATGCTGAATCTCATGACTAAGCCTTGGTGGGAGACAAAACTCTCTCCATGTGGCTCTTTGACAAGGAAATTTATAGTGAAATGAGTACTCTTTAGCCAGAAACTTTAGTCACTTTTAGAGGCATGGCTTTACATAAGATGTTGAGATTGATTACATTTGCATTAGGTGGAGAAGGATACTTAAATTTCATGGGTAATGAATTTGGACATCCTGAATGGATTGATTTTCCAAGAGAAGGTAATGGATGGAGTTATCATCACGCCAGAAGAAGATGGGATTTAGCTGACGATTAATTCTTAAGATATTCTAGACTCCTGTAATTTGATGCTGAAATGATCAACCTAGAGGATAAATATCCCTGGTTGCCTAATGGTGAATAATGGGTGACTGAAAAACACAATGAAAGCAAAGTTATTATATTTGAAAGAGGATCCTTACTCTTTGTATTTAATTTCCACCCTACTTAAGTATTTTGTTTTAATTAATATTAGTCATATGAACATTTTAAGGTGGGCACTAAATTTGAGTCAGATCACCAAATTGTTTTAGATACTGATGATGTTAGATTCGGAGGGCACTCGAGGGTATCACCGTCTTATGGTCAGAATTTCCCAATCTTAAAGGAAGAATGGCAAGGCAGACCTAATCATATCCAAATATATTTACCAAATAGATGTGCTATCGTTTTTAAATCAATTGAGTGATTTTTTGTTTAAAAAAGACATGCATATAACGATTAATTTAATTTTAAAATGTATTCACTATAGAAATTAGTGCCAAATAGTAAATTACAAATTAAGCCTGGAGCATTCTCTCAACATCAAAAATTAAATTAAAGTGTCGATGGTGTATTGCCTGTAAATTAATAATCCTTACAGCAACTGCAAACTCAGATACAAATTTTAACTAAAAAAGAACCTATGCGTTAATAAAATAAGAAACAAGAGTTACTATAGATCTTAGAGAATGCCTAAGCAAACCAAAAACAAACTAAATCAATGTCACCTAAAAGAACACCTTAGAAGTAGAAGAGTAACAGAAAATTGAATTTCAATTAAATCACAGATCAGGACAATATATTTTTGAATTCCAGTAATGCCATGGCCAATATGATTATTGAGAACATCTTAAATAAGGATGAATATTATGAGAAAATCAAATTAGAGAACTAAGAACTCAAAGATTAATCTTCCAAATTGTAAGTCACTCTAGGAGATCTCAAAAGGAAAATTACAACTCTGGAACGTCAGAATAAAGAGATCAATACCAACTTAAGCAATGAACGTCAAACCTATCAAAACGAGCTAATAAAAATCAATGAAAAAATTCAATCCATGAAAACTATGCAACAGAACTTATAGATGGAATAGAAGAAAAATGAATTGCTCTCAAAACAATTACAAGATCAAATCACAATTAATAATGGCTTAAAATCTTTTATCTGTGAAAACTGTTTGTAAAGTATAGAGTTCTTAACCTTCTTCTAAAAGTCGGTGTAAACCTTTTAACCACATCTAAGCAATGCCTATGAAATTTTGATTTCGTTATCCAAGTATTCAACATCCTTTATTTTGGAATTTATCTCCAAAACCTAAAATTTGAATTTACCTGCATTGAGAAATTGCCTCCTACCTGAAGAATTTGATGTCAATGGATTTTTTGAGACTTTAGAAGAATTAAAGATGAATGAATCACCAGAATTATCATTTCGAAATAAAAATAACAATCCTGTCAAATAGAGTAATCATGCAAATAGCAATATCAACCTACCAATGCCTGAACCACAAAAATAAAATAAAAACACTTCTTTGTAAGAATAGTTCAATTCATTCCTTGAATCTAGTGAACCTTTCTCGGATTCACAACTAGGGAGTCCTTATTTCACTGATCTAGATACTGTCGATAAGCAACGACCTATTAGTAAGGAAAAGCAAAGAAATTAGATGCCTTTGTAAATGAATGCTGCTAAAAGAATAAAACCAGAAATTAACTAAGCTCCTCATTATTTTTAATCATTCAAATAAAATGATAATGAACTAACAGTTTTCGATTCTCTAATGAAAGAGCCACCAACAAACAAAGATCGATGCTCATCAGTTCATAGTTTAAGATATTTAGATTAACAAATTCAAAAGGAATAAGACAAATCAACAAAAAGAAACAAAGAAAATTAATAAAATAATTGTCAATTCGTGATGGCTAAGTATGATTATAAAGCTTAAAAAGTATTTATTATTATAAATGAAATTAATAGGATATTGATTTGAGTTTCAAGAAGGGAGATTAAATTAAACTACTAAAAAAGACAACAAACGGATGGTGGTATGGTGAAGATAAGAATTAGGTCAAAGGATACTTTCCACATAATTTTGTTCAATTATTAGGATGATTGTAATTAAATAAATTAGTTTTCATTTTTTGATCTTAACTTTCCAAAACATATCGATTTAACAATTTTATAATTTCTTATGTAGATTCTATGACTAAATTGCTATTCTTTTCAACTTAATCTGAAATAGAGACACAATGAAATTTCTATGTAATATAAACTATAATACTTTGTTTAATGGCATGTTGGCGGATTAAAATATCAGCATTATCTTTTCTAACCATCCTCTATCAAATGAAATGATATTAGCAAATGACACCAATCCCTTTTAATTTGTCTCATTTATTATTATCATCCTTAACAATTCCTCTATCTGTTGATACTAATGTTTGATCTATATAGTATAATTCTCCTAAAAAACCAAGTAGTCATCAAATTCTATCTTTAACTCTTTAATTAAATTAGAAAAGAAAACATTTGCTGCAGCATTTGTATCTTTAACTTTCTCTTTTAAAGACAAAGTGTAAATTTAATTTTTCTCAGTTAAATTCAAATGTTCCATAAGAGATAATTACTATAACTTACCTTCAATTTGATCGTCTTTCTCTATAATTTATTAGAAGGAGGTGAGATTATTTTACTTTATAAAGAGTCCATCCTATGCAATCATATATAAATTATTGATTGATCCAAAGTTCAATTCCAGAACTTCAGACTCTTAATCAGATACAATAATAAGGGTATTATTCTCATCCTAAGCTAATTTTTCAAGTGCTTAAACTAATTAATCTAAGTTTTAGATTTTCTGCACAAATCTCTTAGTATAAGCTAAAATTATAATTCTCTGATTATCCTAATGATTGCTATTAGAGAATTTAGACACAATGTTGGTGGTTTCAATTGAACAGAAGTGTTTATCCTTTAATCCAATTGTTAATTCTTTGGCTGAATCATATAATTATTTATCAAGCCAAGAATCTTCACAATAACTCAAATGATCATTCAACCTAAGTAACCAATCATTACTGCTTGGAACATTAATAAATGTTGGTTTCTTATCATTCAAGTAATTCAAAATAGCTTGAGCTGATTCTATAGTGTTATTTGGATTGATCTTCTTGTGGTCTACTTTTAATGAACACCATTAACTCAAGACTAGCTTAGCTGACTTCTTTCTAGATTATCTAATATAGATATATTCCAAATAGTTCGAAGATATGCTTTCTCTTAGGGGTGTTTTAATGAAGATATCAGTCTTTCCGTATAGACTTATTAGTTCACTTTAGGATAGATCTAGCTTTATTTAAATTAATTCCTATTGATATTTCTAATTAATCTATTTGGCTATGGTTTTTATTTCTTCCAAGTATTTTTATATCTAGCAGTTACTCTAATACTCTTCATCATTATTTGTATATAAGATTTGAATCAATTAAATCCTATATTACTTTAGTAAATGCATCTACTCAACTATTTTGAATTTCTGCTGTAGACCACTTAAAAGTGATAGACTATCAACTCCAAGAAGTGTGAATTATTCTTCCTAGACAGGCTCATCTGCTGTTATTAAATTTTGTAATTATCTGATATTGAGACCGACACTTCCATAATCCAATATGATTTTTCTGCCTAATACTTCAATAGTAAATGCACTCACACCTTAGACCTGTGTTAGTTTCTGGTATTTTTATGGTAAACAATGCACAAATTGATACAAGTCTTTTAATTGTATTAATGAGATCAAATCACTCATTAATATAGACGATAAAATAGTTTCGCTACAAGATAATATTCTAAACTATTTTGGATTTGGAAATGATCTTCTCATTATTATACATATTCTTGGTCTGCTCTCATTCTTCCTAATCAATCCTTCCTTGATATAGATTGGAATCAAATAAAGGTGGTAATCAAAAATGAAGATAGAATGCAAATGACAAAATTAATTTTGAAATAGTGTACAATTTAGTGCTTCTTGTACATATTTTGCAAATATTTTATTGATTTCCATATAATCATCTTCTGAATGCAATCGCAATTATGGGGTTAAATTATTGAAGATTGGACTTATCAATTAAGGGAAACACTCTAATAAATCCTCGTCTATTTAAATTCCAAAACACTTGTACTATTCGTAAACATGTTATTAAATTAGAATGTATTCATTTTCATCCTAAACTTAAATTCCCATCCATCCAATCCAAATCGCCTTCAGACTTAATCTGTTGCTAAAGAGATTGTACATATTGGCATAATAAGGATCTGAGGTCAATTCAAACTTGTATTTGTTTGTTATATCTTGATATAATTACTATTATAAACATACCCTGTTTGTTTTTCACTTAATGAAATTAATCAATTAAAGTTATTTTTATAGGTATCTTCAACGACAAACAAATCACATAAGAATCTATGAGTATTTGAGTTGAGTTGGATCGCTTCCTTTTGTAATCGAATATCAAATCAGGCGATCCATATTATTCAGATATTTTTCTAAATTTAGAAATTGACTTTAACTTTTGTTTACTTTCAAAATGACTCTAATTTAGATTACCTTATTATATTACTTTGATTAAATCTCGCCAATCGATTTCTAATTAACGAATGCTTGTGGGACCTCTAACTTCTTTCGCATATTCTGGAATACTTTCATTATCGGACTTAATATTTAAAGATTAACATACTGAATCTATGGCCATATCAAAGGGGTTATAGTCTCTTGATCGATTCATTTTTTAAACTTTCACTAAAATATAATTAACACAGATGCATACTTAGCTCTTCTTGAACAAATTCATGTGATATTTCGTATTTTTAAAAAGTTCTAATGTTCATTTAAGGATCATCAAATTTTATATATAGGAAATTGCGCCTAAAATCGCACTTGTGAATTCTATTTGGGATATTCTCCCATATATAATTATCTCCATCTTAAATTAGACACTTGAATTCTAATATAAAACCTAAGAATAGCTCAATATGATTCTTAACTTGGATCAATTTGAATTTTGCTTTCCTGAGTCCATTCAGGGTAAGTATCACTTGAGGTGCAGAGCAGGTAAGAATCATGAGGATTCCATTGACCTAGAAGGGGATGATTACCACAAATTCGAACAATTTGTGAATATTTAGTCTCTTTTGTCACCTTAAAACTAATGTATGACATCTTAAATTATGGGAATTATAATTTATTTAATAATTGAAGAACTGATCTTTCAGGGAAATAAATGATTTTGTAAGAATATTTCTTTAAATCCTTTTGATACTTCTATTTTTATCATAGATCTTTATATTCGATTATAATATGAGTATACTAAAATTGAATTAGAAATAGAGAAGAGTTTTGAACAATTATGGATGAGTTTTGAAAAATAATATAAATTTAAACACTCATGATTCTGTTGAATATGCTTTTAAAGTATTTTGAAGGTGAAATTATATACATTATCTAATAAATAGTCAATATCAAAATTAAGATTTAATATTTTAAATGTATCACTAAATGGGTGGGTTAAATATTGTGTGATTGAAATATTAAGTGAAAATCTATGAAATTAGACATCAATTATGGGACTGTTGACTTAATTCATTTTTATAAATACTTATTAAAAAAGGAGAAAAATGAAAATAGTAGTGTACATATGTTAAAAAAAAATACAAATCCATTTAGGGCAAATAAATTATTATATTTAGAAGTAATTGAATAGAAAAAAAGTATTTAATTTAAAAATTGGGTGTTATATCAATTAAAAGGGAGAGATGACATATATAGATTTCAAAATGATGGACCATTTTCAGTGAAAATTTAAAAATTTTCATTTTCATTTTCATTTAATTTGCTTAGTAAAGTATAAAGTAATTTATAATTTCAATTTGATAATGAATGAAAATATCTAAAATATATGATGAGCACTTCACTGAAGTAGAGTATAATCAATAATATTAATGAAGAGAAGAGAATTAAAATTAATTAGATGTTTTTAATCGATTCAATAAAATAATTTAATTATAAATAATATATTCTTAACCAAAAAAGAATAAAAAATGAATGGTTGTTGTTGATTTTATATATGTTGTGATAAATATCACTTAGATTATCATTATTCTCCTTCTTCTTCAAATTCTCCCTCTTCTTCAGCAGTGGCATCTTGATATTATTGATATTCAGAGACTAAGTCGTTCATGTTGGATTCAGCTTCAGTGAATTCCATTTCGTCCATACCTAGAATAGATTAATATAAAGTTGATACCTTCACCAGTGTACCAATGTAAGAAGGCCTTTCTTCTAAACATGGCAGTGAATTGTTCAGCGACTCTCTTGAACATTTCTTAGATGGCAGTGGAGTTACCAACAAAGGTAACAGCCATCTTCAAACCCTTTGGTGGGATATCACAGATGGATGATTTGATGTTGTTGGGAATCCATTCAACGAAGTAAGATGAGTTCTTGTTTTAAACGTTAAGCATTTATTCGTCGACTTCCTTGGTTGACATTCTTCCTCTGAAGAGAGCTGATGCTGTCAAATATCTTCCGTGTCTTGGATCAGCAGCACACATCATGTTCTTGGCATCAAACATTTATTAGGTCAATTCAGGGACTGTAAGAGCTCTGTATTGTTATGATCCTCTTGATGTGAGTGGGGCGAAACCAATCATGAAGAAATGGAGTCTTGGGAATGGAATCAAGTTGACTGCCAATTTTCTCAAGTCAGAGTTCAATTGACCTGGGAATCTGAGACAGCATGTAACTCCTGACATAGCAGCTGAGACCAAGTGATTCAAGTCACCATAGGTTGGGGTTGTCAATTTCAATGTTCTGAAACAGATATCATACAAGGCTTCATTATCAATGACCATGCATTCATCGGCATTCTCGACCAATTAATGGACTGAGAGGGTGGCGTTGTATGGTTCAACGACTGTGTCAGACACTTTTGGTGATGGGACGACTGAGAATGTTTCCATGATTCTGTCTGGATATTCCTCTCTGACCTTTGAGATCAACAAGGTTCCCATTCCTGATCCGGTACCTCCTCCCAATGAGTGAGTGATTTAGAATCCTTATAAACAATCACATCCTTCAGCTTCCTTTCTAACTACATCCAAGACTGAGTCGATCAATTCTGCACCTTCGGTATAGTGACCCTTGGCCCAGTTGTTACCAGCTCCTGTTTGTCCGAAAACAAAGTTATCTGGTCTGAATAATTGTCCGAATGGTCCAGCTCTGACAGAGTCCATAGTTCCTATAATTCATTAATTTTATATCATACCTGGTTCCAAATCCATAAGAATAGCTCTTGGGACATATCTTCCTCCTGTTGCTTCGTTATAGTAAACGTTGATTCTTTCCAATTGAAGATCAGAATCTCCGTGATATGTTCCTGTTGGGTCAATACCATGTTCGTCTGAAATGACTTCCCAGAATTTGGCACCAATTTGATTACCACATTGTCCTCCTTGAATATGAACGATTTCTCTCATTGTGACGGTTACGAAAAAGGATTTTGATTTTTTTAATGTTTGAAATTTGAATTTCCTCACAGCTTTGAATCATAAAATTCACCCCCATTCCCAAAATATCTTAATTAATTCATAACTGATTATATATAGTTATACGCAATAATTATTCAAATTTAAACCATCCTCATTCTCATCGTTCATCTCAACCATCCTTCTCCCCCTCTCTCCTCGTCCAATCTAATTGCTCTCATCTTCTAACTTATTTGGTCGAAACTTGCATTCATTTATTTTTTCACTTCATTGCCATATTAAATCCTCCTTCTTCCAACAAGGTGTATATTAACCTTTTCCTTCTTGCTCCCAATAATCATCCGATTTTGAAACTTGCATCAATTTATCACATTTTATGATAATGGACAATAATTATTTAATATTTATATAATAGTGAATATCATACATATTAAATTTCATTCCTTTTTCTTATTGACAAAATAAAGTAAATTAATATCATATATATGGTACCAGAAATACCAAATAAGAAGGAATAATATATTAAAGATAACTAAAGCAAGTGTTTAAATGGTTCTACCAGTTTCTCCAGAAATTGTAATTCCATGAATATATGGGTCATCAACATGTCTTAGTTACAATGATAGGTTTTCAAAACTTGTAGCTTCATCATCTATTAGTTCTTTATAAATAAAACCATTCTTAAAAGCACCCTCCTTAAAAAATATAATTTATCCTTCTTCATTGATAACTTTAAACAAATATCAGTCAAAATATATAATTTTTCCCCCTTCCAATACCAAGGAGTTACAGGTATGCCACTTGACATATTGCATTATGGCAATTTTTTTATAATTTTTTATGTTTTTAGTTTTGATATATAGAGTTATAAACAATATGTTTGTGGCAACATCATGTTAGCCAACTTCTGATCAACGAACCCAAAAAATTCATGAAAATTTATTTTCTAGTAGTATGTTGTATTGTTGGTTTCAAAATAAGGATCGTAGTGATTTTAGATGAATCTGAATTTTTAATCATTGAGTTCTCCGAGTATTGAGTATTGTCCAAATTGCTTTTAATTCAAGTTCAGAGACCAATCTATAGTTTCCTAGATAATAGTTACAAATTACTTTTTCAATTATAAATTGCTATTGGAAGTCCTCTTATTGGTAAGGTAGAATAAAAAAGGAACACGAAAATAGAAGTAAGATTAAATCAATAATGCATATGGCATAAAATAGAATACAAAAGAATCTATTTGGAATGAGTTGCTGTATTTTAAAACAATCACATCTAACAAGATAAACTTATAACATAAATTATTAATGTATTTCAATACGATTATCTTTTTAACTATTGATTCTCTTGTTCTAATTATGAGATTCTCTAAACTAGATTGCTTTGTTCCTTCATATACTGATCCAAGAGTTGTTGCATTTCATTCTGTTAAATCTAGAACTGTCTAATCATGTCAATATGCATCGAACTAACACTATCTTAAACAATCTTTTTTAATTGATATGATTATTCATTGATCTGTTGCTGAATGAATTTCTTCTACTCATCAGTGAAGCTAGATAGAAGTAAAAATAAAGCAATTACTCGTTTTATCCTCCAATAACTCTGCTCACCTCGTATTTTCTAGAGATGTCCTCGATTTTGCTAGTACTTTAGTCAAATTTAGATTACTAACTTGATTACACACGAGATTGGACTATTACCTAAATAAATTGGATTTAGTTTACATTGATCATATTGCATTTGCTTTTGTTACTCAATCTTAATCATTGACTCCTTATTACTCAAAGCATTCAAATCCTTACTACTATCCTTCTTAATATCCTAAATAGTTGGGGATTTAGCTTAATTGATCTTTAGTTACGATTGCACACTCAAGTTGCTTTCATTTAACAGTCTTTATGATGCTGGAGGTTGTTGAGATTACGCTTCAATGTTTTAATATTCCATATAGTTTACACTAGAGTTGTCGTGTCCTCTAAACTGCAATTTAGGCTTTTAGGTCATTCTTATATCGTACACATAGATCTATCCATAGAGAGTGCCCACGGTAACAGAATAATCGTCATTTTGCATTGCCACTGAATTCAATGGATTTTCACACGCAATTGTATGAGTTACCTTTTTATCAACAATACTATAAAGATGACATTTTTAATCGGTTCCAACACTGCAGACTAACGATTAAGTAACACTTAGTCCTGTCACTTTACTTGTATGTTAGGATGAGAAATTGCAATGATATTCATTTTTATTTAGATCAAAGATTGTCACAGACCCATCATTACTGCCTGAACACAAGAGATTTTTGCTCATAAACTTAACTGCCTTAAATCCAGGGGTTTTTGATCCTTTTAAATTGAAAGTGGATACTGCTATCTATGTACTTACATCATGGACAAGAATATCGCCTACGTTAGAAGCACTTGCAATTAGGGTGTTTGCAGAATTCCAATGTAAAGAATTAATCTATGAATAATGTCCTTTGAGATGACTTTGAATAGTTTTCTTTTTCAAATCCCATACCCGCACAATTGAATCATGACCTCCACTTGCTAAATATTGACTATTTGATGTGAATGAAATCGCATTAATTGCTTTTCCATTATGCTCCAAAGGCAGAAGTGATTAACCATCAGTAGATCGACTCAAAACGATAACTCCATCATTGCCGCAACTTGCAATTACACAATCTATTAAATAAACAGTATTGATACTATTGTGATTCCAAATGCAACAATTAATACTAGATTTATGTGGACTGATTCTTAAAATAGGGTCCATTGATTAATCATGTATGAGAATACTTTTACCACATGAAACCAATTAACTCATTTCAAATATATAATATAATTTTTGATAAAATAATATTCATATTTTGCGCCAACATATTTAATATCATTATCATCTGTTCTCATTCCATCCATTTTATATTTATTAATCACATTTAGCGATTTAATTTTCCATTCTTTCTCATAAGAAAATATTTTAAATTTTAGGTATTTTAGATAAAATTTATATATGATTTAATAGAATTTTGCAATATTTAAGTAACTTTTTATATTGGGTGATTTTAATATAAAAGTATAATTTTGTTGGAATTTTCTGATCATCACCAATCTGGCTTAATAAATAGATAATATTATAAATATATTATTTTAAGATAATATTATAAATATATTATTATTAATTCAACTCTTTATTGCTTTAAAAAATTATAACTTATTTATCCTTACTAGGTTTATTTTAATTTATTAAGTCATTATCACATGTTTTTTAAGCAATTTCTTACTTTTAAATCACGATACTGTGAAATATAACTTTTAGATAGTATCATATTTCATCTAAATATATATATATAATTAAACCAATTCTAATACATATAATTCATCTCTTTATTAATGCATTAATTAATATAATAATATGCATAGTAGACAACATGTTTCAATAAAGAACCTTGATTAACCCAAATTGGATTCAACTCAAGTTCGTCGTAAGAGTTGTGTTTGTGAATATTGTGGGACTACAGCTCTGAAAGAAGATCGTCTACCAAATTAATTATGTGAAATAGCCTACCACAAATAAGAACGAATTGGCTGATGTCTTTTTGAGTAAATTGGAAGGAGCAAGAAAATATATGAGGAATGACCAAAAAAAAAAGAATTTCAGAATATACGCCAGAAATCCACTATTTATACTACGTTCTCAGCCTGATCTGGAAGAAAGTATGCATCTTCCAACTTCACCTACAAAGGCTCACACTCCAGAAAAAGAACGTTTAAAGACCGAGCAACCTTAGATTGCTCCTTATAGATCCTACAAATACATTCCCACTTCAAATTGCTTTCTATAAAATATGAAGTAACAGGTTATGCGTTCTAACAAAACCATCAATCGATTACTCACTGATAGAAAGGTAGTGTAATCATTTCAGTTTTCCACTTCTGACAAACTACCAGTCACGAAATCTCCTTAAAAAAATAAAAAAAGCTTTATTAAATAACTGAAGCCTCTTCCTAAATAGAAATTACTTTAAACTAAATTTGACTGCATGATCAGATAATTTTTTAACTCATCAAAAGCCAAATAATTCTGATGAAATGATTATAATTTTTTTGTGTTTATTAAACATTATTCGATGCAAGAGACTGAGCAATCAGAAAAAGATATGATAGGTTCTCTTCTTGATGGTAATCACTTTTCTTAATTCCGTAGACGACGAATCAAAATGCTCAGAATTTCGATCTTCCATTACCAAATCCCAGTAGCATTCACAATCTGTAATTATAATATAGATTTCTTTTAGCCAATCAAAAGTTTCAAGGATCTAAAAGAGAGTCCTGTTATAAATGAGGATCCCAAGTATTCTTAGAAATATTGATCTAGTTAACAAGAATTTCCTGCTGCCGATCCTAGCAACTTCTATATTACAGTGTAGCCGACATTCATTCAGCAACGACAACATTCCTTAAGTCACGAATTCCACTCATACATGCTGCCTCAACAACCAGTTTACTATCCTTGTCAAGAAGGCTATTTCTCTTAAAAAAGAACAAAAAAATTACAATTATAAACAGAGATTGATTCAACAATTGTACAATTTATTTAATTAAACTACCTTAGTCACAATAATGTTAAGATCAATACGCCTCTTTGATTATTCAATAGTCGTTCATCTAAGGAAATGAGTATTAAAGAGAGAAAATATTTAAAGGCCTAGTTGATGATTTACTCCTACTGTCAAAACACAAATTTGGAAACTATGTCATCTAGAAGATAATTGAAAACAGTAATCAAAATACCAGAACACTTATTTTTGAGCAATTAAACCCTCATATTTTAGAATTGTCTTATGACAGATTTGGTTGTAGAGTGATACAAAAATTGCTAGAATTTATTCTCAATTAACTAAAAGTCTAACTCATAAATTAACTCAAACCATACGCCTTAAAATTAATATTCGATCAGTGTGGAAACCATGTTATTTAAAAAATAATAGATTTGGTTACTGATGCTGATTTTATTATAGATCTGGTGACAAATAATGTAGATAAAGTTGTATCCCATCCTTATGGATGCAGAATAGCTTAGAAATGCTTAGAAATGTTTCCCAACGATCAATTGTAGGCACTTTACATATCTTTGATTCCACTATGTGAAAGATTATCATTTTGTTAATATGGGAATTACATTGTTTAAAAAATGATAAACTCAGGACCCCCAAAAGGATTTGAAGTCATAGGAAAGTTTATCAAGCAAAGAATAATAGAAGTCAGTTAAGATAAATACGCTAGGTAAAATTGTTAAATCTAATGTAGTAATGTAGCTCAAAGGTACATTACTTTTGCTTAAGATGAGGACATTGCAAGCATTTGCAAGATTCTCATGAATTAAACTGTGCCACCCATGCTATTAATTTTGATTAATAATTCCTTTGGAAATTATGTAATGCAAAATTTTTATTCGAAATGCAATGATAAATAAAAAGAGTAAATTCAAATTCAAGTCTCAAAATACGAAGAACATTAATTCACTTAATTTGGTACTTTAAATTTAATAATAACTATAATAGGTCGACATTTCTTATAATATTTAGCCAGATTTCATGCTTGTTGATTGTTTTATTTTTATTTTATATATGAATATTAATATTATGTATATTTTTATAACAGTTAAATTAGAAATACAAAGAAACAATATCAAAATATATTACATTTTGGCGATTATTGTGTTTATAATTCAAATTACTTTTTTGGCGTATAATTATAAACTTAAAATTACTATTGATTCTGCTGCTATTTCTCAATTCTCTTTTACTTCTCAATAACCTCCTTTTTGATGTCATTTGTATTAATTTTCAACTATTTATTGTCACTGTATATCAGCCACTTCAGCCATTCCTTTTTAAAGTCCATTTGATTATTTAGAGTATCTATTCTTGAATACGTCTTTCTAGGCTTCTAATTATTTTACTTTCCATCCAAATAATGTGATAACAATAAATTTAGAATGCTTTGAAAGAGTTTATTTTACCTTACAGATTAACAATCTTTAGATAAGGTAAAGATTTCTCCTATTGGCACATAAAAATATCTGATTGGATGAATCAAAAGATCAAGATTCTATTCCTAATCAGATTTTTATAGATTGTACAATAACCCTAAGATTTGTTTTTCTTCACTTACTCTCAACATGTCTGATTTTAATAGTGAATAGAGTGTGTAATATGGTAATTAACATAACTTTTCGTTATAATTATATCCACACCAATGCATGAGAGCAGAATGAAGTGGATCTTCTTGTATGTATACCTTTAACCATAATTAAGAATTCACAGTTTATATATCCTCAAATCCCACAGTGTGAAATTAATTTGTTGGATAAGTATGATACATAACTCTCTCATTGCTCTATTCTTATTTGTTAAGTATGGCTACTTTAACTAAGACACTGATAAAATTCAATTTGGTATACTAAGGTAATGATTCATCCATCAAATTATCTTCAAGATTCATGTACTTTAGATTATTTTTTATTGAACCCCTTTCTTGCAAATAGATTGATATGATATTCTAATCATTAATATCAATGATCAATCTCCAAGCAAGACTTTAGGAGGCAAAACATTCTGAAATCACAATTGAATTACCAACCACATTGTTGATTTTCATTTCATAAACCAATTTGTTGATTTTACAAGTATTTGCATTTTATTGGTAAAATGAATATTCATCAAACAATGATTCAGAATAATGAAATTCTTAATCAGTAAAAATAGAGCTTCTCCTTCTTTTGGTTTCTTGAAGTCTTTAAGGATAAACAATAATCTAATTATTTAATAGAGGCAAATTCTATTCGAATTGATGGTTCGTGAAATCTTTGTACTTGAATCCACAATTAGATAAATGGTCCATAGACAATTACTTAAGTAGATCTATTTGTTAACATTGCTTTTTTTCTGTAATCAACCACAATAAATTGTCAACTCCTTCGAAATCAGTCTACATTAAAGGTTGCTAAACTAGAAAATATATTTCCTCCGGCGTCATCAAATCAAATATTTTCTTGTATCTATTTTACATCTATTAATCTTAAATTATGGAATCATCCTATCTCCCTCTAATTTGATTGATTATCGTTCTGCAATTTAATGAAAAGTAAGTTACTGTATAAACATAAACAAATTTAAAAATGTAAGAAAGGTGGGAGTTCTAATTCCTAAAACCTATAACATACCAATCCAGTACAAATTCATTGATCATCATAGGAATTACAACTCTACTTATCAATTATTCTATCAATTGATATAACTCTAATTTCTCAGCCAATCTATAAAATTTAATTGATTAATGGATTCCTACTTCATTCCATTCAGAATCTGTCAGTTTACCCAAGTAAATGTATTTGTAAACCAAATCAAATAACTATAAGTTGTCAACTTACAAAATTAACTCACATTATTTAGTTTCTAACAATTCCTTGAAGTAGTTGGAAACCTAAATCAAAACTGATTTATGAGATTTGTATTGATAATCATTAACTAGTAAAACAATGTCTGAAAATTTCTCATTTCGATACAATGCATTAAAATTGTGATTTTTGTGATCTAAAAATAACCAAATTATTTACATCTTGTCGATTAACTTAATAGACCTTATTCAATTTCTTACATCTTTTTTTATGCTCTATTTGATCTCAAATCTACAAAGTCGTAAGGGTGGATTGAATTAATTTTGAGTTTGCATTTGAATGGAATCTCATTGTCCTTTATTTAAGCCCCTTCCTTCTAGAGTATTTTTTAAGTATTTGACAATTAAAATTCAGATTTTTTTTGTTGCTTTATTGATTAACGTATAGAATATCTATAAGATGTTTTGTTTTAAGGTTCAGGATTTGAAGTTCTCTTCTTTATGATAACAGATTCATCTTGTTTTTGAGGACTAAAAGACCACTTTTTAGGAGAAATCTCCAATTAAGGTTCTTCAAAATAATACTGCTCTTCAGGCTATTATATTTATAAATTATTTGGATATTATTGCAACTACTGATGATATTGCATCATTTGATATTGTAATTACTATTATTAATATAATTGCTATTGTTATTATTATTAGAATAACTATTGCTATTATTATTCATAATAATATTATTATTGTTATTATTAGTATAAATATTATTACTATTAGTATTACTATTATTGTTGCTGCTGATAATCTTTATTTTAATTTAAGAATAGCTGTGGTTGTTAATTATAGAATTAATTTTGTTATTATTGTTATGAATATAATTCCTAAGTTTCAAAATTGCGATTAGAAGTGTGCTATTAAGAACTACCAAAATAGAGCGACTCAACATTGTAAGGTTAAAATATTTGTTAGCTTTACTACAAATTATTCGAAGGATTTTCTACTTCCCTACACAGATCTTAATAAATATTTTGTAACTATTTTGGATCCAGCAGATTGCTTAGATGTTCATTAATAGCAGAATCCTGAGTAGTTACAGTTTGATTTCTTATTTCTGAGATTGTAGACTATTCCTTGTGAGTCAGAGGAGCATATGGATTATGATGTTTATCCAACATTTAAGAATCAGAACTGGTTAAGCCGTCTATAAGACTAGGAAATTTAGGGGCATTTAGGTATTTGGACTCTAAATTTTTGGTATACAAATCCAAATCATCAGGCTTTGCACTGGATTATTCGTATTGGTTTTCTTCAATTCGAAACAATTATAAATTTTTAGAAGTGGTTTATGGTACTTTTGGATGGTGCTCTTGTTCAAAACCTGTGAACTTTTAGCCTTTGATTTATTCTATTTTATATTATAGATTTGATTTAATAGGTTGAAGAGGGTCTCTAGCTGAGAGTAAGTACAGTTATTTGAGAATAGGGTGGGATGGAGACTGCAATGACTTTTATTCTTTGAGTTAGACTTCTCCAATTTAGGATTCACAAAAGAATTGGAGAACAGGAGTATTGCCAAATTTATGAGAAATCAAAGGTAGTATCTGTGTACTTGAGTTATCAATAAACAAATCGAACAACCAAACGTTTTGATTGTCTAGTGTGATCTATTTTTATTTGGTATCAGTATCTTATAGTTCATAGTATTAATCTCCATCAACAAATTGCATTCCACTCAATTAAGAATGATAATTCAGCCATCCTTGAATGTGGAGTCCAGTGTTCTTTTGAGTAATGGAGTCAACAATCACATATTTGGATTGCAATACGATTAATAATAGATAGAAATTTGAGTTTTCATAAAGATGAATATAACAATGCGTTAAATGCTACTAATAAATGATGGGATTGTTTATTTGCTTATTGAACATCGATTTAAATTTTTATTTGGTGGAATCTGAGAGTCGACTACAATATGGTAATTTAGAGATATACTTGCGATATCCGCTAATGAGTTTAGAGTAATCGTTGGTCTTCTATTTCATTATGTGATCAGATAGGAAATGGATATCTGTCCCAAAATTATTGATTACAGCCAGGATGTCATTTGGATTGATGCATGGCGATTGCTTGGGTAATTGTGAAATATGATTACTTGCATTTCACTGTTCTATGAGATGGATTCAAATAAGGGGGTGAGACTGGTATCAAAATATAGAGGGTTTCCTCTTACACAATTCAAATCCCTAAGCAATTCAACTGCAAATTAATTTAACATATATAAAAAGTTCAAATTTTATATTGAATTATTTTGATTAATCCATAATTTCATATATTACTTATCTTATAACTGCAATTGTAATTTGAAGTGATTCTTTGCTTGAAATCATCAGAGGTAGAAACAGTGACTTCATCTCGGACAGCAAAGGTTTGTTCTTTGGATAGAGAGTTGCTCTTCACCTTATTGGCTAAATCATCAACACTTATTCCCATGGTTTAAGTGATCATGCCTTGTCCATACACCTAAAGGGAGAGCTTTCCTGAAGTGAAAACCTTGTCATAAAATTAAAATAGATCCTGTTTTGTAACCATACCAATATACTGTGCAGCAATATCCTTTTCTTCAAATGCCAAATCATTATTCTTAATGTGTGACCAAGTGCTTCTTGCCTTGTCCTTAAGATTCTTCTCAACTTCCTTCAATCCGGATATCTAAAATTATGATAGAATATATTACAGTGGTTGTTTTGAGTTCCTCAAATTATTGATCAGTCATCTCTTTCAATTCTCGTCCATAATTAATTAAGAACTCTTCTATATGTTAATTCACAACATAGGGAGGTTTCGCTGTTCCCTAAACCAAAATTTGAGCACTGTCCAAACAGCCAACAGGCTTGAATTTGACACTTACAACATAACCCAATTATAATTATGTACGCAAATAGGCATATGCTGCATTGTGGAGAATCTTATATAATAAATTCATCATTGCTAATTACTTCTAATCTCTGTATCCAATTTAATAATAATTCAGAGTAACACCATTTGTGTCCAACTAATTAGTAGACTTAGAGACCATTGAATATACAATGGACTTACGACTCAAATCTGAAACTTAAGAGACGTGATTCTAAATTCTGATATGTGAAGTTGATTCGTCAAATATCTTGGGAATTTGATTTTGTAAGGATTGCACTTCATCTCTCAAAATATTTCCTGTGAAATAAGTTGTGAATCTGAAATTCTCTAACATCTCTTTCTAAAACTCAGCCAATTCATTCCTAGATACTGAATTGATTTCATCAATCATCTAAGAAGGAGTTGGTTAACCTTGAATAATGGTTGGTAATATAACAGAAGTGGCTTAGATGAATAATTTTTACTCAAATGTATTGCTCAATTCAGTAATTTAACTTAATTTAACTCTGTTCAAAAGATCATCATCACTGATTTCTTTCTTAATCTCTCTTAACACATTCTTATAGAAGTATTCAAACTTATCACTCCATCCATACATTTCGAGTGATAACCCTTTCATGGATGAATCAAATGACAACTCATAACCAGCTTCAAATGATTGTTAGAGTGACTTGTACAAATTATTAGACACGTAACTATTAAATACTTATAACAATGCCACTTTCTTTAATGATTTCATATCAACAGCTGTTTCGAAATTCATACCCGCATAAACAGTTGGACTATATGATCTATCCAATCTCCACCATGTTTTACCTTCAATGTCCTTCTTAATCAATTATGGAAAGTGATTGTATTGTTCATATTCAAATTCATGTTCCTTACACTCCTTCTTCGATGTGAAATAGAATGGCATTTTGTGAGTACTCTCAATGAATATATTCTATCTATTTTTTCTATCATACAAAGTGTCTGAATCAACTGATTAAATATATGAAATGTGTTGTTAATCACAAAGTGACTTAAAAGCTAAATTGACTGGAACATAATGATTAATCTATGGCAAACTTAGTGGAACGTTTTCTATCATCATGAAATCCAAACTGTCCTTCTCCATTGGCTTAACATCGTATTATATATGATAGAGTTCATTAGAAAATTGTAGTTCACTCTAAGTGATGAAATCAGCATCACTGACCTCTGCATTCTACTATAACAACAAGGTTGATGGCTATTAAAATGATAAGAAGGAAGCCTTTAATTCCTCGCTTTCAATTTCCTCTTAAACTAATTTATATCCATCATCTCCAACCATGATCAACATGTTATTTGGATTCATTAGATCTGCTAAATAATTATATATGCATTAAGGATCATATTTAAAATAACTGGTTTCTGCATTTAATACATATTTTGGTGGGAATGTATTCAGATTGTGTGACAACTTAAATATGTCTATGTCCTTCTCCAAAAATTTAAATTAAACATCTGACATAGCCTTCTTTGTCTTATAAGTTTCTTCTAAGAAATCAGTAGGGTTCTATTCTTCATCATAGAATTTGTGAATCTATTCTTCAAAATAGGATACTATGGCTTATCCAATTTATAGAGCATAATCCTTTTATTGCCCAATCAATGTTTCACTTAATTCAACTTCAATCAAGTAGAATTAGAAACAACCATTATTACCTAAAAATGGCTAAGCATCCATATCAACTATAAGGTTCTTACTAACTAAGTAGTTATACAACCCTCCATCATGTCTTGATCTCACTATTGAATTAATAAATTGAATAGGTTTAGTTTCAAAGTATTTAGTACTATCTTCTAATTGATAAAAGTAGATTACTGTCGTTGCCCTTGTGTTGATGTGATATTTCACCAATTTTGCAACATCCTTTATTGGTAGTCCAAAATGAGCCAAAGATGGTTTTTCTATTCCCAAATTTGGAATTTTTAAGAACTCACTAGATTCAATGAACTCTTTCATCTATTCAATCGGTTATGAACTCTTGATCACCAAAGCCATCTGATTGGATGAGTAATATTATTCATGAAACTTTTTTAAGGCTTCAACAACATGAGGCTTAAGTAATGACTATAAATTTCCAATAGTGAATCTACTCATTGGATGTTTAGGATCTGACATTAAACTCATTAGATGCAATATCTTCCATCCATCTCCTGCTACATTTATCTCATACTCAGAATTCACTGCATTCGCCTCCTTTTAGACCATCTCTTATGATAAGAGAGGGTCTATGAAAAAGTGAGCGAATACATTCAGAGCCTCACTTGTTCTACTGGTGTCTATTGTGAAGTAGTAATTGGTTCTGGTTCCTTCAGTGTATGCATTAGTGTAACCTCCTCCTTTGGCCACCAATTATTCAAAATAACTTGTTTCAGGATAGGAATGTGACCCTTAAAATAACATATGCTCTAAAAAATGAGCTAAGCCAGGGAACTCATCAGGTTCATGCCATGATCCTGCGTTAACATTCAATGCTGCTTATGTTAATTTGGTTTCTGGATCTCTTATCAACAAGACTTTCAATTTATTAGGCAATTCCAAGTATTCGTATTCCTTTTTGTCGACTGTTGGCTTCTATATTTCAACATGTTTGTGTTCAGCTGAATGTATTTTTTATTTATGTTGTTTTTTATTCACACTCATTCTCACTTCTAAAAAACTAGGTTAAGTTAATGAATTTTGCAAAGCCTTAATTTGTTACTCCAGGTATGTTTATTCCTAAATTAATGAGGCCTATTCAAAAGACAAATCATTCTAAGTTTCTTGTAAACCCACAACTTTGAATATAACTATACCAATAGTGAAGCAAGCACCAAACAACACTAACAATTGTATTAGTGTCGTGTCTCTCTTTTGTTTATGTTATTCTTCTTTCATTTAATATAAAATATAACATTAATAATTTAAAAACGGTATACATATTCTAAAGAAATAAACTGCAGCCTAATATCATTCTCCTTAATCCAAGGAGACCTCAAAATAAATCAGACTTATGGGTCTCAATTATATAATATTAAATTAATTACATAAATAGTACAATTAATAATAAGTAACACTTTTTTTTAGTAGAATATTACATATTTATAAATAAGTTTTGACATCCTTTTTTGCTCAAATAAGCATGTATGTAGATTTAATATATTTGCATCTTAAACATTTACAGTAGTAGATTGTTCATCTTTTAGCTCTAATATATTGAGTTTGACTAAATCAAAAAGAATACTTCTTGCTTACTAGAAGTTTGTAATATAAATGAAAAAACTAAAAATGTTATATTGAATTTATGAATAGATCAATGATTTGATTACTATGGATTACTACGCAATTGTCTAGATTTAACTGGGTGTTTTGAATGATAATCTTCGATTCTTTCTTCAATTTCTTCTCTGTATGATCTAATCAAACCTTAAACAGGCCAAGCAGCAGCATCTCCAAGTGCGCATATAGTGTGACCTTCAATTTAATAAGTTAATTCCTTAAGATAATTAAAAAGATTTAGAGTACTTCTAATTAATCAATTTCAGCAAAATCAGCATTTCCCACTTTCATTCTTTCCAATAAATCAACCAACCATGAAGTACCTTCTCTGCATGGAGTGCATTGTCCACATGATTCATGTTTATAGAACTTACTCAATCTCAAGATGGCATCAATAATATCAGTGGATTTGTCAATAACAATCACAGCAGCAGTTCCCAATCCTGATCTGACATCTCTCAAAGCATCAAAATCCATTAAGACAGTTTCGCATACTTCTTTAGGCAACATAGGCACAGATGACCCTCCTGGAATAATGCATTTGAGATTATCCCATCCTCCTCTGACACCTCCACAATGTCTTTCAATCAACTCTTTAAGTGGAATAGACATTTCCTCTTCAACTGTGCATGGGTTGTTGACGTGACCAGAAATGCAAAATAATTTGGTGCCTCTATTATTGGGTCTGCCAAATGAAGCAAACCAATTAGCTCCTCTTCTGAGAATAGTTGGACAAACAGAGACAGTTTCAACATTAGTAACAGTAGTGGGACAACCCCATAAACCTGCATTTGCTGGGAAGGGTGGCTTAAGTCTAGGCTTACCTGGTTTTCCTTCCAAGGATTCGATTAAACCCTTTAGCTTACTTGATATAATACCGTTTCTTCACCGCAAATATATGCACCTGCTCCACTATGAACATAAACATCAAAATCATATCCACTACCACATGCATTCTTTCCCAAGAATCCCTTTTTGTAAGCTTCATCAACTGCTTATTGCAAGGCATTAGCTTCAACCCAAAATTCTCCTCTGCAATATATATATGCAGCTCTAGCTCTCATTGCAAATCCTACGCATAATGCACCCTCGACTAATTTATGAGGATCATGTCTTAAAATTTCTCTATCTTTGCATGTTCCTGGTTCAGATTCATCAGCATTTATTACCAAATAAGATGGTCTTGAATAGTTGGAGTATATTTACCTTCCATCGGGATTGACTTTTGGCATGAAGGAATATTTCAAACCGCTTGGAAATCCTGCACCTCCTCTACCTCTTAGACCGCTCTTCTTAATTTCATCTATTATCCAATCTTAACCCATAGTCAGTATGTCTTTTGTTCTATGCCAATCTCCCTAAGAATGTTTAGTATAATACTCTCTTCAAAGCCCCTTGAATATAAGGATCTCCATCACGATACACATTTGTGAATATTCGATCCTAATCTTTCAAACCACCGTGATAGAACTTTGGAGAAGATGTTAATCTTAGAAATAGATGAGATTATCTATTTATCATAATCTTTTATTTATTAAAATTAAACAGAATGGGGATATGTTCCTGTGGATAAAAATAGCCGGTTAAACAAATGCAATTTGAAAGCAAGCTTGATGATATGGAGATCAAAAATATTAAGGATCAAGTTCTTAAAGATTGCCAATAACTCAATACAATCTACAACAATAATTTGTCCTCGGCCTCTTCTATCTTAATGGTTGATAGTATATATACAGGAAAAGTGAGGGACAATTAAAAAGAAGGGTTTGGGGAATGCATATCTTACAATGATAATAAAAACTCAGAGCGGCAAAATAAAAAAATAAAAGAATATTATTTAGGAGAATGGAAAGATAGTATGAAGGATGGCTTTGGAATGATGGTGTATTCTAATGGAAATTAGTATGACTACTATGTTGGCTAATTTCAGTAGAATAAACAACATGGTTCAGGAGAAATTAAATATTCTACTGGGGAATCGTATAAAGGAGAGTTTTAAAATAATTAATTTCATGGAAAAGGGATTTTGATTCTTCAAGATTAAATTACATATTATGAAGGTGATTGGTCTTTCAATCAACGGGATGGATTTGGAATTGAACATGGAATTGATGACAATAAAATATGGGATTATTAAGGATCATTTTCTAAAGGTAAAAGGCAGGGGAAGGGAAAACTTACAATCCATAATGATTATGAGATCGAAGGGGAATTTGAAAATGATTTCCCCAAAAACGCAGTTATTACATACAAATAGCAAGAGTGCTAGGCTGATAAATATGATGGATATTTAGACATTAATAATAATTATGAATCTATATTTCATGGAAATGGAACTTTAACAATGAAAAATAATTAAATTATACAAGGTATATAATTTAAATTATTTTTAAGGAATATTTTCAAACCATGAATTTAAAGGAAAATGAATATCTTTATAAAAACAACCAATTAGTTTTCATTATATTGATGCATAATGATCCTAAATCCATTTACGAAATTGTGAAATGATATCCTTTCTTGCTTGTTTCAATTGATCGCAGTCTTCATCCTTTGGTGTATACAATTCCACACAATGACCACTATTTTCACAATTAATCTCATAAGTCAATATTGATCCTTAATTAACCAAAACACTAGACCACTTCCAAGGATCTTCATTTCCATTAGTCATTATCAAATTATCTACATTCAATTCATTTCCCCCAAATCTTGCATTAGCCAATTAGTCATCTGGGAATATGTTCTTCCGTATTCCACCAAAAATACTATTGCAAAAATCTTTATAGAATTGTATATCTATCAAGGTGGATCTTACACTGTTATTTAGTGGACTTGTTTACCACCATCCCAATTCACTACAACACTAATACATCCATTGTCTGGAAGGAGTCAGGTTATTTTCGTCATATTTATCATTCTTCAAATAATATGATCCATATTCCATATAGCTACCTTCTTCAATAACTGATCTAAAATAGTCAATCTATTCAGTTATGCTTTTATCTTTTAATTATTTGCATAACTCTGATCTTCCTCCATATTAAATTATCAATAACTAAGCATCAGCAAAAAAGAACAAAAATTCTAAATCAGTCAGTTTCTCTGCGCCAAATGAACGCTTGAATTCTTCCTTTGTCCCCTAGTTTAGTATTTGTTATTCTGCATATTTGTTCATATCCTAAACATCTTTGGCACATTATGGTCCTGACTTATATGCAGAAAGAAAGATCTAAGTATCAAACATCTTAAAATCAGTGATCGATTCCACTACAGCAGATGAAGCCAATGCTCCAATTACGAGGTGAGGATACTAATATCTATACCAAGCTGCAAGTGCCCCTGGATAAGATCCTCCTATTGCAATCCAAGGATTCTAAGACTTTATTCCGTGTTTCTTATTTAAAACCATGAACCTTTAGAAGTAGGCTAAATCATCTAAAGCCTATCTTGTGCTTAAATATCTAAGATTCTCATCTTTTAATGACTCCTTACCTAATGGCATTGACTTTCCATAATATCTATGTTCCAATATTATTATCAATGCATTAAACTCTTTAGCCAATTATATGATAAACAATCTCTCCTCCATTATTCCAGGACCTAAGTTTTATATCATTTATACATGTATATTCTCCACAAATCTGAAATAATACTACTCCTGTTTCTGGGACAAAATTTTCTTCCACAACCCAATATCTTTGATGGAACACATTTTTATTCAATTTATCATAATGATCAACCAACTAGTGTTCAAACCAATACATTTTTTGATTATAGCTGAAATCATCTGCCATTACAAGCAATAAGGAAATTGAAATCAGAAAAACTTTATTCATTATTAAAAATATATATATAAATTTCTACAAAGAAATAAATTAAAGCAATTTCATTTGTTATCACATTAAAGGTAGTTCATATTACTTATTATCATAATATGCTCTAAGTATATCTAAGCACAATTATAAATTGTTCTCTATATTTGTATTATTAATAATTTAAACATTAGTTTAAATTACTTATTTAAAATTATCATTATATATTTTATTTTCAGATTGTTATTTACCGCATATTCAAAGAAAAAGGTTGTCAAAATTTATCTAAAAAAATTCTCTTGATTAAACAAGAAGACAAATATTAAGAAATAATAAGTTTTTGATTTTATTTGAAAGTTAGGATGTAATCAAGGCCAAAGCTCTTTAAATAATTTTAAATTATACTCTTAATCAAGATTTAAACTAAATCAAAGAATATATTAATTTACTTCTCAATTATCTTATAAAAGAGTGATGTGATATATTGTTTAGAGCATTTAATTATTTAAGATTAAAAATATGCATCAAAGTTCTAATTAAGTCATTTAATATAATTTATCTTTTGTCTGGTTTATAAATTAAAGTACTTCAGAAGGTTAACTATTAATTTCATACTTGTTCTATTAAATAAAGATATAATAAGTGAATAAAAGTAATTATGATTAAGAATTACTGAGTAAACAGTTTGAGTTCAATTAGTCAAAGTAAAATTGAAAATTTATTCTGCATTTTTATACCTATGATCTTAAAATCTTTATTTAATGATACAATTTTATTAAGTATATAGGATTTTTTTGGCTTTAAAGTAGTATTGATATAACATATATACAACATTTTGAATTATAGGGCTATTAAAGATCAATTACTTTTATTATTGAAAAGTGGTGGAATTATAAATAAATGACAGATTTAATAAAGTAATGATAAATTCTTTTAATAAGATCTTTCCATAAGTAAATATAATAATTTGCACATTAATTATTTTAGCCTATCATTAAAATTTATAAATTAAATTATTGCAACTTTTATTACTAATTGAGATTTATTTAAGAAAGACATCGGTTTCTTCCCTCATCCTCTATAGATTTTTCTATAAAATAATTTGATCTATTATTATTCATATATTATATTAGTTATTAACTGTATATTGGAATATTGGTTCTAAGAACTATTTTATTATTCAAATTTACTTTAATTTTTCAGGAGTTTTATTTAATCATTTTGAACATGTTTTATTCCAAAAATTTTTTAATATTATATCCGCTCTTAATTTTGCTAATTATATTGAAAATACTGTAGTTTCTCCTATTCTATTCTGAATATATCAGAAATTAAAATAACAGGGGAATATAAACAAGATTTGCCAGGATTTTCTGTTTTAAAAACAAACAATTAAAAAATTAAATGAATGATTGGATATCAAAGATTTTAAACTAATTATTTAAACCAGCTATTGATATTAGATTCTAAAAATCAAAGGACTTTGAATATATAAATCACCTTTTAAATTATTATAAAAGCGATAGGATTAAATAATTAAAAATAATAACATATCTATCAAGTCATAAAAGCTAAACAAGTTTGAGAGATGATACTTTTGTTTTTTATCAAACCGTCAGGGTAGATGACCATTTAATTAATTTATTCAATATAAAATTTAAATTTCACAGGATTATTTGGAGTTTATAGTAAGCTTCTACTTTCATAACATGAAGCCCAACATTATAAGTATTCCCGTTGACATTATATATTTAAAATTATTAAACTTATTATTCAGGGAAAGTAATTGTGATTAATTATTGAGCGAAATTACTTTCATAGATTTATGTTTTTACATCATTGTTTATTAAATAAACTTTTATTCTATAGAATCTATTGTCTTGATCCCACAACCATATTTTTAAAGTGTTTAATTAATATTATTGCACCAAATCAAAGATAATTGATAATCCTATCCCACTTGCTGTATATCCGAAACTTCCATTTATAATGTAAGTATTATCTCGTATACAACTGCCTTAATTACCCCCTGCAAAGCTAATTTATAATTTAGATGATATTATAGCTCCTCTATTCTAATTTAGTATATTTTAATATTTTCCCCTAAGGATTGATTGTAATCTTGCCTATCTTTGCCTACACATTTAATTAGCTACTAATTAAAAATTCAATATAAACAAAGTGACTAAAATAATATAATTTTTCCGCATCATTGAGAAAGTAAGAATTAATTTATTTTTAATGAATTTATTCAACATATTGAAGAGAATAAAAAGTATCAAGGTTAATGAATAATTTTTTATAATTTCCTAATTTAGTTATGCCTTCAACATACTTTTTTAATAGAAATAAAGAGTTTTAATTTTTAGATAATCAATACAATTTTTCTATTATGTTTATTATTAGAAACCAAATAAATTCTTACAATAAATTGTTTATTAGATTTGAGTAAATTTTAGTTTAAGTTAATTAAAAATATTAGAGCAAACTTATAACTTTAGAATTTGAACAAAAATTTATCAGATTTATAACAAAATTAATGCTAATTATTTATTTTATCAAATGGATGATTAAACTATAACTAATCGCGCAATAAAAGAAAAAAATATTGAAAAATTGTTTAAGTTAATACCAGACTCTTTGCCTGAATAAATCCAATATGCTCTGAAACAATCTGTAGAAGATTTATCCACCGTAGAAGCAGATTTAGATAAGCTTTAAGATTATATTTCTAAAGTTCATTCGAATGACCTAAATATCTAATATTTAGGACTAAATAGATGTCGAAAACTATTGAATAACTCTCAATTAGCATTACCAAGAGAATAACTAATTGAAATTTTACTTCAAAACAATTTTTTAATAACGACCTTGCAAATAGCCCTAAACAACAAGGTTCAATTGTTGTAATATGAAGCACTTTGGATAATTTATAATATTGTGTGTTTAACATAATAAGAAATGAAAAATATTTTTGATAATAATGCAATTAATATCCTCCTCCTAGTCCATGATTCTTAAATTGATGAAATCATTGAATTAGGAATTTGCATTTTAGCTAAGATTTCGGGCGAAAGTGTTTAATTTAGGAATATGCTTTTACAGAAAGGAATCGTTGAACAATTACTCAAATTAGCACCATGCTATCAATTGAATAACCCAGATATTTTTACATCAATATTATGGGCTATGGCTAACTTAGGGAAATAAAAACATATTTTAAAAAAGGTACATGTTTTATTTGAGAAAATAGTTTAGTAAGAAATTAACATAAATTCTTTCAGAAATATTACTTTCAGTTTAGGATGAAAGCCAGATACTATACGCTTGTTGGGGATTGTATTATTTAAGCGATAATGATGATGGTCAATAATATTTTTCACTTAAGCCACCAGTTATTCAAAAATTAACTTTATTACTAAATTCGCAAAATGAATCTTTTATAACTCCAGCTTTGAAGACTATAGGAAACATTTTAACAGGAAATGAAGAATAAACAGCTTAGGTTTTAAACACTGGAGTGTTAAAAGTGTTTGAAATGTTACTAACATAAAATTACAGTTAAGTAATTCAAAGGGAAGTAAAATCAGATTTATATTCAAGGTCTGTTGGTCTTTGTCTAATATTGTTGCTGGTACCCCAGCTTAAGTAGATTAAATTCTCAAAAATGATTCGCTCTTAAAATCCCTATTTAAATAGTTTTAATAGGGAGAAGCTTAAATCTTCAAAGAGATGTCATATTTTCTATCTAATTTAATTAGTTATACAGATTTAAATAGTATAGGTCATTTTTTAACATAATATGATTGCTTTTAAAAAATGTCAATTATGCTAGACATAAATGATGAAACAATAAGGAGAATAATTCTAGAAGGAATTTTAGAATTTTCAAAAAAAAGTAAAATTTCTATTATATTAAGTTTAATATAATGCAAAATTATAAGAATATAAGCAATTGATGGAAAATTCAAAAATTATTGACAAAGTTAAAATAATATAAAATAATGTCGCAAATGATTTGTCTGAGCAGGCTATTGAAATTTTGCAAACTTTAGATTAGGAAGAATTTGTTTGAAAGGAATTTTATTTTATTCATTTTAAAATATGATTATATTTTAAAAAATTTCATTTAAATTAAGCATCATAACCTAATAGCTAACTTAAAATCTAACTGAGTTAATAGTTTTCAGAAAAATAAGATTTCTATTATTTAATAGGAATCATTAAGATGAAGTTATCAATTGAAATATAATAAAACATTGAATCATATTTAAATTGATTTCCTGAATTAAAAATCTAATTTCTGTAAGAAAATACAGTTTCTTTGTTAGCACAGTTAAATTATATATTTTAATCACTAAGGAATATTGAAAGAAATATATTTGTTTTTTTATTTAATTTTATGTTTATAGTGCTTCAAAATATTTATTTTGATATTATTTTTATTTCTCATTTTTTATTAAAAAGTATTTTTGTTAATTGTGATTACGTCTGTCTCATATTTAAGATATGGTTTTAATTTAAAAAATTTAGAATCAATAATGATACCCAAAACTCTGAAACTCTTATTATTAATTATACCATAAATCAGCGGCATAATATTTGATCAAGGGTTATGCTAAGAAACATGTTAGTAACAAAATGCCAACTTTGATTGCAAGAACCAAATTCATTATACGTTTACTATAGCCTTTAGTTAACCTTTTGAAAATGTTCCTTAAGTCTTTCTTGTTCTAGATCTTCTCAGTGTTGATGTGAAAACAGATTTTAGAATATAGATCGAAAATGTCACTAAATAAAGTGAAATACATTTATATTCATTAAGATTTCAACTTATTTGTAGTTTGCTTAACTGGTTGGGCAAGTTGTGTTAGAATAAAGTGGTATGCTATCGATGATTAGAGGTTTTAAATAGTCAATGCTTTTAATACTATAGATCTTACTTAAACGAAATTTCAACACAAGAATAAAAATGTGAATACAGAAATTGGCCTCATATCCTTGATAAGTCATAATTTTGATGAAATCAACTTTAAACTTTAAGTACTTTTTATCTAATAAGGAGATCGATGAAATTACAAGCGATGATGTTACAGTCTCTTTGACAAAGGTGCCCGCAGATTTTTCACAACAGGTTTAAGTGGGATTTCAAATTATTTTAGGACCAAAAGAAGCATTTCAAAATTTCCTTTTTATTGATTCTACAGATGATTATATACAACTTATTGAAGAGGTATAAAATTCATGGTTTTTATCCCTATTTACTGGAATGGGATATCCTTATACTGATGCTGTGAGATTAGATAAATAATATTGGTATTAAGGAGCTTCCACTTATGAGTATAGTTTAAAGACTTGTAAAATATTCTCCTAATGTTAGGGTACAGTGCTTTTACTCCTTGCTCTCATTCTCATGGATTTCTTTGTCATATCATAAATACAAAGTTTTATTCTTTAAATTTGATAAACTTCTAAGTCCTTCAAAAATCAGAACTTGTGTCTGCTACATAAATATCAATTTATTTTTTAGACAATAATTAAGTATTAGATACAGTCGGGGAATCACTAAATTACTTTAGATAAGGGTCTAGAAAAGGTTTCAATCGATATTACAATTGCTTGTCCTTAAGGCATGATAGTTGAAAGTGATTTCAAGAAAAAAATCGATTGTTCTATTTAATACCTTTACAAATCAAACTAAAAAAGAAGTAACACACTCAAAGAAATAGT